ATTTGATTTTCTAGAATAATATATAAGCTTAAAGTAATAGTAAAATAAGAGCTTAGCCTATTTAACTTATTAAGAAAAGAGTTTCTTAGTAGTTATAAAATATTCTAAGATATAGTAATTAGAATAGACCTTAAAAGAAGTATCCTAAAGGCCCTCTAGCTTAGCTCTCTATTTCTCTAGTACTCGAACTATAGCAAGTATTTCCTTATTATATATATTATAATTAAGCTTTACCGGGAGTATAGTTTTGAAAAAATAAGCTATAAGATATTAAAGGCCTGTTTCTGGGTCTTATTAAGAAAATAGGCTAGTAACTACTTCTTTAAATATATTTATTTCTATTATTATAGGCAGATCTGAATTATAGTATTATAAAACTAGAGTAAAAATCATAGCTTTTTTTAGGTAAGTAAAAGCCTCTTGATATTACTTGAACTATTTAAAGAAAATATTCTTTTTTATAAATAAGATAAGAAATCTAATAATTTGTTTATATTCTCTAATAAAGTATTTATAAAAGTTATAAAAGCCGAGAAAGAATTATATACCCTTAACTATTTTTGGGAATTACTAATTATATATTACTTTAACTTTATTAGAATCTATTTTAATACTAGATATAAAGATAATAAAGCTCAAGTACTTTATATATATAATTTTAAATTCCGATTTCTTAATATTTACTTAAAGGCTAGTAAGATATAAGTAGTCTAATACTTTTTATATATATTATTTATACTTTATTAGGTTCTCTAAATAAATAAGAATATTATTAAGATATATTATATAAAAGTTATCTAGATACTTAAAGAGTATATTATTTATATAGTATTAATATATAGCCGGGCTATTTATAAGGCCTTTTTAAAGAATATTATATTTATATATTTTATAATAGATATGGAATATTATTAGCTTCTAAAAGTTCAGGTTTATAGCTATATAATAGAAAGCTTAGTAAATATCTAATTTAGTATAGATCTTGGCCTTAGATAATTAATTTAAAGTCTTATTAATAAGAGAAAGAAGATATTAATTCTTCCGGGTAATATTATTTAGGTAGCGGAAATTAATATAAAAATATAAACCTCTATTTACTTTCTTTATAAAAAGAACTAGTAAAGTAAAGAGAGCCTAACTAGCTTTAATAAAGCCCTTAGCTAGATTATTTTCTAAGAAATACTTGATTTCTAAAAGCTCTTAAGTAAATTATTACTAGAGGAATTAATATCTAATACTCTCGATTTCCTTTAGGCCTTTAATCTAAATCTTATAATTATATAATTTATAAAGAGAAAGAGTATTAGATTTCTTCTTAGAGAAAACAAAAGTATATTTCTTAAGTTCCGGGAATAATATTCTCTATAGCTACTAAAGCTCTATTTCATTTAGTTATTAATTCTCTAGGCTAGAGATAGCTTCTTTTTTCCGAGCTTTAAGCTTCTTATTAATCTCGTAAATAGAAATTTAACTAATAATATTATCTTTTCTCTTAGCTATATAATTAAATACTATAGAAATAAGAATAGCTAGGTCTAATATTTGCTCTTTATTAAGGACCTCTTTCTACTTCTTTAGCTTTTACTTGGGTATTATATTTTAATTAGGCTATAGAAGCTTCTTTTTTATAGTCTTATATAATTTTCTCTAATTAGTCTAAAAGAAGAAAAATTACTTTAGAATAAAAGGTTTCTAGAAATAGCTTATAATAGAATCTTATTAATTAGTATTCTTTTAATATTTCTTATTAGGTTACTTCTCTAGCTATTATTATAAAGTACTAATAATATAACTAAATTATATAGATTTAGGCTTGTTTTTTTTTAGCTATATAAGCCTGTATCTTCTATAATTAACTAGAATATTAATATATATTACTTATTTTCTATTAAGAATAATATTATAATTTCTAAGATTTAGAATAATTATAGGTATATTAATACTTTATTTATTAATTAGAAGCAAAACTTCTATATATTTCTTAATAAACTTAGCTAGCTTTTTATTAAAACTATATATAATATAGGATAAGAGAAAAGATTATAATTCTATTCCTAAGAATTACTTTATAAGCTAAATAAGCTTTGTATTAATAAAAGTATAACTATTAGTTCTAGTATTAATAAGGGAAAAAGATTTAATTTCTAATTTATTTATACTAATAGTATAGAATATTATAAGAGTATTTCCTCCTATTAAATAAGTTAAGTTAATTTTTACTAAATTTATATTATAAGCCCCTAAAGTAAAGACTTTCTTTAGGAATACTTATTTCCCGGTTCTATACCAGAATTAGAGCTTGAATTCTCTAAATACTTTATTAGATTAGTATATTCTGGTAAAATAAGAACTAAGCCCGGCTTAATTCTAGAAAGAGCTATTTTGATTTCCTTATTATATAGAACCGGATAGTATCTAATATAGTAATTAAACTTATTATAATTAAAGTATTTAATAGTTAAGAGATTCTCGGTTTTTATAAGATATTACTTATATTTATAAGGGAATATATACTTAATAAGAGTTATTAATATAGGCTTCTTGGGCTCTTTCTTAGAAATATATTTCTTAGGAATATATAGGAATATAGTACTAGAAATAAACTTGGCTAGAATAGCTTTTACTTTCTTATATTTCTTAGTTTTCTTATATATAGCCTTAATTTACTAATTATTAGTAATATAATACTAAGTAAGGCAAGTAGTATTAATAGAAGAATTATTATAGTATATATATACTAATTCCTAGAGCTTTAGTAAAAGCTTCTTATTTAGTTTATACTTAATATCTTAAAGACTAATATTACCTTTTATAAATAGTTATAAGAAAAGAATATAGAACTTCTAAAATACTTAACTAGAATATATTTAAAGCTTACTAAAATTATAATAAGTATTCTATATCTTATTAGAATTAGAATATAGTTTTTTTAGGTAAAAGTAGAACTCTAAAAGCTAATAGTACTAATTCAGACTATTTTTATTTATATAAGAATTAGTTAGAGCAAGAGTATTACTAGTAAGTTTATTAGAAATATAAATAATCTTAAGATTCTCTAAGAAATATAAATTAGTATTTCCTTATAGCTTATTCTTAATCTAAACTAGCTAGTTATTAAAGATAGTATAATCTCTAATAAAGAAAGTTAAATCTAGGAGCTTAGTAATTCTAGTATTTCTAAAGAAAGTATAAGATATAAGGAATTCTAAATAGAAATAAGCAGGAAATAGTTCGGAATTCTTTTAAGAAAGATTCGGAGTAGCCGGAATAGCCGGAATAGAAATAGTTAGAGTTATTATAAGCTAATTTACTATAGCTATATAGTATTTAATATTATCCTTAAGCTTAGTATTATAAAGCTTAGTATTTTCGAGAATAGCTTTATTATAACTATAGGTATTCTTATATAAAATAGCTCTTTAAATATTTTCCCGATAGCTTTTTATAATAATATTAATATTTAAAAGCAAGGTATTAGGTTTCTTAGCCTATTTATATAATTCTCTAGTAATAATATAGTCTTTAGTTTCCAGAAGCTTTATAATAAAAGCAAAGGGTTCTATTTCTATAAACTTGTTTATAAATTCTCCAGAAATACTAATAGGACGTTTGGTTTAGGAAGGGCTACTAACAGGATAACCTAAACTAGTAGGAGCTTTACCAGAAGCCTTAGCGGAAGTTAATATAGTTTCTGGTTATATAATATCTTAGGAAATTAATCTATTATATTTTTCTTTTATTATATTTTCCCTAGTAGTCTTATTACCGGTATATATATAGGGCCTATAAGGTTATGAGATAGGGCTTGAGGGTAGTAGTCAGGTTACTAGCCTATAAGTGCCTATTACTCTAGAACTTGGTTAAAGAGTAGCCTTTATTTGAGGTTCTTTAATTTTCGGGTTTTCGGAAGGGGTTTCTAATATATTACTAGTATATATTTATAAAGATATAAATACCTGATTTCTCTAAGGATTCTAAAGCTTTTTGCTTTTATTATTCTAAAGTCTATTACTCGTATTTCTGAGGTTCCATTATCTTAGCGGTACCTATATTACTAATAGTTCTAAATTAGTTTATTTGAAATCCTCTATAGGATTAAAGAAAGTGAGCTTTAAATACTATTACGGGTATAGTATTCAGGGCTTGGAAAGCAAGGTAGAAGGTCCCTTACGAAGACGATTTAAAGCTAAGGAAGGGAAAACTAGAATACAGGAGGCTGCGAGGGAGTATATGCACCCCACAGTGTGCTAGTCCCGAAGGGGCTTAGCCTTCTAAATATCTCTAGTGTATTCCAAGCATATTTCCCTAGCGAGGCGGCCGCGTCACGTGCGCCTAGGAGGCATCTGGCATCTGGCGAGGCATCTCAGATACCGGGTATCTGGGAATCGTAATAATACTCTTTTTACTAGGTTTAAGTATAGAAATAAATTACTAAAAGAAACTAGGCAATTAATAGACTAGTTAATTATTTATAGCAATTATTATATTAAACTAGACTGGAATAGTAAGCCTAATTATAATTATATTCTTAGTATTAGAAATATTAAAAAGATATTTATAAATTTAATCTTAAGTCTTTTTTATAAAAAAGTCGAGTAAGTTATCTCGAGCCAAGTAATTATTATAGAGGAGCGGCTTATAAATACTATTAAAATAATTAGTATAAATAGCTAAGAGAAGAAGTAGTTTCTATTAAATAAATTAAAGTCAATTTTAGAAATTTAATAAATAACTTAATTAAGGAAACTAATTTTCTTGTTTTAAGTAGATATATAAAAGTTTTCTTTATATTATCTTATAATTTCTTTTATATAATATTAAATCTTAATAAAAGAACTTAATAACTCTATAAGTAGTTTCTTATCCGCTAATAAGAGGAAAATATCGCATATATTAGATAGGTTTAATATTGTTATAATAGTTACTAACTTACTATACTTTAAATAAAGCAAAGTATATTCTATAGTAGAACCACATTAACTATATATCTACTAGCGAGTGACATTTATCTTGTATTTCGTCTGCTCTATCCCTCTATATCTTAGATACTACTAATAACTTTACAAGATTTGCCCGAATTCCGTTAATATTCCCTAATATATAAGAAAAGAAGATGCGACTATTTATCTCTATCCCCTTGGGCTTCCTGAAGGACTCTCTATCCGCTGATTGCTAGTGATCGCCTCTGCTACGCTTCCAAATTATTGATGGTGCGGTTGTGCTAATCCGGAACTGGTTAAGGGGCTCGTATAGGCGCCTGGGATGGGAATAGCGTTGTAGGTTTGCTCGCCAGGGGCGGCGGCTATGTGCTCAATCACTCGTTCCTTTGGTAGAGCCGGTGCTCCAAACCCGGTTTGCGCTACCTTGGGTATAGTGCCGTGAATCTTGATCGGTGGTGCTTGAGGAGCGAAGAGCTTTACGGCAAGAGCTGACGATGGCTTGGCCTCAACAAGTCGGGTGCCGGGCGCTCCAGCATAGCCGTCTTCGGCTGTAGCTGAGGGGTTGGAGGAGTAGATGGGTAGTGGGAAGCGAGGATATTTCGTGTGCTGAGAGTGGGATGGAGAAATTGGTAAGCCGGGAGTGTTGGGTGCAGACTGGGAGCGAAGCTGAGCGAGGTGGAGGTCCGAACGAGTACGGTCACGGACATCCATGGACTTCCGGAGGCGTTACTTGGAGTAGTTTGGGCATTCGTACTGCAAGTCCATTTTCAGGTCACTTTCTACCACACTCACCCACTAAAGCCGCCTATATTTCCAGGCTACTCTCCTATAAGCACGCTGTAAACTATAAATAAGGGGCACCGTACCTTTAGAAGGCATATCCCCTGTACTTACAGGGGCAGAGTCACTAAAGGGTCCTAATAGCTCTCTCACAGCGTCCGAGCGCAATAGTTGCTCCGCCAGCAATACCATAACCCCTGAAGATCTTCAAACACCTTGTAAATATCTCACAGCCCTTGTTTTGGGGGTTCAGGCCTAGAGTTACAATGCTTATCGGGTACAATACCTTAAACCACACCCTGGAGTCCGTTAAGACCCTTACGCGAATGTAAATGCCCTGTAATCCCGTCACTTTATGCCGCAATCTTTGCAGGTTAGTTTGGCCCCCAATTGACACCCCCAATCGACACACGGGGGGGGAGGGGGTTACATTTTTCCCTTACTGAAAGCCATAAGAACGTGATGTTCAAGCGAGAGACGCGAAATGCGAAACGCGAAACGCACTGCTTCTCGATTCGCAGATCTATTTAGTAAATGCCAACCCAACGTCCGTATAATACATCTGCCCTCATTCTTTCTTCTTTCTCTCGCCGCTCTCTCTTGAACCCTTTGACTCTTGTCTTTGAAAGAGCCACAACACAGGCAAGCAAGCAGGCAGGCAAGCAACAAACTATGCATCGATAATCATCCTTTTATACCATATTCCGCTTCACGCCAAAAAAACGCCATTCCGTATTATCTCCCCACTGTAACAGCAAAGCAGAATAGGCCTCCAGCACAAGCCGTGCTCCTCTTCAATGCAATCAACATGAACAAATCTTCCTCGGTCCACGTTCCACACAACGATGCCATCGGAAATCTGTACGCTCCGTCTTACATTGCCGAAACCTGGGGTTGGGACACGATCTTCCACCGTTTATCAACCTCCTTAACGCCCTCCCTCTTCGCTACCGCCTCTAGCGTAGCCTTGATAGCAGCCGCGGGCCGACCTGGGAACTTCTTCTTCAGCACCTCGATGAGACCGACTTTACTCAGATCTGAACCCTGTACCGCGGCGCAGAAGGCGGGCATATCATCTTGGCCGAGGAGCTTCTTTGGTTTTTGGTCTTTTGCTGGCTTGGTTGATGGGCGGCCTGGGGATGGGTTGGATGGGAGGGTCGATTGAGGGGGTAAGAGGGTGGATGGTGACGATTTCAGGACGTCGGTGGCGGTTGAGAAGAATGGTTTGACGGTCTTGGAGGTGGTTGTAGGGCCGTTGAAGTTGGCGGAGGTGGTTTTCATTGTGTTGAGGGGAATACGCGGGGGATCCATAGCTGTCGGAACGGGCTCCCAGTATGCCTTGGAGAACGGGTCGATGGATTTGATGCTCCGGTCTGGATAGGTTAGCAAGTAATTTGCACATGTAATCAAGAACTTACCAAGAATCACCTCCATCCGATACGGAACCATCTTCACATTCGTATTCCTCTTTTTCCGATCCTCCCAACACAGGCCCGTAGAAATAGGTTCCAGATCACCCTGTAGCACCAGGCGTCTCGAGTTGGCAGTCTCGTCATTCTCATCGTCCAGAAAACCGTCCATATCTTCATCATCGTCCACCTCTTCATCTTCATCACCTTCACTCTTCAGGTCCTCGGCGTCTTCATCCTCCTGCCATTCAGCCTCGCTGTCATAGTCATAGTCGGTGTTTGGCAAGTCTCGACGCATTGGATTTCGCGCAAGCTTTATCATGCCAGTCACAGGTCGGCTGGTGTATGTGCCTCGATACGGTGGTCGAACATCTTCCCGGAAGTGCAAGAGCTTCATGGGAATCTTTCGAAGGAGGTCACCCGTCCGCTTGATTTGCGAGTTCTGAGAATCGGTAGTAAGGTCGATCGGTTTGGATGCGTTGCCCGAGTAGAACTCAGTCATGATGTCTCTGACTGGCATCAATCGTCTGCCACGAGGAAGGACGCTCGAGAGGTGGAACAAGGATTGTGCATCGAAAAAACGCTGTGTGCCCGGGCTTCTGCTGCCATGTATGTAGCCATCAATCGACTTCTGTATGGACTCCACAGCCTCTCCATCTCGTTCAAACCTGCTGAATGGTGCAAGTGTAACATTAAGTTGGATGAAGAAATCCGGGAAGAGCTTCTCGTACAGCGTTTGTGCAGGCTTGCTGGGTGTCGAAGCAGACGCAGCAGGACTTGCAGCAGCTAGAGCACTCGACGGAGCAGGGCTCATCGAGGACCGACCACGGCTATCGACACTCGCTCCTCTCGGTCTCGCAGTAGCCGGAATGTTGAAGAAGTTTCCCAATCTCATCTGGCTCCGCTCCTTCTTCCGCTTCTCCTCCTCAGCTTTCTGCTTCTCTTCCTCCTTCTTCCTCCGCTTCTCCTCTTTGGCAGCTTTCTCAGCCTCTTGTGCAGCACGCTTTGCTTCCCGTTCCTCTTCTTTCTTCTTTCGCTCTGCCTCCTTCTCAGCTTCTTTGCGTGCCTTCTCTTCCGCGTGTGCCGCTCGTTCCGCCTCCTTCCTAGCCTTCTCCTCGGCCTTTTGTTGGTCCTTGAACTCCTTCTCTATTCGCCTGGCCTCCTTCTCCGCGAACGTGAGCTTCGCTTTCTTTGCCGGCGGAGGAGCATTGCCGTTGAGTGCCGCAAACGCCGACGGAGACGGGGAAGTGAGGTTCGTGGAAGATGGCGGGACGCCGAGCATTGGTGATTGGCCTCTGTTCGAGGACGTTGCAGTGCCGATGTCTGTCAATGAGCCGGTTGTGCTTCGTGCAGGGCTTGGGTCTCTCTTCGTGCCGATGGAGACGGGCGGCGTTGGGAGTGATCCGGGCGCAGGCTCGTCCTTCTCTCGTTGTGACTCAACCATTTCGAGGAAATTTGCAGGGACAGAGCATGGTTCTTCGAGATCGGCGAGGTCTTCGAAAGTGTCATGATCCCTCTTCAGAGAGCGTTGGGAGCCTTCGACCTCCATCATGACGCGTCGAGGTGGATGTTGAAGGTAAGTGTGGACTAGCAGACAATGAATCAATCAAAGGAGCGATGAAACGAGCCTTCACGCCTTCTGCGAGACCATTGGTGTTGTCGTTTGTTGAGGCTCTCTGATGTGTGGAGGTGGTCTTGAGATGGACGCGCCTCGCGTTTTCCCGGGAAAGTGGTTTCGCGTTTCGGTAAGTGCCGCTTTAAGGGGAAAGAATAACGGACGAGGGGGGCCAAAAAATAAAAACGACCTCGATTCAAATTAATTAACTATTTGTGAATCTAAAATGATTTCTGTATAGCAGAAGCTGTATGTGAATCATCATATATCGGAAGTGAACGAGAGAAAAAATGGAAATGGCACATTCAATCGTGGAAATGGTCTGAATGTTTAAAGTCTCCTTTGAAGCGTCTCTCTTATTACTCGAGTATCCCAACTTGCCATTGTGGGCTTCCTATGCATGCAATGCCGCTAAAACGAAGGTTGCCGCTCACTGGACTCAGTCCGCCGGCCAAATAAATGCATCCGGTCGTAGACCTGTAATGCCAATCCAGAAATCCCCAAGTCGGTATCCAGTCTCGCCAAACTCCTGAAATGCATACACTTTGAGCCCCCGCTCACGTATTCAAACTTGGTATATCCTCCGCTGTACCCCTTCAATCGCTGTCCGCATCCGGATTCGCAATATACAATCGCCCGGCGCTCATCGTCATCGTTCTCTCATCAACGCTGCCTCTTCTCCTCAGCTCCTCGGGGCTCTTCACGCTCTTCTCCCGCGTGATGGCAGACTTCATCAGGCTGTTGCTAGCAAGTCTCGCAGCATCCGCCGTGCCCAATTCCGCCACATTGTCTGCCCGCTCCTGACTGCTCCCACTTCCAGTGCTGCGTGTCCCATCCTTGCTTCCATCCGTGGCAAAGTAGTCCTTTGCCCGTACATGGCCACCAGGAACCGGTGTCTCGCCCGCCCCAGCCAGATCCTGGATCGAATTCTGACTCTCGCTCGGTGGAGTATTCCCAGCGCTCCATTTCCCAACCGTAGAACTGGCACCCGATTGTCGAGAATATGTGAGGCCTCGTCTTCCACCGCTTCCGACGCTGCTTCTCCCGCTGCCAGTCCGCTGGTGGTACACCCCGCCGTATTGCACGTTCCCACTATCCGCATCATCCTCACTGTCCCCTCCCTCAACTTCACTGGCACTTAATCGCATGGGAACACCTCCTACGCCACCAACAAGGTCCCCAGGACTGTATCCAACCAGCCCGGACTTGCCGTGATGCCTGATTTTCGCTGTGACCCTGTTGCCGCCTGCTAAGCTGCCCGATCCGCTTGTGGGCAGCCGCCCTGCTCCAGGTCCGCCGATGACTTCCATTGTCGCTCTTACTTTGGCAGCCTTCTGCTGGGCAAGTAACCGTGGATCTTCATGCTGTGCTCGATCACACCAGACTGTGGCCTTCTGCCTCCGCATCAGCGCCACATATCCTGTTGCTGGCGAGAGCCCGCCAGATCGAGAGGAGGTCGATCGTCGTAGGTCTTGGGAGGTTGGTCGGAGGGGAGCAGGACCGTTTCCGCTGCTGGCTGTGGTGGAGTAGGTTGCATTTGAGGGTGTTCGGCGAGAGCTGTAGGCGTGGGCCTGCATGTTGCTTGGGTAAAGTTGTTGGGGTTGAGGCGGGTAGAGGATGGTGGGGAAGGTATTTGAGGAGGTCGTCCGGGTCCGTGAATGGCCGTAGATGTTCGACGTTTGCGGGGGTTGAGAGCCGTGATATCCAGGAGGCATGGGCTTCCTGCGAGGGACGTCGGCCATCATGACTGGGAATCAGGAAATGTCGATGCCGACACAATGACTGAGCTGAGGTGTGTTATTGGCTGGTTTCCCAGCGAGGCTGTTTCTGGTGAAGACTAGATGCTGGCGGCCGTCTAGTCTTTCCAGCAGTGTGGGCGACAGCAGTAGCGTAGGATGGCTGGATAACAGTAGCTCGTTGTTGATCAAGATTGACGTTTGCAGTTAATTGCATTCGTGGCGAGGAAGTGGGCGCAGCGATTGCGGTGGTGCAATTGAGAGGGAGGGAAAAGAGAGTTGGAGATGTGAGGCGTAGGTTTGAGGGTCGTGATCGAAATGCCTCGTGGGCAGGGTCGCAGAGGTGGATGGGGGGGTCTCTCGTCTTCGTTTACTTGATGGGGCGGAGAGTTTGATGCTTTAGTTTAGCGCGATCTAAACAAGCGTCGGAATCAGCCACATGGACACCGACACAGACATGCCACGGCGAGAGAACACCCGCAGCAGCAGCAGCAGCTGAGAAGAGAGAAACACGGCGATACCGACGGTCGAGGAGCAACGAGGACAGAGGTGGGGATGCGAGTGCATATATCCCCTCGGCGTGCAAAATGAAGCAATTGTTGTGTTCAATATAATACGAAAAGTAATAAAACGAGCAGCGCGCAAAAAAGCAGAAAGGTCTCACCTCTTGAGTGGCAGTTAATCAGCTGTTGCTGTGGTGCCCAGGATGGGCGCTCAAGCCGCAAGCCCGCCTCTTCTCCAAATAATTAATAGCCAAATGGAGCAAGCCCTCCTGCACGAACTCAAGAACGCCCTGCGCGGTCAGCTCGAGGCTCGAGCTGAGGGAAAAGGGGCCAGTGTGGCAGCAGCCTGGGGGGACGATGGCCGCGAGCAGGCCCGCAACGAGGATGCAATAATTCGCGATAAGATGAGCAGGATGTCTCGAAGTACTGTACTGTACTGTACTGTAATGACAAGATTTCAATATAGAGAGGATCCGACGGGGTGCAGAGCCAGCCATGCAGTGGCAGATTGAACGTTTGCAGGTCAGGCGGGGCCACGTTTGGGCGCGAGCATTGTTTTATGGAGAGATTGTACCTTGACGTATGTTTCGCATTCATTCAAGTCAAGAACTTGTGTCTTGCCAGCCAGCCAGGATGATCAGGGTTGGTTTCTCAAGCTTTGCTCCGAGTTGAAGGTGGACGTCACGCAGAGAAGGTGGTCTGGGTTATCAACAGCCTCATATAGGGCTCCAGGGGCCCAGCAGGAGGGCCTGCCGAGGGCAGGAGGGCAGGAGGGCAGGAAGACAGGAACGTGTAGTGTGGTCCCCTCCCTTGGAGTCTTGGACACCCTCGGGCTTCCAGCTGGGGAAGTTCCAAGGTCTTGGTGGTCTCACACGACGGTTAAGGTTACTTCGTACAACGTCTGCTGTACGGAGTACTGTACAGAGTACGTAGGCTGCAGCACATTCCAGCAGCGATCCTGACCAGTCCGCTCTGCGACCAGCGGCTCTTGCGCGAATGGGATGACGCCATGCTGCCCCCGCACAGTGGGCCTGCAGCGGGCTGACTGACGTAGGACTACAGATAGGACCACGGATTTCCCGTCCATCCACTCACCGCCTGCGCCGTCGACATCGCTGCCCACCCTCGATTCCTTGAGCCACACTCGCGGTGCTGTCGCGCTCGGCGGAGCATCTCGTACCAGTAGGACAAGTAGTGGCGCCGACAACATCAAATCTCCAGGTCGGCGCCGCCGAGATGCCTCAGTGCTGGCGCGCCGTCATGCCTCAGTGCTTATCCGCCACTCAGAACTCTAAAGCGCGACAAGCTCCAAACTCGACCATCCTCATCCGCTTACTTAAGCGCCAGCCAGGCCAGCCAGGCCAGCCAGACTCGCACGAACTCTTTTCTGGCTCCAGAAGCTCAAAGCCCGGATTAAAGCCAGCATAGCATTACAGTACCAAGTATTCAAGGACAGGACGGGGACCTTCCTATCTTACTTTATCTGCCCCTCATTCCACCGCTTCCAGCTCGAACACCGATGCCCACAGCTTCCCCTCACACCACATGCAATATCAACGTCGCCTATGATTTCCTGCCCAGTTTTGCGCTCCCGGCCCTCGTCACCAAGGTTCTCCCCAGCCATCGACATTCCTGAATTCCTCGCTCGATTCCCATCCCATCTTCATCGAGAACTCAAGAACTCACGTCAACTAAAATACCGGTACGTCATCCGTCCACCGTCACTCGCCGTCATTGTTACAACTTTTCACGACTACCGCCCTCGTGTTCTTGGCATTAATAATTCCGTGGTCAAACGCTTTTCGAGATGAGACGTGCAGCTGAAAAGTATCGGGCCGGCGTTGAACCTCTCGGCATCATCGCATGCCTGCACCGCCACACTCCCGGTCCGATTCCCTTCTCACGTGCCTTCCGTCTGCTTGCATCCGAACCGATGCCGTTCCGGCCGTACATGAGGTGTCCGTCCCCAACCTCTCTTCTCCACCGCGGACTTGCACGCCTTCACCCCATCGGTCTCCTTACAGCACCAAGAACAATTTATGCCCTGCAATGCACACTGCACATTTAATCACAGATCACAGAACCACTGAGCCAGCATTCAAATCCGTGGCCGTGGACTGATTGTGACTGCGACAGTAACACCAACCTGCTTTCCATTGCCTGCTTCCCCTCGCTCACCGACTTCATGCCTGTCTTACTCGTCACTCCAGTCCCTCTATTCGCAACTCCACTCCACTTCTCCCCAACAACCATGCTCCTGCTCACTAAGGTATAATTGCCACGCGCAGTGAGTGCGCAAGTAAAGCGCACGATCATGCGATTGCCTGTTCAATCGCCCTCCGTCTCCCCGCACACCCCGGCACAGGAAAAAAGGCAGAGCCATCCCTCCGCCGCGTCGCCATCATGCCATAGATCTCGCAGGATCCCAAACATCGTCTGGCTGGGACGACGGCACTCGTCGCGTCACGTCGTGAGACAGGCCTCTCGACGATCCGATCCCCAATTCTCGCTTCAAGCAAGTGATGGAAATGCTTCAAATGCAGAGAGTGTCTGACAGCCTGGCGACGCGACGCGATGCGCTGCGGCCCCGGCACAGCACAGCAACAGCACAGCACAGCAACCCTTTGACGGTCCCCGATCCGACTCGGGATCTTTTTCTTTTTCTTTTTCTCATGCAGTGAAAAGAGGTGGGGTTCCGGATGCCGAACAATTACGCGGCCATCCAGCTCGGAGGTGAGCGGTTTCGCAATCAATGCAACACGGGAAACCTAATTGACGCGTTGGTGATCCACACGTGACCCAGCTTTGTTGAGCGCCTGCTGCTTTTCAAAAGTTCGGAAGAGGCAGATGGCGAAAGTTGGGTGAGGGGGGACACGCCCCTTCTCGTCTTCCGATTTCGTGAGAGATTTCGGACTTTGTGGATTGGTGGGAGGAGGGATTTCATCACCAACCGTCACTTGTTTTCTTTGCCGGAAATCCCTGCAAAGTGTTGTAAAAATTGTAAAAAAAAATCTAATAACGTGATGTGACAGTTTCTGAACCCTTGGTGAAAATGTGAATGTTTCCCAAGAGACACCCCAATTTCGAATGGGGGGGGAGTGCGGTTTCCTTTTTCCAGCGAGAGACCTGTATCCAAGGCTCTGAAATCATTTGGGGTCCCGACATGCAATATGAGGGTTCTTGCAGGAAAGCATGATTGTCGCCTCGTTTTCTTCGAAAGTCTGCATTCTTTGCCCGGTTTTGCTAAAAATCGTGATTTTGGTATTCCTTCTAAGAGCTATAATATAGCTTAGCTTGTAACCTCAACGAACCTCAAATAGTGATTTTTTTTTTTGAAAAAATTATAGGTTCTCTTATATAAGGGCTATTAGTATAAATTAAAATTGTTTAATAATAAATAATTTATTTTATAATTCCTATTAAATACAATTAAGCTAAGAGGCTTATATAAGTACTATAAATAGAAATATAAAGTTAGTAACCTTAAATAAGTTAATTTCCTTAAGTAATCTAATTGATTTAATTAACTAAGCTAACCCTAATTAGGTAAAAAGAAAGAGGTTAAAATTAAATAATATACTAAGACTTTACTAAGATTTTTATTAGGTTATTAGTAATAAATCTTATACCTAAAAGTAAATAACCTAATAATTAATTAATTTTTAAATTAAAATTTAAAGGCATTATTTATTACAGTTCAGGTTTCGACGTTCTGATTACTTGATACAGTTACTTAACAAGTAGTATGGGAATGGGCTTGGAGATATTTAGAACGCTAAGCCCCTTGCGGGCTAGCGCATTGCGGGTGCACTTTACCCTCGCAACCTTATTGCAGCTGCACTTTACCCTCGCAACCTTCTGTATTCTAGCTTTCCCTCCTTTAGCTTTGAATCATCTTCGTAAGGGACCTTCTACCTTGCTTTCCAAGCCCTGAATATTGTACCCGTAATATTATTTTTAAATCGGACCGACTATAGTTTGATACGACTCGGCTGTTAAACTAGTATCTATAAAGGACCCAGTTCATTCCTTATAGAAGAGATTAAGGCATTCCAATTCAATTCAATTCATTCGCATATTATTATATCGTCAATACACGGTCGCTCCTCTAACAGGTTATACTTATCCTTTTTATAAGTGTCTTGTTCTTTAATGTAAGTTTAAATTACTATTATTTTAAATTCCTAACATATACCAAGAAGATATCTGCCAGAGCCATGCACTTATACAACAAAAAACCCTTTGCAGGCCTACTCCTTTTATATGTAGCTACCTCAGCTGGTAGTCAGATTTATGCAAGGAAGACCTGTTCCGACGTCAACCCCCCTATAGCCGAATGCGTCGATGCAAACGGGAACTGCCAATGTAATAATCCACCAAATTGTCATGAACATGGGTTTTGGTCTACCTGTTATTGTTACGGTGGGAACGAAGTTCACTGTGCTAGTCAATGCTGCCCTTAAGAGCTTCTTCTTAAAAGCCTTAGGCCTAACGCCACGTGTGCACCATAAACATAAGTGCATAAGGACTTTAGCTTTGTGTAGTAGGATTAGATTTAGATAGGCAAAAGTCAGGTGGTTTGCAGGTCAGCAATCTATACTATCTATTATCGTTACAGATCCAAATTCCTATCAAACGGTGGGAGTGTCGAAATTGTCAGTTCTGGACAGGCATCTGGTGATACGGCCTCTTTGCGGGCGGTAGATAAAACCAAATCGATATTCCGCCACCATTTTTTACATCAAATCACGCCATTGCAACATACCCCTTTCATTTTCTCTCCCGAAGGTTTTAAGGTTAGTCTTCTTCCCCACTGATGCGGCGATACCAAACACCCTGTCAATCGCGTTGGACTGGAGTACTTTGATCTTCAAGACCAGGAAAGCCTCGAGCAGCTCCAAATGGACTGCACATTCCCCGACTGTTGTAACATCGTTAGTCTTGCGCTTCGTGGGCACTACTCCACCACTTTGGTTCTCAGATAGGCTACAAAAGATATTGGAGTCTGGTTTGATAGGCTGCTCTGCTTCAGTGGCCGCAGGAGAAAACGGCGAGCGCTTGTTGCAGAACTTGAAAGGCTTTAGGAGTCGAGATGTCGCTTCTCGGCTTTGTTTGTTGAGCACATCTAACTGAGAATTGTTCGTGAAAGACATTTTATAGCCAGGGATACTGAGCGTTGTTGGAGAAGAGAAATATACTCATCATCAATTCTTTCTGCAAAGCTGGGGTCTGCTACCTAACCTTTACGCGCCCGCAGTCCGCTGCAAGAAGCAACCTCTACGGTTTGATGTTTACCTACATCCCCGACCTTCTTTTGGGGGCCACTTTTATAAATACGTTTGAGCTTGCAACATTTGGCCTAGTACCATTTGAGCAAAGAGGGCAAATTCACGTGATACTGCAAACATTGTCTTCAAGCAAGATATGCGACAAGTCCTCTCAGCCACGACGCACTTGAATCGCCTCACCTTTCGAGACGCGTCTACTTCAAGCATGACTAATAGCAAAGTGAATTGAAAGAATCGCATGTACCTTTGGAAGAAGTTGACTCACGACCAGTGTCAATGAATACCAATATTAGATTGAGAGATTTCAAGGCCTATATTGATACTTTTCAAGACGCTGCCTCCAATTCTGGCCTGTTGCTCTGAAACCCTCTTCTGGCTGCTCCGCGAGAAGCCTCGTCCCACGGAAGTCGCCAACCTCCACAAACGGCAGGCATTCAGCCTTATCCAGAAACGGTATCCAACCTCGTCCACAAATTGGCTTGTTTAGGATGAAGGACACTGGTCTGCCATTTTCCCATTTTCCTGTTTGTAAATAGAAATTCGCGCCCTACCTCGTCAATTCACGTGACGGAGAGTTGCACTCAAATTGCGTTTCCGCGAGAAATTTATTTAAAGATCGGATTATATAATCCCATAATATTATTGCCTATAAGAATTAACCCTGACTCTTATAGCCGGACAATTTAGAAGAGCCTTGTTCTAAGAGACTATCTAGGAACCCTCGGCAACCTCTGTAAGTCTTTTAGAACTGCAACTTAACTCAAGAACATTATTGTAGCTCGCACCATCGTGCTGTCGTCTTTGGTCACGTGAGAAGTCGCCAAAGTGCCTCACTCTAGAAGACAGCTCGAAGGGTTATGCAAAGACGGCGAACTTTCCTATTGCCTCACTGGACTAGGTATGGTTGCCATTACTAGCACCTGTACCTCTTATCAAAAATGCCACCCATTAAGTTATTCGGGGGAGGTTTCCCCTTGACGTCGTGTGGTCATGGAAAGGGGTAAGCTCGCGTAACTTTCACCCGTGCGTAATGGAAAGGGGGCAAGAAAGGCTCAATTACCGACCACTATTTCTTCTTCAAAGAAAACCAGATCATTGAGTGAAAGTGTCGCGCTTTTTCATTTATTTCTTATTCTGTACTAAAATCCTTCCAAATCCGTGGCTATAATCCACAGATCCCTACCTTTGATATTCTATCCCATGCCTTGATGTCCGCCCAGATGTACATGGCCGCCTTCCACAACGCCCAAAGTGACAGCAGCCACCAAGTGGCAACACAAGAGTATCCGCGATCTGGATCATATTCTTCACACTCTGGCGCCCGGACCGAACGAATCGGGCGAAGAAACTATAGCTGACTTCCACAACCGGATTGGGGGGGATTGCTAGGCATTAGACAGGGTATTATGAATTGCAGCGCCATGGACCAAGGATGCACGGAAGAGGTTGAGAGAATTACGCAGGATATCCCTCGTCCAGCGGGGATGTTTAACGCACTCCGGGAAACCGTCCTCCCTACCCCTCCTAGGTTTCACGGACAGCTCGCATATGTGGCATACAACGGACTAGACTATAACACCCTCGGAGGATCCACGGTCAGAATCAACGCCCCGAGGGAATGGAGCGATACCATTGCACCGGAAACCCCACTCGTCACCATCACTTGAAAAAAGACAAGCCCAAAGCGTTGATATCCCTTAAAACAAATCCCTTGGCGTTACTCGATAACGCTTAATTGATGTTAATCTGCGTAGTAGATTCAGCTGAGGAAACCAACACAATTAAAGTTGATCGAGGAAGGCTTCCGTGGAGCTCTCTATCTCGGACTCAAAAGTCTCTCCCCTACACCTCCCAAGCCTTGTCCACCCTCCTCACCGTTTCCAAGGAGATGCCTATCTACCCCCCTATGGACTCACCTGCATCAAACTGGAACGTCCAGTCGCCAGCCGCTGTCGGGTTGCCAGTAGTCCCGCGCCCCATCAACAGCTTCACCAGATCACCATCCCCACCGAACGCAGCCCTTGCCAGCACCGTCCAATCGTCGTTCGATCGCGCAGAGTCCGAGCAACCTCGATATCAGCAGCCTCAGCAGCGCAGAGGAGTGCCATGCCGTCGAGCTAGATGCGCCGTACCCGTGCTCGGGCTCAGCAGCCTCGACGCCTGCGCAGTCCCCAGTCGCAGACCAGAGGAAGGCTTTTCTTTTCAATAAAAAGAATGATGGGTGTCTTCCGCGTCGACCCGCGCTCCGTGGCTGAGGAGCGTGCCCGATCATCGCCGCGCTCTCGTTTCTGTTCGTCGCGGTGACAACACGAGGCGAGGGCTCCGGGGTCCCAGTGGTGTGTGTGCAGAGTTGGGATCGGCGCCAGTGTGTGTTGAGCAAGAGAGAGCCTCGCGAGCACCGTCGACGGGCCCGCTGGTGACATGCCTCAACGAGGGGTGTACGGTATGGCCCTTCGCACATTATATCAATGAGTGAGCGCTTCGTGTTGGAGAAGGGATGCTCATGCACACCTTTGCTCTCGCAGGGTGCAACTTGCCAGCGGCAATTCTCCGTCTTCTGCATCTCCATCTACATCTCTTGCATTGACGTCCACGCCCAAGGTGTAGCAGCCCAGTATGCGGGGAGAGAGGTATCTGATCGCGAGGGGCAACGGCGAGTAAAACCCACTGTTGTCCAAGATCTCTCAGTCGACGCCTGCATCGAGCAAAGCGGTAGCCATGTCGTCCTATCCAAACGAAGCGCAAAATGCCGTGGCGTGTCTCCCTTCTCATCTTTCTGATCGACCATGTGTTGATCCCTGGCCCCGTGTGGTAGGCACCGTCCGTGGCATTCCTGGTCTTGATCGCTCGCTCGTACGATGTGCAAGGCGAATGGGAGCGGCTCTTGAGCTGGCGAGGGCTGGTACTGTACTCCTCGCGATGGAGGACAAAGCGTTTCAAACCATGCCTCTATCCTATCCCCGCCGTCAGTTGGACAGGTAGACCTGTTTTGTTTTGCAACGCTTGCGGCTTTCGAGATCTTCGGAGGGCAAGCTTGGTTGTGGGTACCCCCTTCGTGGGTAAGACCGGGGTATACTGCGTCTTCTCGGGGGAACGCAGGGGGGCAGGCACCACCGAGCTTGTCAAGCGAGTCTTCAAGCTAGACCTCTGTTGTTTGTGCGGTCAGATGCGCTTGGGTGCGTTCATTGCAGGTGCAAGGTTGACTCCCGTTTGGGAGACTTGTTTGTTGGTTTTGCCTGGTGGAGTGGGTTGAAGGGTAGTCATTGTAAGGTTGATTAGTTTGTTGGTTGTGTGCGGTGGATATGGGGTGGTAGAATATTCACTGTAAGGTTTATACCGAATAGCCGCGATTGTTTGTTGATTTTGTGTGCCTGGTTCGGCCCGAGGACATTTCATTATAAGGATGAACAGATTGCGGCATTTGTTTGTTGATTCTGGGTGGTGGGTTGGGTCGAGAAGTTATCGTATAGGATGCGTAGCAACACGGGCTTGAGTACACTGAGGGCGCGTTGCTGAAGGGAAAGGGAAATCGACTCGGGAGGGAGATCCTGATACAGACTCCGACGACTGAGCTGATGAAATCCTCGATTTCTGGGCTTTCTCGTAATTTCATGCCGTTCCCTGATGGGTGCCTTATATGGAGCATAGGGTTGAGCAGTATCTCTGCGAAATTCTCAAGCGGCTTATATCAGTGAACATCGATGTCAATGGACGAAGGTCGAAACAAACCTGGATTTACCTCGACGCTTGCTACGATCCTAGCCGTGATGAGCAGACCTTATCGAGTTGACCCCTTTACTCCGGAATATATCAATATACCCCCCAACCCCTTTTGATCTTTGAGATTGCAGAGTGATCCCCACCCACTGTAGTTCCGCCACAGGAGTCACCATCAGAGTAGGTGGAAATCGCAAAATAAAGAGTTGCAATGTTTAAGTTTTATTAGATAAGAGTTAGAATTTGTTACTTGGATAGCTTCTCACGATTCTCCTCCAGTTGAGAAAGTTCAGACTGGGAAATATCGCGCCCATCCCCGCAAGCCTTCCAAATCTCTCGAATCCACCACTCAAGCCTCTCTTTGGGGTCTACGATTACCCCAGATTTCTCAACATCCTCTTCTGACCCCTTGACGCTGCCATTCTTTATACACTCCCTCCGAATCTGTCTAGCAATACCACCCATCTTCAGTACCCATCCGACTTTCCACATGGGTTCCCAATGAGTGTAACACCAGAAGACTACGAGAATGCAGCTAAATCCTTGCATACAAGTCTCGCCACCTTTAGTCGTGATGCCGTTGTGCCCAAACCAGTCTCTGAACGGCATGCCTGCAATACATAGCGCCAGCACTAGACCCGACACTATCGTAAAAGTGTGTCTTCTCCTTGAAAACAACGACAGACTGTGATATGGATTTGCGAGATATCGGGCAAAATCCACCATTAAATATCTTGCAAACCATTCGGTATGCACAGGGTGTTTCATCTCGAAAGGGAATCTTGCTTTCTGCGCAAAAGTCCCGAATGCCGATTCTAGACCCCCCGCCCATTGTTCTTTTTCTTGCCCGTTGGAAACTTGGATGTTGTTGGACCTATAGCCGCATACGATCGAGGTGACGAGAGGTACCATCATGGATATGAATAGGATTATCGACTGAAAAGATATTGCAATCTCGATTGGTTGTTCAAGGACGCCGGGCCCCAAAAAGAAGTAGGCCACAATACAGACCACGAACGGGATGTATACTAGCAGCATGAGTATGTAAACGATAATCAAGTCAAGGGGGGGCCATTGACGAAGATTTGGGACTGGCGGCGAAGATTTAGACATGGTAGTGCCTGAAGATTGCGCGAAGTAATGTTATCTGAATATGGGATTAAATGGGGGCGCAGACCAGATTAAATACAAGACGGAAGAACGAAGTTCGAGCTAACGCCAGAGACAGTCACAGACATGACGTGGATATCCTACCAAAAGTCACACATTCTGGATCACTAAAAATCCCGCCAGTAGACTGGACCCACATGGTATGCCACGATTTAAATTGATAACCAAAAGTTTAATGGAGTTATACCAGATATACAGTTATGTGTTAACCAAGTTCCTGCAAAGATCGGAACATTACACACGAGATGAAGTGTAGTCCCTCGCAGCATAGTGCGAAATACAATTGCCTATGCAAATTCTCTACGTAAACGTTAAGCAGCGTACTCTTTGGCACAACACGTATTTTGCTCCTGTGTTTGTCATTAAAATACTCTATAAACATCCGACTTAAAACAGTGTACCTACAATTTTTGGCTGAGGTAACAAGACGAGGTGGTGGTCGTAGCGCAAAATCATCCACTCTGCTGCTTGAAATTATAGATTGTGCATAGCAAGGCATCTCGAAGCCTGAACAACTGTGCTGTCATCGTCCTCACTTAAATAGGGGATTACCCTCACCATGAACAGAGGAAATTTAACCTTACCCCGCGGGCACTCCCCTAAATCTTTCCTAGATCTCGCCAATTATCGAGCGCAAAATAAAACGCAGCTTTTCTGAATGCTATAGCGGGAAGTCAAGGCGCAAAACCTATGAGAAAGGGCCCGTTAGCTTTAATCTTTTAAAAGACTGAAAGTTCCAGTGAACGATGCCTTTAAGTCGAAATACTTCCAGCGTGACAACTCAGTATGGTCACAAGTCTGGTAAACCATAATACTATTCTTGGCTCATGGCATCTTTTTGGGTCCAGCATTTCTCATATTCTCTGCCATGAAAGGAACCTCTGTTTGCTTAAGGAATGAGATGTTAAGCTCGGGGGAATTATTATTCCTCGTTCTCACTTAAGTAACCGCCAGCTTACAATAACAGAGTGTCATTTTTGTTTACCCTTTCAATTTGTAATCTGAAATACTATCCACGGATTTAGCACTGCTTTCCCATCTCTACGGCATTTAGATCTTCCCCTGGTAAGGCTGTACACTGAAATCTGTTCTTACGCATCGAATGCGGTGTGATTTGCTCATCATGTAAAAGCGGACCAAAGCCGAGAGGCGACATCTCTAAAGTCCGGAGCGCGAGGCCGGCTGCGGTGGGAGGCCGAAACCCCGCCACGAACGGGCATTCGCATCGCTATAAATGGCTGCAAAGTTACAATGGCACAATGGTCATTGGTAGATCTGGAAGAATTCTAAACTATATCTAGACACCGCAGCAGCAACTTTGGTTGTAGCTAACCAGAGGTGGAAGGAAGCGCAGTGTGCTTAGAACTATTTCCTGACACGGATTCTCGGAGTGGATTCGTAAAACGATATTTCTATCGATGAGCAAGCAGAAATATATTAATAATGCCTTTCGGGTGTTCCGCAGCCTGGTAACCAACGAGGGCCGAACAGCGAGGCTACATACACCTCCTCACGGAATTTCCTCTTATAAAAAAAACCCTTCCCAGACCTCCTCAAGGTCTATCGTCCCATAAATTCACCTTGCATCTTCAAATCATTAAATAAACCAATCGCATCAAAAAAAATCTTCATCGGCATCTGTGCCGCAGCCAAAAATCAAGGCCGCATTCACCACCCCACCATCCCACGCAAAAACTAAAGGCTACCGAACGCTCGATTTTCGAAACCACTCCAATTTCAACCCTACCAGAGACATCATATCTTCTCACTCCCAACAACATACTCCGAAAAATGGACGCAGAAATCTACTCCCCCTTCACCGTCACCACCACACCCTACAAAACCGTCAATTCCCAACCCATACCCCTCTACGTGCTCCTCCCCAAGACTCTCCCTTCTGGACCAGCACCGATCATAATCCACATCCACGGGGGTTTCCTCTTCGCGGGGAACGCCCTGTATCCCGACTGGTCGACCTCTTGGTCGCGTCGCTACAATTTGGAACACAACGCCATCCGAATCAGCGCCAACTACCGCCTCGCACCCGAAGCCACTGGTCTCGAAATTCTCTCCGACATCCGAGATCTCCTAACCTGGGTGGAGAACGATCTCGCGGGGTGTTTAAAGAGCATCGGTAGTGATACTACTCCGGATCTGGAAAGAGTCCTGGTGTATGGCGAGAGTGCGGGAGGGTATCTAGCGATCCAGGCGGGGCTTATGAGGTCTGATCTTGTAAAAGCGGTCGTGGCTTGTTATCCGATGACATATCTTGATTCTCCCTGGTACGCAGAAATTGGGGACAAACATCCGTTTGGTATCCCTACTATTAATAGGGAAGAAACGCTTGATAAGTACCTGGCGACCATGGATCGGGGGAAGATTGTCACGGAGTCGGACCCGTACGCGAGAATGCCGCTCGCTGTTGCCGCGTTGCAGAACGGATTGTTCCCTGAGATTCTGGGGAAGGAGGATGAAATCTATCCTGCGAGAGTGCTAGAGAAGATGAGTGGCAAGGAGAAGGTGCCGTTTTTGTTTACGATGCATGGGACGGAAGACAGTGCTGTGCCGGCTGAAGAAACGAGGAGGTTTGCTCAGGCTTGGGAAGAAAAGTTTGGCAAGGGGAGGGTGGTGGCCAAGTTCGAGAAGGGAGAGCATGGTTTTGATGGAGAAGTTGAATATGAGGCGCCTTGGTTGCAGGAGGGGTTGAAAGCGGTGACGAAGGCTTGGATTGGGTAGATGGAAATAGAGATGAAAGGAATAGAAAACCACTTCTAAGTTCTAACGAATTAACACAAATTAATTCTATCATTTGAGTGACATGAGAATCTCGGTCTAAAACAAACCAAATACTTAAGAAATGAAAGGTCGATTTTCGATATTAGCACCCTGGCCACCTCAGCCATCCATTTTCCAATCATATTTAAATCCCTCCGTATCAAGCAAAGCTAACACAAAGTACAACATTGTGCATCCTATCTCATCATCAGCTTGACGCCAATGGAGGAAGCTGTTATGGAATCTAATACCGAGCTGCGACCTCTGCAGGGAGAAGAGCGCAACTTTTGTTTGCATATTCCACGCTGAGCTGAAGACGATGGGTCTGGCGACTCCGCTAATTAGACAGCTCCAGTCCATCAATAAAGAAGTCAGCTCGAAGGACTCCGCGAATTGAGTTATCAGCGAGTCCTTGGTTCTGAACGAGAGTATGGATTTCTCCTGCTCGCTGAGAACTTCTTGAAATAAGCTCTCGCGAGCAAGGCTTAGGACCAGTGTGTCAAAGGATTATTCAAGTTATTCAAGTTATTCATGAATATTCATGAATAACTTGAATAAAATATAAGTAATGAGCAGCTTAAAAAACTTGAGTAAAATAGAATAATTATTCATGAATAACATGAATAACCATGAATAGTCACGTGTAAGTCACGGGATTATTATAAATTGACACATATTTTAATTTTAAAAAATAAATAAGGTGCTTATTAAGCAAGCTCATATAAGGGCACTTATATACTGATTTTCTATAATAATAAACTTGAAGTATTACTAAGGTTCAATTTACTTACTAAGTGCTACTACCACCTAATTAGGTAGTGAGGTGGCACTAGGTGCGGCCCCCCCCGGGAGCCTTACCTAACTAGGCTAGCCATATCACGTGTAATAATCACGTGTGTTATTCAAGTTATTCATGAATATTCATGAATAACTTGAGTAATATATGAATAAAATATGAGTAACGGGGTTTATACTTGAATAGATTATGAGTAACGGCCATTATTCTATTTTACTCTATTCATTTGACACACTGCTTAGGACTGCTGGATCTAATATCTTCTCGATACTTTCTTTGCGACTGGGTTGCTGCTTCTCAATTTACCAGCCCCTCACTTCGGCATCAGTAATTCATTTGATTTGTTGATACCACGTGGTCCACCTTGACCCAGACCAACGGACTCCGGGTAGCAGAAGATCGACAAAGACGTAAAGCACCGCGAGGCAAATGATAATGTCGTGACGCGGAACAAATATCGTTGCAAGTGGAGAGACGAACAGGACTGGAATACGGCATATGATAACTGCTCGGACCTAAAGGTCAACGCCAATGCTCCGTTGATATGTCGCCGATGTTGGGAGACAACAAATTAGATACTGACCGACAAGAAAGCTGTTCCCATGAATTGGAATTGGCAAGAGTTGCAAGAAGGTAGCTGTGGGTGGTAAGGACGACAAGATAGAGAAAGAAAATGATGCCAGCGTAGGCACTGATTGTGCAGGCGAATGCAATGAAGCCGACGAGCTTGACAATGAATGTGAAGGCAAATCCGCCAAGAAGACGGGTAATTACGAAGTAATTCATGGCCGAAAAGGCCATCGACGTGAGGCAGTACGTGCCACAGCATGTGATCCACGTTCCGATTGCCCCAGCGGGCAAGAGCGATGTCATCAAGACAGTGGTGGCGCTGTGCTGCACCTCAAAAGTTATGAGACCTGCACTCTAAGATGCATTCCGTGCCCGGTCATGGTCAACATCAGAATATCGACGAGAGCTGGAATAGCGAAGACACTGAGGAGCGTGAATTGTTTGTACGCCGGCATTTTGTGCAGTTCGGAGTTCAAATCGACATCTATTTGACCTCTAGCATAGGCAGAAGGTAGTGCAGCTTGAGTCTCTTTGAAAATTGGAGGTTGATATTCAGGTTTGGAATAGTAATTGTAGTAGCTCTTTGACTGAAATCCTCCAAACTGGCCAGGCGATACATCGAAATAAATTTCGCAACGAGAGCCAAGAGCGAAAAGCTCTGCAAAGCAGCAAAGGCAGCGGCCTGATCCGTTTCGTCATTGGAAAGCGCATTCCGGTCCGTTATTTCGATAGAAACCTCTTCGGGTGCGAGCTCTCGCATAACGAAAAATGTTGCCAAGACGAAGATGTCGCTGGTTGCGTTGAAATCTGGGTCGCCGAGGAGCTTTGTCAAGAAGTCGACGAATGCTTGAAGATCAATTCGATTCCTAGATCTCAGAATATTCGTGACCATCGCTTGAACTTCTTTGAACAATAAAAGGGCTGTGCGGAGGTCGGGATAGCGCCTTGAGATTGGCAGTGCCATTAACGACGGGAGTCGAGTAAATCTTCAATACTGACATCCCCATCGAGGTAATCAACTGTGTTGATGGGTTTGAGCTGGTTCCAGGATGGCTTGTCAATGAGTCTTTCTAGGATAGCTGACTTCTGGTCGCTGAGGAATATGTCAGAGCCTGGATTTAGAGCCGGAGATATTCTCATCAACAAAAGAAGGCAGCCTTCAGGTGACATCAATTCAATATCCTGGACGACCCGTGGCGGAAGGTCATGGGCAAGGTAAGAGTAAAGTTCCAACGAGCAAACGCAGCCTCCACGGCGAAGCATTGACATCTGTTGAAATCTCGGGATGTGAGGAACGCGTGCAGGATAGTGCCCATCAAATCAACCACGTTCTTTGAGACGTAGATATCGAGGAAAGCTAAATCGTGGCAATGACATACTGCCCAAAATCGTCTCTCTTGGCGACGTTGAAACCCGAGTCAAGCCCAAGGAACACCCAAATGCCCCCCAATCGATCGTCAGGTGATAATTTCAGAGAAAGCGCCAAATCAATAATTGTTTGTTGAATTGTAGAGGAGCTATTAGTTATTGAATTGAACGAGTCGTCATTGGTGGTGACGAACTCGCTGAACGATGAGCCATATCTGCGGAGATCAGAAGGCTTACCCATTGCCACCAATGCTGCAACAGCTCTGGCCAAGTGCCGGTGTGAACTCTAGAGATCACCAATTCGTTAGGTCAAGGAATGCCTTCACCAGAAACAAGCAAATATCTCAAACTCACGAACAAGGGTGAAATGTTCACGTCTATACGACCCTAAAGGACGGAAGGAACCGAGTAGGGTCGGCATAGGCAGCCGACGGAAAAGGATTGACTGCCACGCGAGAGAAAATATAGGACAAGATACTTAGCGGTGGCTGGCGTCATCGCAAGTCTAAGGCAGTACTCACTCCCCCAAAACCCTACCTCAACCCCAAATATGATCTACGGGACTCACCAGTAAAGAAGGGTTCCATAAGTGTGAGATATTCGGACCCCGAAGAGATGCAACAAGGATATAATTGTGATCTTGGACTTGTGTTGAGCACAAGAGAACGCTTGGAACCTCTATGAAACCGAGGGCTGGTTGGATGCTGGCCTCTGTCATTTCGGAGGCATACTGGCTGGACAACAGGATGTCCACAAGACTACATCGTGCGGATAAGAGGCACAATAATAAACAGTCGAAAACGAGCAGGTCTAGCCTTCGCTGCAGGTCCAGGCGTCTCAACCTGGGTCTGGGATGGCTCTCTAAGAAGGCGCATCGCCTCAAACCAGAGAAGAACGAATGGATACGCACAGTACATCTCGGGGAGGTTTGGGGCGCAACCTCATACACGCAGGCCAGTGGTTCGTGATCGGATCCGTGACGAGTCTTCCGAATGCCCGGAAGCCGCCATGTCTCCCTGGGGATCATATTGCCTTTTATGATGTGCAAGATTGCTAGACGCGGGATGACTGGAAAGGGCAAGGGTCGTCTCCCAGATGTATGACAACCGGGTAAAGGGCTTGTCTGGTTGGCACGAATCCTTGATGCATCCTGGATCTAAGGGAGCTGTGTTATTCCATGGAAGAAGAGAAGTTGGCGAGCAGGACCAGACGTTGAGACTTCCACGTGATTAGCCCCAAAACTGGTTAGCGTCCGCACTAGCCCCACGCTAAATGTCTCACTTTAACTGGGGCTCGGCCCCCCCCTGAAAACCTTCCAACCTTCAAAGTATTTTGACATTTCTCCTCGTTCATGCTTCGTTCCTGCGCCAATAAAAAACCAACATCACCGCTACGGCGGACCTGGATCTCCACATGCATCCGGAATCCCAGATAGACCACGGAACGCCAAGACGCAATAATTGATTTTCCTCCCTCCGCATCCTTGACAGCCCATCGGCGGTCCCGTCCGCGAGGGGAAACGGTACAGAGTAGTGGAAACATTGCACACTGCATGGAATGTGCTCGTCTTTTGAATTCTTTGGCCGGATTGTCTTTAATTCTCAATTGCTATGTCACCATTGTTGGGCCGAATCCTGTTTCCCCCGGTATGCCTTATCTCCCTTGGACAATAAAGATTGCCTCTCAACTCATCTTCGTTACTCCATGCTTCATCAACGGAGACTCCATGAACACTGCCCAGTCATGCACCGTCAAGGCAGTCTTGAAGGAAAGATTGACTTCTTCTGCGCCTCTCTTGATCAACTCTTCAGTGTATTCTGCAATCGATTCTTCTTTCTTGCTCCGCTCGTCGTTTATCTTTACTACAGCGGCGACGAAATTCGAAGCATCAAGTATACAATGATTAAGCCCTTGCCCACGATCTGACTTTGATTAGTTCTAGTTATTCGCACTTGTTTCACGACACTCAACTTACGGGGTGGAAGTGGATGGGCTGCATCCCCACAAAGAGTGATTCTCCCTTGGTGATTTTCAAATGGTACTGGAACCCAGTACGCTATTGGGTCAATGTTGATGGTCGTATCATCCGGCATCCACAGATTAGCGGATCGAAAAGGTTCTGATAGCTGGCTGGCAGCGCTTTTGACCCTTGCCATTCGCTCTTCATTGCTCAAGCTAGCATCTCGTTGTCCCAACCAAGAAGAGCCTACTTGAAAGGCCCAAGTCTCGGGTTTGTCTGGGTCGGGCATGTCTTGGACTAGGCCATGGTCAATAATTTGTTCGTGATTTATGACACAGAGGCTGGATACATACTAGCTACGAAACTGAAGATGCCTTTTGGACAGTATCCGAAAAGATTTTGTGGGTGTCCTGACCTCACATGCAACGATTTTTCCGCCTCTCCATACTTAACAATAGACATGTTGTAGACGATTTCCAAGGGAGTACTCCTCGCCTTTTCGAGCCCGAGTAAGATCTCCCGCACTTTCGATTTCGGACCATCGGCACCCACGAGCACGTCGCCATGATAAGTTGATCCATCGGAAAAGTGCGCGCTAACTCCTGGCCCATCTGATCGGTAAACAACCTCACGAAGAGTCTTTCTCCATTGTACTTCAATGCCCTCTGCACACAAAGCCCTGAGCTTTTTTCTCGACACACGCTTCATGTTCGGGGTGGATATGGTTTTGAGCACATCTCCAGTCTCGCTATTTCGGAATTCAATGGTATGATCGAGACCTGTTCTGAGCCCAGGATCACATTGTGTTTCAAACAAACGGTTGGCAAGATCCGTAGGAAGGAGTTGCTCTAGAATTGGTATTGACCAGTGGATTGCCAAGGTCCATTCTCTCGGCCGACTTATTCCTGGAGTTTCCGCATCAAATATTGTGTATTCAACACCAGCCTAAATCCGAGTGTTATCTTCCAACTCATTGGAGTAAAGTTTGGATGTGAGAGCCAAACCCTCTTCAGACCTTGTGCGATCAACAGGCCTGTTATTCCGGCACCTACGATGAGAACATGAGGACCAGCATTAGTATTGATATGATCGTAAGTCATTTTACCTGAGGCGGTCTATGTTCTTGGCGCTCCTGTTCTTGAAAGCTGACAAGCTCGGGGTGCCAGTGGGCAGCAGAGGGGCTTGGTATTCACGTGACGAGCGCCGAGTCGAACAATGCTCAAAGTGTGCTTTCCATCATATTCAAGGGTGTAATTCATTTCATTTATAGCCCAACTGAAGCCCGCAATACCAATCAGCTATTTTAAAGCACTTCTAAGCTTATAACCGTCAGTCAGTCCCATCCCTTTTTCTCAGGTTCTGTGAGAAATCGCTTAACCTGATTAGGAACCATCATGCGATTCGCAAAAACGCGCCGGCAATTGCCTGCAAATCGCGAACTGCTACTGACCTCGAGCTGACCAACCCGACGTTTATCCCGCCTGTCATCAATTGCCCCCTCATATACAAGTCACCACCTCCAGTGGAGGGTCGCAAAACACTTCCGATAACAGACTTTGACCACACTGGAAACCTCAAACGATGTGAAACCATCTTCTTCGGTCTCAATACGATCGTTGTCGCCACGAGAACCGAAAACGATGGTGGGACTCCCGAACAGGGCCGCTCGGTGTGGAATCTGCCGGCGCCACAAGATCAAGGTAATCCACTATGGGGAGAGTTTCAGGTCGAATTACTGACAAACAGGACAGTGTGACCTTTTACGTCCTGCTTGTTCAAGGTGCAAGCGATTGAATCTGAGTTGTGAATATCCAGACTTGCAGAGGGGCCAGATTTTCGTCAACCGAAATTTGAAGAATCCTCGAGTGAAAGCAATTGATATATTATCAACAACGACTTCTGAAAAGAAGAAACTAAAGACCCCAGAAAATATATATCCCATCTCAGTTGTGACTACTCTTGGGGGATACCCCGAGAAGCAAAACGTTTCAATTCCTCACTCTCCAAATCCGGAAACTCTGAACCGAATACAGTTATTATCCACCTTTATTGACCTATATCTTCCCAAAACGCAAGACCCAGCCGTACCCGGTCAATCACCGGCTACGTGGATCAATTGTTTGGGCAATATAGCCACGAGCAATAATACATTTGACATCTCCCTGAAAGCCTTGTGCTTAACACAGCTTGGACTCTGGCACCACGACTCTGCCTTGGTGAAGGAAAGCCACCGTTTGTATGGTTCCGCCCTCCGAGGGCTAAGAGAAGAAGTTAGCCATCGGAAACTGGATGCGCCAAAGGCCACTCTGGCAACCATTATCATTTTGTCAACATATGAGGTGAGGTCCCCTGTCTTTGTTGCATGTCTTACTCAATCTGATGAAATGGATAGTTGTTCTCCGGGTCATCGGAGAGGAGTCAGGGGTGGGTGAGCCACGCTCGAGGTGGCTCGCATATCCTACGAGTGCTTGATCCAAGCATTGCCTCAAGTCCAGTCGGCCGCCTACTCTGCCCACGAATACGAATAATCGGTGTAAGTCAATCAAAGGCGCAGCAAAGCGCGAGACTAACAAGGTTCAGATATTCGAATCCTTCCGAAGTCGCAAGACAGCCCTCCTGACAGGACTACACGTCCAATCTCCCACTGAAGCCGAAATATCCGATTTATACTGTCACCTCCAAGACCTCATGATACAGATACCTCCAATTCTAGAAACATTCGATACCCTTACGATCACAACTATCGATCAAGCCACTTTGAGAACTGTACTAGCTCAACTGCTCCAAAGATGCACAACGCTACACGCCCAACTCCTCGCTTGGTGCGAAGTCTTACGAGAACACGTCCCCAGCCAGCTATACTCGAGCCATCCATCCATAGCCCACAACCCCGCAGACGAACCTGGTTCTCACACATTCCCCCTCGCATTCCATTTCCTCACGCTGAGTATCGCGCAACTTTTCCTGCTGTACTGGTCAAGCTTGATAGTTCTGTACCGCACGATGCAAGACGTATCCCTCAGACTCGCCCAACCTCTCCCATTCCCCTCCCCAGGGAAATTCTCGCTATCTCCACCATCCGCACCATCCGGCCAAGAGCACAGCTGCGATGATGACCTTGACTTCGAGCACAGCTTCTCCTTCCCATCGACGAACAACATCGCCACCCTCGCGGGAAAAATCTGCCAGTCATTCGAATACTGCTACCAGAGCACCAACGGCACGCTGGGTGTTCAATCAACAGTATTTCCACGCTGGGTAGCGACCGAGTTCTATGCTTCGAGACCCAAATATCACCGAGAGCTGAAGTGGTGCGATGAGGTTCAAAATATGACGGCGGAGGGGGCGAGATTCGACGTGAGGGTTGCGAAATTCGGGGACATGGGGGAATTTCGGATTTGAAGGGTAGAGTGTGGAGGACCGAAGTTGTGGTAGATATTGAAAATGTTTGGTAATGGTCAAGTAGCTCGGATTATCTATTAAATCAAAAGGCTGTGCATCACTCGACTTGAATCGTGCCGCAATAGAGCCGACAAGACCAAAATTTTGCACCTTTTCCACACCCAGTTACGAGGTGACCCAGATACGAGTGGCTTGCTGGTTCGTGGCGCATTCTGTGGAGGTACTGAACATGCAGACAGGGACTTCAAAAATTGCACCTTTGTCTGAGTGGTCCGCTTACCGGCCGATCCAGGCTTCTCCAGCGGTTTCACAGCCTTCCATCTCGTCCCGCTTCTTCGTTCCCTACATACTCATTCCTTTACCTCTCTTCGACAAACTCAGGACCTTTTCTCTCCGTTGTCACAGCAGTTCTGCCAGGCCCCTCCGCGATCCATACCCACCTTCATCAATATCACAGGAGAAGTCATGTCGATGAATGGAATGGACCTTGTCTCTCGTGAACTCGAGGCTGGTCAGGTAGGAGCAAGGACGCAGAAGAAGCCTCGCCAATTGAAAGCAATCGAGCGCAATAACCTGATCTGGGAAGCTTATAAAAATGAAATTCGAAGCCTCTACGTCGCTCAAGACATGACTTTGAAAGCAACAATTGCGTGGTTTGAGCTGAAGCATGTCTTCGTCAAGAGGCAAGCATCCAGTCCACTAAATGTAGGGGTGTTTGCTGACAAGTCATAGCGAGAGAAAATGGAAAGAGAAGGTCAAGGAGTGGGGTTTCGAGAAGAACGTTCCATCTTGCGATATGAGCTACATGGTCGCCAAATCCATGAAAAGAAAGGCTGAGGGGAAGGACACCACGTTTTATCGGAGCGGCATGCAAGTTGATGAGAACAAGATCGAGCAGTTTAAGAAGCGGAGAATGACGGCTTCCAACGACGTAAGCTTGAAAGAATTACCTGGTGACTCTTGCGATCCATCCCCTCACTTTTTGTTCCACGCACTAACTGCGTAGATACACCACCGCACATCGATTATTCGACGCCAAAGGCTGTCGACAACCACGGTGAGAGCATAGGTGTACCAAATGTCCAGACTCCCGAAGAGGGTCCCGTAGATTCGCAGGGTGAGTCTACAGACCCACCCTCTTTAACTGGAGTCACTTGGGCGCCCCTCCCATTCATAGACAGTCTTCTTCCCCTAGACTTTGTCTCCAAACGGAATCCGGAGACCGATAGGATGATGAACCTTGCCCGATATATTCGAACAAGTCAACGGCGTTTCTTAGCTGAATCGTTTTATATCGATGCCGTTCAGTCATACAACGATACCACAGGGGCGGTCCTTGGACCCGAGTCCGAGATATACCTCACTGAGACCTTAACATATCTTGGTACCTCTACCGGCCGAGATTTGCCAAATTCTGTGTTCAATTGTGCGAGACTGTGGGCAGCACTCGCTTCTACCACGACCTCGTTGACTGGTCTCTTCCTCTCCTCTTCGAAGGGGCTTCTTAGAAGGGCTACGTGGTTTCACGAAAATCAGTTGGAAGCGTCAATTAATAGGTTTCTCAAATATGTAACGGGCCATTGGATCGCAATGCCAGATGGGACACTACGGATGAACCATCAGAGAAATCCTTTGGGGGCACTTGACTTAATTGATTGTTATTTTGAACTTTTCAGCCGGGCGATGAAGGGGATAAGATATGAGAATCCAGTACGGGACCATGTAGGAACAGAATTCTCCACAGAATTTCGAAATTCGGAAGTCACCTTGGCCCCTCTCTTCCGTCAGCACCTGATTTGGATTCTGGTTAACCATTGTCTTCGTCTACGACATCTCGAGGACTGGTCGGCACTCCTTCCAGCTATACACTGGACTTACCAGGCACTGGCGTGTCTAGGGCCCCGCCCTTCCAAAAGATTCTGCTCGGAGCAACTTCTTCTTATGAAGTCAATTTTGATCAGCATCCCTCGCCCACTCGGACGGTATATCTCTCTTGAGAAGGTGGAAGAAATCCTGTATCTAGACAACAAACTTCTCGAGATTGTCACATTTCCTGCGCGCGGTGTGGGCGTTCCAGGAAGCTTGGGCTGGGTCGAAGAGGAAGAGGCTGGGTTGGAAGATGATGCCAGTGCCGGCGAAGAGGAAAGCAGTTCAGACGAAGATGAAGAAATCGTGTCGGGAGACAATGAACACAACCTCAAGGAGATGGAAAGCAGCACGGAAAGCAAAAGCTCGAACAATTACGGGGAAACGTATACAGAGTCTGTCGACAGTGAGAGTAGGATGATGGGGATTGGTTTCGACTACTCAAGCTTATTTGATTAGAAAAAGAAGATTGAAATACCACTGCTCAAGCATCAGCCCCCGTTTCGTTATAATGAGTGACAGATATTCAGATGCTATAACCAGAACATAGCGAGCTATCCCACCTTGAAGTGTGCATCTCATATTTTCACAACTCATCCAGATGCTCAAGATGCAAATTCACACCTGCACTCTTGCCTCCCTTGACCTGGATGCGTCTACAATCTCGATCAGTCTCCGCTGCACTATCGAAAGACGACCGACCGTTGAAGACACTGTACTATATATCCCTTCTGGAAACCTGCCAGGGCAATCACATATAGTCTGGGCGCTCTGTCTAAATTCGCTCTCAAGCGGGGGCTAGCCGAACATAACACTGCTGAGGCGCATGAGCAACTGAGTCGACTGCACTATAAGAGGAAAGCTCTGCAGGCACTGGCAAGAATTTGAAGTTCCAAACAATGATGGTCAAGACGGTGCGCATTTCCAGATATGCAAATTTCTTGCCTGGGAGAATGCATTAGCCAGTGATTCATTTGGTCGGATCTCATAAGTGGAAAAGGTATCAAGGATCCATTTTTAACGTACCAAAACAGCCGCGAGCACCCCCACCAAATTGCGTATTGGGACCTGCTTGCATGTCGATCTCAATCCGACCATCGCTATCTGTCTTCAACCAGCGATCGGGGTTGAATTGGGCCATGTCTAGGGGGTCCCACTCCCCAATCTTGTCCTTTGCCTCCTGGCAGCTCTGGCTCCTCAACCTCTCGTCGATGGGCATAGGCGGAGAAACAAAAGATGGGCCATTGGTCATGAACAAGACATTTGTGCCCTTGGAGAGATGAACGCCAAGCAAGTCGGTTGCAACTAAGCTCTTTCGGGCGTGCGTTGCAGCAGTGCCTCCACAGCGTAGTATCTCTTCGACCACAGCGTTGAAGTATGGCATCTTGGAGTCAGTGATCTCGCTATAAGTAGGTTGTCTCCCCTCAGCGGCGGCGTCAGGCATAGCGTCTCGTATGGCTTCACGGAGTGTGCTTTGAACATCTTGGTGATCTGTCAAGAACTTCAGCCCCCACATCAAAGTCGTAGAAGTCGTCTCGTGTCCAGCTAATAAAAACCCGAAGAGTTCGTCCTTAAGCACTGTGGCGTCTAGTCGAGGCGGTCTGCCTTCTTTCCTCGCTTGGTGAATCTCCCGACGCAGGACGTAGTCCATGGCGGACTTCACTGGAAAGTTGCCACTTTCGCTATTTCCAAGTCGGTCTCGAGAATCTTTGAGAGCATTGCTAAGCATCAAATCTTTCCTATTAAATGCTCTCCTGATGCGAGGGATCTTTAGGTAGAAGAAATAACTGAGTCCAGGGAGTGGAGAAGCTAGTCCGATTTCCATACTGTCAATCACGGTCCTAATGGACACAACGTCGTCTGACGTGGGCGCCTGGGGGAAGGAAACTGGGAGATCGGGATTGTCGGCAAGTTCGACCTTAGAACACTGGGTAAGAAGATCCAATTGAGACCTGGTAGTGCCCGCTTCGGAGCCAACGGCAGCAGCCCAGATTGTATCCAGAGCTGCATTGGCAACGTCTTCTTCCGCGGGGAATGGGTGGTTGTTAGCAAGAACCATTTTCCTACGCCAGAGCTGCAACAGTTCCAAAGTTGCACTGTAAAGCTGAGGCGCCGCAACCTGTGGGAATGTGAGCTTTTGACCAGTGCCCTAGTAGACGAAAGTATACACACCTCATTAAGAAATGCCGGGGTCATCAAGTCCGAGAGCAGAGCGCGGTGGGCTCTCTGCTTTGGACCCGAGGGAAATGGAAAGTGGTGTTCCCTTAGTATGGGCTGAACAACGTCTGTAGTGAACGAAGACCTGTCAAACTCCTTTGAGCGCCGCGTCAAAACGTCTTGGCATTCCCTCGCATCGACAACTATAACCCAAGGGGCAGAGAATGGTTTGACAAAGATTTGAACCATTGGGGCATTCAACTTATTACATTGTTCCGTCATCCATGTAAATGTCTCCCGCGTGTCTCTCTTCCATTTCACCATGCTTGGTATGTCACCAAATATGCTTCTGGAGGATGCATAGTTGTAGGGAATCCCAGGTATTGGTTTGGGTAGCGCGGCACGATACAGAATGGCCAGAATAGCAACAACGATACTGACAATAATTGCTGTCGAGGAAGAGAAGATGGAGAAAGTCATGTTGAAATCCCTCAAACCGACGTGGAACTTCGCAAACGATTCAAGGAAGAATAATCAAGAGAGAATTCAAAGGGTATAACATCTTATCGGCCGCATCCATCACAATCACATCTTAGCTGGTTCGTTCTGCCCACAAGGCAGCTCCGCATGGGGAAGTAGAAACGCCGTGAGCAAGATGAAGTTCATAATGCCGGCCGCGCAGAAACGCGGCAATTTCAAGATATCCGATTGCGGAGACAGGTATATTATATAATAATCCCGCCTTACAGCCCACGAACATTCAAAACTCTATAATCCCGGTCCAGCCTGTCATACTTGTCCTATCCCCCACTGCCAAGGTGGGGACCCCGCGACCCAGTGTCGTGGCATCAGAAGATGCGGAGAGCGGGGAAAGGCAAATGAAATTATGAAACCTCCTTCTCCACGTCCACGCCCTCAATGGCTGTTGCACACATCCTCAAGTGGAGTCCACGTCCCAGTCTCGGTCCCAAATCAACCCCCAGAACAACTTTGGATCGGATTGCCGTTGCCGTTGCCATCTAATTTGCCTACGCTGGTCTGCGATCTTCAGAGAAAAATCCTGTTTGTGAGGGACTCGCTGATAATTCTCGTCAAAAGAAAAGGGGCGATAAGCGAGCCCCCGAGCCCACCTTGACTTCTGTCTACTTTTCTACAATGACATGTAGAACTCGATGAGGGGTTCGAGCACATTTGGTGGGTGGCGAATGGCTATTTTTACAAAAAACTAGCGAAAGCTAATTTGATGTAAAGTTTCAAGCGATCCACCAACCCGGTTGTTGGTTTGGCATGCATTTGATATGAAATGAGAGATTTAGTATTATTATTTTACTCCTTTACTGAGACGCTCGGCGCACTATCCGGCAGGGAAAATTCTTCTGCTTTACGAACCAGTCGTTCGTAGTCTCGATATCGCGCTCTGGGAAGACTGGTTCAATATCGTACCATCGAATAATCTCCGGGACGACCTTTGACATTTCCAGAAGGCTGATATTCTTGCCGAGACATGTACGCGTACCACTACCAAACTAGGAGATATCAGGATGGTGACGATTGGGGTGGCAGGAATGCGGGGCTTACTGTCATGAAATATGCTTCTCGCTGCTTCACAAGCTCCGGCGCTTCAAGCCATCGCTCAGGCCTGAATATATCTGCGTCTTCCCCAAAGACGTCTTGGTTTGCATGCGCGGCCCACGCATTCACACCGACAGTAGCCTAGTAGTATATCTTCAGTATCAATATATATGGATGTGCGTGTCGGCAAAGCTTACACCGGCTGGGAAAAAATGACCCGCGATAGTAGAACCACCTTTGGGCACTACCCGACCCAAGATCAAACCCGTTGCTGGATGACAACGCAAAGCCTCCTTGAGCACGGCTTGAAGGTATTTTAGCTGTTGCGCCTCTTTGAATTTGATCGGAGTGCTGATTTCCCCACGGTTGGATGCCTCCTCTAGCTCGTGCCGAACCTTGTCGAGAACCTTTAGGTTTTTCGAGATGTAGTAAAATACAGCGGTGAGTGAGATCCCAGTTGTGTCAGAGCCGGCTCCGATATTGGCTAGCGCCGATGCCATAATATCTCTGTCTCTGACCTTCTCGGGGTTCTCACTTTGCAAGTGGCGAAAGCGGGTGATGAAGTCTGAAGGCCCGGTGTTGTTCTTCTCCAAAAGTGGACCCTTGAGGCGCGGAGCAACGATCTTGTCTACGAAGTCTAAAAGGTGCTGCAGTCCCCTCATGCTTGGGAATAACAGAACATTGGCGAAGAAGAGCACTGGGTGGATCTCCGGAATTATGCCAATACGGGCTGAGTAGTACAGAAGAATCTCGAGTGAGCCCATTATGCCATTGATGTCTTCGCCCTTGTCAAGGAAGCCGAACCGTTTGCCAAGCTCAAATACCTGTCAGTGGCTAGCGGGGAAGAAATGGTCACCAATTACATACAGTCACATTGCCAATGACGTCGAACGCATAACATTGCAGCCAGTGGGGAAGGTCGATCGCTTCGCCGGCCTTTGCGAACTCGGTCAACCTTGCCTTCAAGATATCCGTACATTCGTTGATGAAAGGCTCGAGTTGTACCAAAGTTGTCATAGAGTAGGCTCCCGAGATTCTCCTACGGTTAACGGCGTGCCTCTCTGTATTTGGATCCGCAAAGAGGTTTTCATGTATCCGACCAGGGACAGCAGTGGCCCGGTAGAATGTTGACTGAAAATATCAGAACCGAATGTAATAATTTCTGGAAACCACCGCACCTTGATAAAGCCACCTTTGCTTCCGTAAATGGTTTGCACAGAATTTGGGTCATCGATACTATATTGCCCAGGAGCTATGCGAATAACAGGTCCTTTAAAAAGGTTAGTTAAATGTAGAATATGATCGAACGGAGGGTACCCACCATGCTTTCGATGGAGCTCGACATCTTTTAGATGAAATCGCCCATAATACGTTTCACGGAGAAGCCAAAAACGACTGAACCGCGCCAGAAAAGGGCCAGGGATAGACGCTAGCTTGGATGAATAATGACGAAACAATCTGTAAATGACGTTGATAACTACAAGCAGGAGAAGACTTGAGGTAAGCATAGAGATATTTAAATGATGAATCATCATGGAAAGTAGGCCACGCTCTTGTTCCCCGGCAGGTTAAACACAGAAGCAGATAAGAGAGCTCCGAAGTAGAGGAATGGGGAATGTGGGGCAAGTAGATGCGCCGATGGCAGCTGTATAGATTAATTGCGGTGGCAGAACGTCCAATGGACAAGGTGTTTTCAAACTACACAGTTTCGTAATACTACAACGTTGGGGCGGTCCTTTTAAGGAATGCTGGTTGGTAGCCGATCAAGATGCCGGTGTTACACAACCTTCAGGCATTTGCCGCGCCGTGAAGGGCCAGATTGACCGGGCTTGGGGATGGTGAAGAAGTTGCGCCGCTACCCCGCACGAGAGATAGCCCAAGCTCAAAGTTCCATCCATGAATGAAATAATCGTACGTCAAGTTTGTCTTGTCGGACACGCCACGGGATCCAGTGCACATTCCGGTGGGCTCTTTCTGGCAAAACCGTAATAGTCAGACTTGACGTCGGGCTAAAGGGGCCCTCCCCTTTAGTCGGGGAAAACGAGTTAGCCCGCAGCTTTTACTGAGGCTATTAGCGAGAACGCATATGCGAAAAGTGATTTTCTGATTTTTTGATTTTTGCACTGGTCCACCCCCACCCCCACAACGCAAAGAACACCCAAAAAATCGCGATTTCGCCCCCGCCCCCTCTTCTCTCCCCTTACCCCCTCTCTCCTAGCCGTATACGTATATAGATAAATAAAAATTAAAGAGAGAGAGTAATTTTTTAAGTAATAATAGAAATATAGGGAGAGGGGGTATAGTGTATGGTGTATGGGCGTTTGCGATTTTTGGTGGGGTAAGCCCGTGCCGAATCATAATTCGTATGTCGTAAGTCGTACGCTTGCTTGGTCTTCTGATCCTTATCTTTCCGTAAGGCGGGGTAGAGCTGTGCAAAAATAAAAAAATTAGAAAACCAGGGGCCGCATTAGCGGAAGAAAATGCAAAGAGTAAAAGCCAGATTTAGATCTGATTCCGAAGCATTGATTTCATTTCGGAGCTGTAAAAGGCCGTTCTGAATAAGTACAGCCAAAAATCGTCTCTAAAAACCACCCTTATAATCAAAGTCCCACCCACCACTTATAAAAGAGACCCAGATTAAAATTGCTGACCTGTAAGACGCCCCACGATATAAAAGGAGCCCCAGAACGCCCGTAAAACACGCCCATTCATTATTAGCCTCAAGAGCACCTGCCATCTCTTCAAGTAAATTAATAATAAGAATATTATATTCGTAATTACCAAAATATACTCCTTAATTTTCCTAAATCCCTCAAAAATAAACTTAAGTAAATGTCACGATAAGGTGATATTGCAGTGGTGGTAAAGAGTTTGAATTGAGCTGAAGGCTGCCTGCCGGGCTAAAAGCACTGGCTACACGCTAAGTCACGTGCAGTGGCACCACGTGACTGGTGCCACGTAATAGTCAATTATACTTTTAATTTATATATATGCCTATAAGATATAAATATTAATTACAAATATTATAAGTAGAAAAAAAAGCTAGAAACTTATTAATAATAAGGAGAGAATTTTCCTTGGCCCCCCTTAAGCGAGCAGATTTTACCCAAACACGTGATTTTTTTTCGGATTATATATGAGCAGAAGTCATAGACAATTGCCTTCATAGGCACGAATACTTATTAAATCTTGGGGGGAGACCCCCCAAACCCCCCTCTAGCTTTCTGAACAAGTTTTTAATTTTCTTAATTTTACAAATTATGTGACAGTGACATTTTCTGACACGTGATATTTTTTGCCACACCAGCCCACCGCGTGTAACTAAAACCCAGCTTCCGACAAGTCTAAATCAGGCTTTTAATCACTTTTCGCATATGCGTTCTCGCTAATACTGTAGCCTCAGTAAAAGTTGCGGGCCAACTCGCTTTCCCTGACTAAAATGAAAGGTCCCTTTAGCGCGACGTCAAGTCCGGCTATTAGTCCCGTGGTGAGCGACCTCGCATTCGGACATCTCGAGTCTTCCGCTCTCCCAGTTACGCTACATCAGAATCTTTTGCGAAATCTAGCTTGGAATACAGTGAATTAACCAGAAGCGCCAATAAAGTCAAGAATCAATCATTGTAATCCATTATCGAAATCTTCTCATTTTCAGCACGTTACAACAGTTCAATGAACGTGACATGCTTGAAGCGTACCAAGACTGAGAAAAGTTCAAGAATTCGCTTCGACCAGTGTTAAAAACGTTGAGCAATACCCATAGACTCAGGATTAATTTTCGCTTTCGCTGGTTCCGTTTTAGTTTGCAGACGTGAGCAACTACTGCTTTATCCTGAGCCGAGGGTAAGCCTACCTAAGCCAAGGGTGAGCATGCCGGATCAGAGCCTCAGCAAGCCTATGCACTATGATTTGGGACCAATTTTGGCCTCCTGCGTAACCGGCTATAGTTTCCTTACCGAATTTCGCCCGGGAATCCGTTTCTGCTCCCTTCCAGGTTCCTGCCGGAGCAGATTTTAGATCCCTCTTGTCAAAGAGCTTATGTAGTAGTAATTCAGCCTCACAAGTCAGAATGTCACACAAGATGCTGAATGTTGCGTTGAGGGCGTTGGGTGCTGTGTCAGTTGGACATCACGTGATTCATTCTAATCATCCTAATAGAGTTAGCTCCCTTCAGCAAGCATAAATAGATTCTCTTCCAAAATGCTCTTCTTGTACTTCAGAGATCTCAATCATAATCGTCTCTACCCTCAATTCTGAGCTTCATTTAATGAACAATTCATCTCCGACAGTGCTGGTGGTGCAATCGTCACGCTGAGTCAGCTGCATATATATCTACCCCTCTTCCACCCGGACCTCGACTATCCACTACTTATCAATCCCCTTTAGTATGTGACTATGTATACAAGAAACAATGAACTGAATATCAAGCATCCATTTAGAGAAGTTTCGAAGTTATACTCTCTATGTCCTAGCAAGCTATGGGAATATATTCGGAAATGCGCGTTAGACAGAGTTCTGAAAGCGTGCCACCTCGAAGTTGCACCCTTTGCTCTATATACAGTATGTACCCCGAGATTTCCTGGCTGGGTTAGAATTCAAAGAACACCGTTGAAACAGAGACAGAGAGGAAAAAGAACAAAGAAACTGCTTAACACTAGATCGTTCACATGATGCAGTGTTCTAAGTATTCGGGAATTGTCTCAATCATTCCTCGGGGGTAACCTCAAAGACGCTCTCACTTTGTCACATAAGTTTTAGCAACTAGAACTCCTAACCTCTGACATTCGATTAACTAGACTTTCCATCTAGATATTTCGACATGGTGAGTAAGTGAAGCAGGTAAACTTCCTTCCCCGAAACAATTCTAAGTTCAGCTACAGTAACTAGCTGCAGATCATCGCAAATATGTACGTGTCTTCTGGCGGCCTCCATATCCGTAGAGATTGAGAAAAGATCGACAGGAAATTTGTCAAATTTGTGCTGCAGATAGTTATCGATCTGAAGCTGTTGGAAATAATCAGCCTGCTCCCGAGGCCCCAAACTCATCTGCTTATGACGCTTCCCATCAAATCCTTCTGCGGGGCTTAGATAGCACCAGGGAACGAAACCGCCGCAAGTAACCCCAAAAATAAGAACGTAGTAAGTGATCTTCAATCGATCAATACGTGAATCAAAATACTCGCATCTGATGAGAAGTGCACCCAATTTCCTGGCTTCCAAAGGCCCTAGCCCTTGTCTGAACTCAACCTGAGGTTGCAGGAACCTAGTTGTTGGATCCCAAAGGTCCCGTGGGTGTGCTTGAGTAACCACCATGTCGGACTCAGAAAAGGGTTCAGGGATTACCAACCAGAATCCGGGCGGCAATGCAAATTGGGTATCTTGTTTTATGAAGATGGTCTGGACAGTCCAGTCCGAGTATAAAGTCCCTACATTTCAGAAATGTTAGAATGAAAATTGAAACCGTGCTAACAAAAACAGACTTACTTGAACGAATCTCTACCAACTGACGCTGCGGCTTCCTTGGGTCGAAACCCTCTAACTCAACCCGACCCGCGGAGTCATAGGAACTGAACAAGAAGAGTTGAGACATATCAACACGTGTATACTGCTCGCTGCTGGGAGAAAGTCGTTTTAGATGAATTGCCGGTAGCCGTCCGGGAACATGCCCAACAGGACAGTTTAACATCGCTAAATACACCAACCCAGATGGGTAACCCATATCCTGACACATCAAGAATTCAACCTGGACTCCTTTATTGGTAGATACCGGAAAGGCACGTCCTGCAGTTTCGGAATAGAATTGTGAAATAGCATCAGAATGCCGGAAGAGCTCTGGGGTGGGCGCCAAAAGCCCCTGAAGCTTGAAACCCTCTGAATACTTGTCTCGATAGAATTCGACGATTGGATATTTCCAGGCAAAGAGTGACTGGTCGTTCGAGATCTTCAATATTTCTTCTTGCAGACGAATAAAGGCCTTGGCACCCTCTCCATATAATAGTGGCATGTTGATGCTGAATACTCCGAGCAAACAGTACGCCATGTCTTCGATACGGGTAGTCTGACGATTGGCAGCCCATGACATCCGGCGAGCAATGCTTAGTCGTCGCAAATCCCCTCCATTCAAGGCAAAAAGATCGATGTTAGTAATTCCGGAAATGGCGTTGATATGATCTTCTTTCATCCCGATGGAATTCCAGTTCTTATCGAAGAATTGGAGCTTGACCGGAGCCAGTAGCTCTTGCAATGTCCATCCTCGCGAAAACCAGCGGGAGTAGGAAGGCGATGAGCTGTATCGCATACTATCTTCCGTGTAGAAAGGGTGCCAAGGGTGGTGGGTTGAATTTGAGGTCTTGGAATGTATAAGGACATCCGAGAGATATGTATAGCAAATTGCAGAGCCTTTGTACCATTGATACATCGAATTTATAGCCTCGGATAATTCGGCAGAGCTTGTCTTATCGATGCAGCATGTGTCGATCCAAATATATGCATAGCCATCGGCACGAGCTTGTCTGCAACTGTCTCGAACTTTGGTGAATCCTGTTTTGTGCTGTGTAATGGTTCTATCTCCCGTGATATCCTGAAAGGTGATTTCCTCAAAGCCCCCTGATAGAACGAGGAAGTCAGCCGGTTCGCGTTTCTGTATAACTCAGGATCGCTTGCAGCAAGATCGACATTTTGATTTTAGAATATGAGTTATTGCGGAGTCTTTTGCCAATACAAGGGAACTACGAGCCTTGGCCAACTCACATGTGTGGGAGAGTATGGCGTATTTGGGAATTCCTTGGTTTCCTAGCCTCTGATCGATTGCACTACCCGCGAAGAATTCTTCCAATCGTAAGGTTGTTGTTTGCAAGAGTCGCATAATGACAGCTACTCGAGAGACAATCGGAATATCGAATAGATTGAAGGGGAGGTGCCTCTAGAGTACGCAGGTTGAATGTCGCCAGGATCAGTGGATCAAGTTTTCCCACAGCCGACTCCGTTGCGTTGTGATCGTGAGTAGCTAGGCCAACTCGTTCGGATATAAATGGAGTCAAGATATCCAAGAGCCTGTTGGGTATGGATTGAATGTTGTTGAGAGTGGAGAGCCTGCCGGGTGGGAGATGTTTGTTGCATAATCAGCCCCAAGCCACCTTGAGAACACTGCCTTAATGTTGCTTAGTAAACAGGGAAAAAGTAACCCCTCGGTGTCGATTAGGGTTGTCGATTGGGGGCCACACTAACCGAAATTAGCAGGCGGTGGCAGGTGCCCGTATACATTACTTTATATGCACTAATGTGTGTAGATTAATGTATATTGGCACCTAATCCGCGTATCGCATTCTTTGCCCTAATGGCACGTCGTCGTCGTCGTCGTTTCTAGACAAATTTGGTCATATAGGCATGTGGCAATTCTTATTTCCTCTTAACCTCTTGCAAAACGGGAAAATGTAAAACGATACCTCCCCGGGTATTAATTAGGGGTATTAATTGGGGGTGTCGACCCTAAGAGAGCCTAAAAATTCAGCGATTAAGCACCTGGAACTTATTTGCCTCATAGGCAATTTGCTCCGCCTATCCCACGCCCCCAAAACTAGAGCTCTTATAAACTTCCTTATACCTATATTAAGAAATTTGATTTGAGAGAAAGGCTTAAGTAAGCACAAGCAACGAATTAGGCATTATGAAAATTCTAAAATCTATTAATACTCCTATTTAATACCCGGCCGGGGGGGAGGGTTTGTGAGGCTAAATTAGTTCCTTAGTAATGAACTCGGGAAATGCAGAGCGCTAAGCCAGAAAAAGATTCTGCCGAAACCCCGAGTTTCCAGAGAGATATAGGGAAGGTCCTGTGCCAACTCCTGGAACTTCTCTACGATATCGGTACTAGATCATAGGGCGATCACTTGAAGGTAGCCCATTTGAGAAAACACTCCCTAGATAGATAGATAGATATAAATCTCTCTCAAAGGTAATGAATGGACACGCCGCCTTCCTGATTCCAAGAATTCTGCTTCGTATGTTATGATTGGCGATATTTGCCTAAAGTGTATTTCAGACGAGAAAGAAATGAAAAACTGCAAACAACACCGCCTTACCTGCACTGTCTATCAGACACAAATTCAAATCGAATACGACGTGCCACAAAATCTTGTATTTATTCGACTTGACCAGAACGCGAAGTATTTCAGGGTGCAACGTATCAGCAATAGAAATAGACAGTTCATACTTTCTGCTTTTGCAACGCCTCAAATTTATAGGCTAGAATATACTGGACTTGGCGGGAGTTTCTTAATCCCGGGCCGGACGATGATAACACGAGATATAGGGAGTGGGAGGTATTGGTTGTGGCGGCAACTAGGTCTTTTGGGGGCATGAAAAAGCCTATGAGGCAGCAGATTTGTTCGTTGTTCGATGAGAGTAGAGTACAAAATCAAGTTCAGAATCAAAAGAGACAGAAGGAACCGGGCTGTTGTGTAATATTGTCAGTGTGTCAAAAAAGTAATCAAGGTATTCCGAATATTCATGAATATTCATGATTAGCTTGAATAGAATATAATTACCGCAATGCTTAAATAATTTGATTAGATTAGAATATATAATCATGAATACTTTGATTACTCTACACGTGACCATGGCACGTGATACGCTAGCCTAATTAAGTAGAGATCCCGCTCTAGTGTCTCCTTAGCGCCACCTCGCTGCCTAATTAGTGGGTCGAAAGCCTTGCAAAGACGATGCTAGATCGGGAGCCATACCTAATTAGGTTAGTATATCACGTGAAACAGTCACGTGTATAGTAATCAAAGTATTCATGAATATTCATGATTACCTCAATTAGAATCTGATTAGAATATAATTAGTGGGTATTTTTGATGAATAAATTAGATTACTAGCCAGTATTCTAATCTAATCTATTCATTTGACACACTGAATATTGTAATAATTTTATCCTTCATGGTCATCAAATGGCCTGTTCTGGAGGATCTCTTTCCGCGTTCCGTCATTCTCCCTCTCAAAGGCTTCATTCTTGACATGCCAGTTCTGCTTGAGCGTATCTTCACATGTCATTGGAGGTGTCCAGCCATCCGTGATTATCCCTATCCGATCACGAATTTTCTCCATTTGAACATCAATGAAGTTTTGCACCGCCTCAATACGTATGCATCGTTCTTCCTGATTTTTCGAGAAGCGTATTGGGCATCCAGGCGCTTCGTCGTCTTCACCCATGGCAAGTGTAGGCCAGTTCCTCGCTGCACGAATCAGCTCCGCCTTGGGTTTCATGTTATCTCCTTTTCTCGATCTCGGACACCCCCTCAAGTCTTGATTCTCTAGAGAGAGAAGATTCTTATAGAACCTATCAGATATCAACGAAATTCCCCGATATTAAAGGTGAATTGTGGTTAAAACGGGGGTAAAGGTCCAGTTTTGTTGCATTATTCGTTATAATAGTTTTAGTTCTCATAATAAAAAGGATGAAATCTCATTATGAGAATTGCAACAAAGGCACTTGCTTGTTATATCAATAAGCCTGCGTAATGTCAGATACCTTGAACTATAATCAATTAGAGAGCTATCAAGGGAGGATAGAGAAGCTAAATACAAGAGAGTAAGGAGAATCACATGGAACAAAGCAGTGGAACCTGACGTAAGCCGAGGGGTGGCAATAAGGGGCTGAGACACGTGACGCCACAATCGTACCAGCCGACATACAACTCATCCTGACTGCTCACCTTTGCAAGTGACCGTCCAATGCTCTTCGGCTAAATGCTCCACATTCAATCCTCTTTCCATTATTCAAATTTTATTACAAATCTCACCAATTCCTAAGAAAGCCTGGGACATTAAGAATGTCACAGTTCTCGAGAATTTTGTTCCTCATCGTAGCAATGTGCCAATGTCCCGCCGCTAGATATTGAGACATTGAGGTGTTTATGTATCCCCTTCACTCCATTGGAGCCGATTCCAGTAACCGATTCCACTTTTCTTGAGAAGACGATTTACAACGTATCAAGAAACGCTATTTTTTTTTTATAAAAAAAAGGCCGAGTGCTCACTTTTGCGGTTCCTGGCTGAGGTCACGTCTACCGCACCATCGCCATGGACTTAGCTACAATGCCGGATCCGGTATGAAGTCTCGCAATCTTTCACACATCAATAATATCCAGATTGTTATTGTTTGAACTCTCTGCAGGCAGGCGTGACTTCCGGCGGTTAAAATGCCCTCAGGGGACAGGGCAATTGCCGAGCGCAGGGGTCCAGATCTCTTCCGTAGCACCGGCTTATGTCTGCCAATGTGGCATGAAAGGACTGCTATAGAAACAATTTCTCAATTCTCGATCTTCCTCAATTGTTTCAATCCGCTTACGAGAGAGACTGGAACGCTCCCTATGCGCGCCATTGTTGGCGCGAGAGAATATCTCTGTAGCGCTCGTCTGATAGTGGCCTGACTTCGCCCCATCAGCCCCAACTTCAGCCTCATGCCAAGCGCATGAAGCCAAACAATAAGGGGCTGTGCCTCCCTCGCCCAGCTGCGGTGCAAGACTCGTGAACCTCGTTTCGAGTAGCCTACATTCCTCGGTCCAAACTAGGTACCGATGGCAAGTTTTTCACTCCCTTTCCCTCTCTTCCCTCGTTCTGTGGCCTAGATCAAGTGCATTTCTTTCATTCGCGTTCCCTTTTTTGGATTTTGCAAGGGCGTGAATTCCCATGTCGAGCCGAGAGCTTAACGGTGCTTGACATAAGTTCCCACCAGTACCAAGATTGCATTGAAAATTCGCGCGATTCACTTCGTTGGCACCACAAAATCAACTGACGCTCATTCAGGGAATTTCGACTACCTTCACCTATTCCATCTCGCGAGACTGCGTGTGTAACGTACAGATAGAAGCGTTCAGTCACGTCCACAGGATCAAACTTGAAAAGAGCCAATAAGGCCATGCGAATCGCTTGCCCTTATTGCTCAATACTACTCGCCGCTCTCCGCCTGTGACACCTCCACCATGCCTTCACCATGGATTTCGCGGCGCGGAAAATGGTTCTGGATTCTCACAGTCTCTACAGTGGTGGTAATAGCCATTGCTTTAGGAGTAGGACTTGGCATCGGTTTGAATCAAGGCGGAGGCGACAACCCTCCACCGGCGAGCACACCAACCTTACCACCCTCATCCAACAACCCCAATGCTACAGGCGGCACCTTCTGGAAGCCCGCAGTAGGCGAAACATGGCAGATTGTGCTTCTGACTCCATTGGACAACACCACCACCAATGCCTCCGTCTACGACGTCGACCTCTTCACCAACCCCATCTCCACCTTCCAAAATCTCCAGTCCATGGGCCGGAAAGTCATCTGCTATTTCTCGGCCGGTAGCTACGAACCCAACCGCCCCGACTCAAACAACTTCACCGCAGCCGATAAAGGCCATGGCGTCGACGGCTGGCCAGGCGAGTTCTGGCTCAATACCAGCTCCCCCAACGTCCGCGATATCATGACCCAGCGGCTGAAGCTCGCAGCGCAGAAAGGTTGCGACGGCGTTGATCCTGATAACGTAGACGCATACAACAACAATGGCGGCGGTTTCGGCCTCACCAGCACGGACGCAATCGACTACCTCTCCTTCCTCGCCATCGGCGCGCACTCACTCGGCATGGCAGTTGGGCTGAAGAATGCAGGAGAGATTGTGAATCAGACACTGCCGATGATGCAATGGCAGGTTAATGAGCAATGTGTACAGTACGGGGAATGCGCAACTTTCCAGCCATTCATCAAGGCCAACAAACCGGTCTTTCATATTGAGTACCCGCAGAGTTCGGGTGAGATGAAGTTTACTGCAGCTCAGCTTTGTGGGGTGGGGGATACGAGTTTGGACGGGTTTAGCACGGTGCTGAAGAGTATGGACTTAGGTGATCCTGTCACTGAGTGCTCGAACTCGTGAGAAGGGGGAGCAAGTCTAGGTAGTTGTTAATGCATCTGTTTCTTCTGAACATTGGGTCAAGACTGTGGCACTGCGACTAGCAAATTCTTGAACAGAGTTCAATTCAGTTTTCCCCCTCGCATTTGTCCACGAAATACCTGCTGGTTGTAGTTGGTGTCAAGGCAACAGCTGGGCTGCATCCCATCGCGCCCATTGATTCGGGTCCACTTCAAAAGACAGCAAATCAGCGAAGTCATAGGAGGCAATTGGGTCGAACCCAGGAAGACGATCTCCATCCTGTCCCGGAGATTGAAGGCTGCCATAGCCGGTCGAGTTCGCTGGAACGTGTCCGGATTCTGCAGGAGCTTTTGACTCAGACGAAGGGCCTCCTGAGGGTCGCCGGGACCAACGGATCGCGTTGATATATTCAGGCGTTTGGGGTTCCGGAAGGCCCTCGGCCTGCGTGGCAGCGAGATAGTCGTCCCAAACTTCCAGTGTCCATTTGCCAAGTGTGGTATACACAGCACCGGTTTCCTCTTCAAACATTTGTGGGTATTTCGAGAGCACCACCCCAATCAGGTGCCACACTCGGTCGATCTCCGGTCCTGATTTGCGGTGTCGAGCTTCGATGAGAACGTAGAGGATTGTATTCCAGAGGTGGCTCGTGCCAATCTGCCACTTGTATTTGTCGAAAATTGGATTCCCTCTTACCAAATTGACGTACTCTAACAACTTTGTTGCATTTGCAAAGATAAGGTCTCGTTCACTCTGGGGGGCTTTTATGCCGTGCTTGGCGAATCGTCGAGGGTTGTGAGCAAATAGCTTCATCTTGCATATAGATGACCTAGCTATGATTGATGCGAACTGATGAAGCGAATTTGTAGGGTCGCAATACCGCAGATATTTCTTTTCCAAAAGATCCTCAAGCTGGCTTATCATGGTGTCTTTCTTGGCGAGAGTGATATCAGAGCTGGTGATTATTTCCAAACGAACATCATCCGCGAATGGCGGTGAAAGTTTGCGTATGAACTCTATGATGTCGCATCTGATTAGGCAAAAAACAATTGGTGTGATCCCGTTGCGCTCCGGCGGGGGATCCACCATATCAGGGCTGAAGTCTTCGTCAGCGATATTCAGGGGCCGCTGGGTATCGCCAGAAAAAAGGTCTGAGGATGGCTTTGTGCCCAAGACATCGGATAAACGGAAGTCCATGTGGACAATATGCCACCAAAGTCGTCTTCGCATTTCAGTTTCAAAGGGAGAGAGGCCAAGAGAAACGCCATCTCGGTGAAGACCCATTTTGCGCGCAAGTCTTACCGCGACCCCAGATAAGACGAACAGAGTGTCATTTCGGTGGCTGCTTCTCATAGCCATCTACATATACTCAATAAGTACCACACAAAACACCGAGATCTGTAACTTACAATGAATATTGCATATGCTCGAAGAGTTATCGGGCTAGAGGTTTGCAGGAATCCCGCAATTATCAAAGCCTGGCGGGCTGCACGTTTATATCTCGTAACGGTGATCGATTTCGGTCCGCCGAGTAGACTTTGGCATTCATCTTCTTCTAAAGAGCTGATGGTAGCAAGATAGAAAGCAAAAAGTAGTGCCTGCAGACTTTTCGAAATGTGTTGGGGATGATGAAGTGCATTCGTTAGCGAGGTCCTGAAGGTCGGAAGATGTAAGAGTTTCATTAGAGGATCCGCTCGATCGACATAAATTTCCCACAGCTTTGGCAAAATCTGGAACGAAGGATGAAGGCTTGCGAGATCTTCGACCTGGGAGTGAGCATTCAGCACAAGACCAGTTGGCTCAGGGGTACCAACAAACAGGTCAGACTCGGAAAAATTTGACCCGTCTGCGGACTCAGCAATGCCGCCTTCTTCTGGATGATGAGACTAGTAATAATTAGGAAGAAAGATTGTCAGCAGCGAGAAGGGGAAACTCACCTCGTCTCCTAAGTTAGACCAAGGAGCACTACCGGGGTTTAGTAAACTATCAAATTGGTTCGGAAAGAACATTAGACGTAATCTTACCTATCGAAATATCTAGATGACCCGCCTTCAATGAAGAATCTTTCTTCGGGCCCAATAGAAGCAATCTCGCCTCTTCTTTCATACCCGGTATCCTCAGCCGTCTCCATGTCAACCTGTGATCCTGCCTCCAAATCCGAGTGGTCGCCCTCAATCTCAGCGGGTTCAATGTTAACACCGTATGATCTCAACAGCTCTTCATATCGTCGCAATTTGGCATGAAGTCCTTCTTTGGGAACTTTGGTTCTCTTCCGCTTTCCGCGAACAGGGAGAATAAAGCTGCATTGCTTCCCTGCCTTCACGCAGTTGGAGCAAGGAGTGTGTCGGTCGCACTTGACCTTGCGCTGCCTACATGACAAACAAGAGTGCGGTCTTAGGCCAGCATCCGATCCAAGTTGCTCGACCGTGGGAGTTTGAGGCATCGCTGAAAATTTTCTCTCCGGTCTTTTGAAATCGTTGAGAAGAAGTCCCAGGCGCACATTGATGCTTCGTTCCCGTTCGGGGGTCGGCGGAGAAAACACAAATTTGAGAACCGAGAAGCGACTTGCAGTGCTCCCACCAGAATTCGGCGCATTCCATGAAAGCAACCTCGGAGCACCGTGCCCAGATTACTTAAATGAAGGCCCAAACCTAGAGAGAAGATAGTTCGGTCCACTTTTCTCAATCTGCGTTGAGACCCGCAAAAGTCTCTCGATGGCCGTAATGTTCAATTCTACATCACGTGACGACAACCCGTCTCCAACGAGTATCGCCCAGACGGAGATGGAGGAGGAGAAGGAGGCTTCTGCCTCAGCTCCTACTTATTCCAGCCAACGGAAACAAATTGTTTGATCTTGAAAATGATAGCATTTCATGTTTGGCCTTGGGAGAGAGTCGAATTGGTAATTGATAAATGCTATGATGGGGAGATCTTATGCATGTGGGAGTGACTGGGGCAGAAAAACGAGCTGCGCCGTGGGGAAGATAGAGCTTGTTGGATTGTTTAAATTGCGGAGACATAACTATTCAACACTTCCCAATAAAATACTAGATATAAAGAACTACTCATTTAGTATTGATTAACAATTCTGTCTCAGGAGATACCCACACAGGAATATTATCTCAACTGTCAAAACTGGTCACATGACATAACCCCTGAATTTTCATGTTTCGTCACCGTATTAGCGAGATCCGCCAGAATACTATTCTGCTTGCTAATTCATAGTATTGTATCCTCCTTCTTTCTTGTGGGATTTCACTTACTGAAGTTGTGAAAGCTCAGTTCGTTTTTCTCGAGCTCCTGGCGGCGGTGTTGAAGGCTGGGCAGCTGAACTCGCCCACATTCGAAATGGTTTGAGAAGCGACCCCAGAGAAACCGTACAAGGATAACCTTCGAAGATCCTTTCAGCTGTGGAGGGGTATCATTGGCCGAGCATGCGGAAGTGCGTGCGGCGGAGCAACTTGGGGCGGCCTTGGGCGGGGGCTGAATCTGCACAAATGACAGAATTGGCGCAGACTGCATGTGCGATATGAATTGATTGGGAGGATCGCTGCGATCGACATTTAACTTTGCCGCATCCCTGTTTGTCTAACACTTTCTTCCCTTCCCACATCTGCGGCTGCATCTCGAACCCACGTCCTTAAAGTCTTGAACTGATCGCGTTCGCGTTTATTTTCAGCGCATGGATGTTGAAATGAGCAAGCCATATAATTATGACCAGCCTGGCCTGGAAGTGGGTTTGCCCCCTGCCCAGCCAGATCATGTGGGGTACCAGCAGTCTCCGTACACTCAAGCAGCATCCAAGGAAGGACCGCCATACGCCGGTCAATCAACACCACCACCTCGCATATGTGGACTTCCAACGCGTACATTTTGGATTGTGTTTGCACTTGCGCTCCTGGTAGTAGGAGCGGCCTTAGGTGGAGGATTGGGCGGTGGACTAGCAGCATCACATAAAGCTGCACATGTACCGTCGGCCTCGAGTTCAAACACCGGGACACCACAACAGCAACAGTCTACAAGCCTTTCGTCTTCGACTGCAACTTCGACATCGACTTCATCGACTTCTGCGCCCTCAACAATCTCTCCTTTCAGTACCTCACCAGGAACATACCGCATCATCAACATCCTTACGGACACAGCCATTGATCTGCTCTATGGAGGAACAGCCAAGGGCACAGAAATTGAAGCCTGGTCAGCCACTCTACTCCTTCGTGCTGCAGACACCCAAACAATAATTAGGGATTTGCTAAAAGCTTGATTAGGGAATGGGATCCTCACTCAACGCCGAGCAGTTACGTTCACCAGGCGTGGTTGATATCAGCTGTAAGCAACAACGTCGTAACTATTTTCAACATAGCAAGCAGCTCGTACCTCACCGCTCCCAGTGGTAAGTCGCTTTTCTGCTGGCTTACCCCTCCATCTCACTCACAGCTTTTAGGCCTGAGCTCAGGTCAAGATCCCAGCAACAGCACACTTGCGATAATATATGGTAGCGGCTCTACGGGGAGTCCTGGGGATTCTTATTCGCAGTTCACCATCGTGAAAAATTCAGACAATAGTATCAGGTATCCTTCCCCTCCCCAAGTCATTTTCCACTCCACCTTTCAGGCTCCTCAGAAAAGGTGAGATCCGATGTCGATGCTAACTTCCATGCTCAATAGTTTCCAAAGCGTCGCGTATCAAACGAAAGTGCTGGATGTGGCCGGTGGTGGAACAACGAACGGGAATCCTATCGTGGTGTGGGAGCCCAATGGCGGTTTGAATCAGAGGTGGAGATTATTGGCTTCGTGATATTTTTTTTGAGCGATTGGGTTTGGGTCTGGCGCTGAAAGGAGGAGGGGAGGACCAGCCGGGCTGAACACGACATGTACATCTTCACGATCAGGGTGGCATAAGAAATCTACATAATGGTTAATACGGCTCCCCTCGTTTTGAATGGATAGCGAAGTAAATGCTGACTCGCTTCCTTCGACCCCGCCATGCATCCCCACTTCCCTACCCCAATTCCACAATTACTTGGCAGCAGCCAGAGAATTGGCTCCGGCGCTCTCGAAGCCAGATATGACACGGCTACCGGTAGTTCGGTTTCTTCTCGAGTATCTTGCTTTCGCTGCTGGTACTTGGCAAGTTCGCCATCTGAATCCACCCAGAAGTTCTTGGTGTATGTCCACTCCTCCTGCAATACATCCGGGACGTCATTTCTCTGCTCCATGATATAATCCGTCAGGTTTGTGTGAAGAAGTAACCACGATTTCTGCAATGTGTACGCTTGGACGCTCCAAAAATTTCCCGTTTATGACTTCGTTCCCGGTATGTTGGGCAATTTTTCGATCCTCGCAGAATGTTCGATATCATAGCCCAAAATCCTTTGATGTGGTGCTTGATCTGGACGTTTAGCAACGAAGAATGAGAGTGAGCATAGCCCAAAAACAGCATCAGGACTCCAAGCACCGTTATGTTTTGGCATTGCGGTAGCTGTTGAATGTACAGCTCGATAAAGTGTGACGTTCAACACCAGCAATGTGAAAGGAATAACAGCAATACCTATTGCTTCGAGATACACATTGAGTGCTACAACTTTTGCAACGGCCTTGAGTGGTAGCAAGCCCGCCGAATGCTTTGCGGCTCCAGGATATGAGACCTGCATGGATAGCTGTTGCACCGGAGTAGGTGAGGGAGGCTGCAAGAGTGGCTGCACGGAGCCAGGGGTGGTGGGAAGTACGAGTGTTCCCAGTATCGTCATATGGAAGAGGACTCGAGGGAGGGGGTAGTAGTTGCCCCTTTGGTATGGTTGGTATCTGTAAAGAGAGAAGGGAGTGTTCTCCAACTGAAATTGGGTACCAGCAAGTCGTGTAGGGAGACTGCCCGGGCGGTAGATTAATGTCGACCAAAATTGACTTCCTGGCTTGATTCTCAGGCAGGACGACATAGAATGGTGGCGCTGTTGCTGTTGGCGTTTTTGTGTTAATTGGCCCTATTTCGAGAGTACGAAGGATAAACGCGCCAAGGAGCGACCGCTTGAGAACCTCTGCTATTTTGCGAACGACATTTAGAATCTCATAACGGTTGATGAGGGTGAGCGTTCGAGAGCAGGGAAACCCACAATAAGATAAATAATACCGGAACAGCAAAACAGAAACTCTTCCGAAAGCATCCATTTTTCCAGCTTCGAATAAGTAGTTATGTGGCGTCATTGATGGCAAGAATGCGGGGGAGAAATAACGAATGAGAAGAATAATACTTCCCCAGAGTATTGACGTTGTAATGAAGATAGGTTAATGACTGAAGAAAGATGGTCAGATCTTGAGCTTCGGCATCGCGACACCAGAGCGTAGTCCACTACTTTTCCGCCACCCCCGACCAGAAGTGTTGGAATTACTCCTAGCTTCTGAGCTTGATTTGCTCGGAGAAGGCTCCGATTCTTCCATTTCGATTGGGTCGTTGATGAAGCGATGCAGGGTTGGTTGGATGCCGAATTATAGGGAACTGGTAGATCGAAAGACTGGAGTCCAGAAACTCTACGGACGTATGCCTTTCAACGCCAAAATAATTGCGAATGATATTGCTTGTTATTTGCCTCATCGATTGCGCCCACAGTGGATAAGCGTCGTAAGTTTTGCTTATGGAGAGGTTGTGCATTTGCTACCGACGGTGTGCTGGACATTAGATTGTGAATCCAGCAGGCCAAAATAACAGTCAGAATTATAGCCCCCGCCATTCCTCAGAGTTATGGCCCGACATTCGAGAAACAATCCTGAAATATCTCTCACGACTCCAGCCTCCCTCATCATCAAAGCCTAAGTTGACTACTGCCACTGCCAGAAAAACAAGAATAATAAGGGGTAATGCAACTGCCCAGTAGATCCAGAAGAGGCCAGTTCCAGGTAGGTACCTGTCATTCATGCTCAGGAGTCCACACGTGAAAGACAGTGGGATAAAAACAAGTCCTAAAACGGTCAACACCTTCATCGTTTTCGCCTCCTTAATAGATCTTTTGGCCTCTAGTACCGACTGTCTGTTTCCAACTCGACTAGCTAACTTGGTGTTGAGCGAGGTCAGGTTTTGCATCTTGGTCTGCAAACTCCTGAACCTGCGATGAATGAGCTGGAAATCTTGGTCGATGGCCATCCAGTCTCCCGCCTTCTCGAAAGAAAGCTCGGCGAGAGGTATACCAGCGCTCAACATGCTATCCTCCACAGCAGATAGGTACCAAGAGCACCTTGTATTCCACATTAATAGGCCTCTTCACACAACCTCGGCCTTCGGGAACTCCTCTCCCTTCATGCTGCTGACCAGCGAAAATTCCCACTCGAGATCAGATATAATTGACCCAATGTATTGTAAGAGTAGCACATAGTGAGATGCTACTATTTTCTGTAAAAATATTGAAAAATACAGTTGTGGCCGATTGGCGGGCAGCATTTCGAAATACGCAAAGAAGTAGTAGCAAAGGTCTTCGGCCATGGAGACACGCGACGGTCCGGTAACCATGTGAGGGGGTAACGGCGCTTTCATGAAATTTCTAAAGCCACCTTGATAGGGTTGATCGAATGTTTCGCAGGTTGTGATGTCCCCAGTCTGTCCTTCGAAAAGGCCTAAGATTAGTCGCGAGACAGGTGGGGTCACAGAGAATAACAGCTAACGATTTGTCAGACATTGATCGACAGGAAATCAAATCACTCACCGTCCCAGCCCTCGCCGCTCTCTTGAATCTAAGTTGAAGTTGCCCGTTGGACGATATCTACTGTTCCAAATTTGGAGCATCCGTGTTGAACGACAATCGGTTTGCCTGTGTGGCCACAGAGTGGTTTATCTGTAGGCTTCAGATCTGCTGAAAGGTGTCGCACTTCAAAGTATTTCATCAGAAATTGTTTTTTTGGATCAGACGAAGAGGGCATGTTGCCTAGCATTCGAACTCCTTCGTGATTAACTTCATAGATGGATGTCCGCTCTTGATCAACAAAAAAGGCAGGATCAATAGAAAACTGATTGCCCAGAATGGATATAAATTCTAGATTGAGGCCTTCAAGTATATGAATCCTGCGTCGCGGGACTTTTGCAGCATTGGCTGTCTCGGGTTGCGAGTAGTAATGCTGAAGCTCAATCTGCGATTCAAAGTTGGTCCTTGAGGGGTGTCCGTCCTCTCTCACTTCGAGAATACTTATCCAGGCTTTTCGATGTTTGAGGGGAGCCCAAGTATTGCTACGGTCTTCAGTTTCCAAGGTCGGGTTGAGAGAGCATAGCGAGGCAACATAGTCTTGGTACCGCCCAGGAGCACAGAGCCAGTCGGATGGCCTGACTTTTGGCGAACGTCTGCCGTGTCATGCGTATCATGAACACTTGGAGGCATTGTTCAAGAAAGAGTAAGAGGGAGGTCGTATGCAGAAAATCGAAGTGCTGTGAAGGGACTCAAAGTTATGGCTCAAGGATTTCAGCTCACAAAACTTATGGTGTGCTACAATGTGGCTGGAGTGGGGGCTGATCTTTAATTCTGGGAGAGAGAAGGCGGTCGCAGGAAGGTTCTCGGATACATTCATACTGAAAATTGATTGAAGCAGATCCTGAAACGGCAAAATAGAAAGCGAGGCTGCAGTGTTTCCAATACTCTCATGGCCAGCCAGGAGGAATACAGTCATATTTTATGCTCAAAGGTCTCCGAAATAATGCAAAGGCGGGGGAAGGAAGGGAAAGGGGCGCCGCACATACCTAGTGATCTCAGCTCACTGTAAGCGAGGAACTTAGCCCTCTCGCAAATCTCGCCACCTCTAGGTTTGTCGGTACTCGGTGAGTGACCGCCCCCAATCTCATCTTGCAAGCGTGCAACGAAATCCAGCCCGTCGATAAGGCGAAAGCCCTCTATTCGAGGGAGTTCAGTGGCGCTGGGGTGTCCCCGTAGGCAGCCGCTCCGCTGCTTCGGCGAGTTGACATAAAAGGAACGGCCATTGGATCGTGCCCGTGACTGAATATCTCTCAAGTTGAGAAGGATTCAGCCTTCATAATTTCATTGGAGCAGATCTTCAATACTTTCAGGACTTTCCCCCCACCCAGGTCCTCGAAGCATGCACGCCGAGTGAGTCGTGAGTCAGCCCGTTAGCCTTGCGGGGTTGAAGCCTAGAATCCTCAGCCAGTGCCAATTCTCGATTGCAATATAAAGTCCAAATTGCTCTTCACTGTCTTAAATATTAATCTACTCCATCTCGTGATTTCCTAACAACAAGCCATTTTACGATGACTCCAGTCACTGCAGAGAGCGGATCTAGCACCCCCGTCATCGTCGTCTCAGAGGATACCCTAGCCCAAGATAATGTCAAGACAGATGTTGCAGAACAGAAAGTGGAAGATGGAGCTGCACCAAATACCGAATCCGCTGAAGCCGATGTTCAAAATGAAGCTGATGAAGAGGTCAAGGAGGCAATCAAGGTCGGTATGGAATGCGACCTCAAGCACCTCTATCAGAAGGAAGACGACAAAGGCAGAACCAGCTGGACAGACAAGTATCCCGAAGACCTCGAAGAAGCTGCAGAAAATGACATGACAGCCAAATTTGCTATCCTCGTCCGCAACAAGAAAAGTTTCGAAGATTCTCGGAAGAAACTTGAAATCGACAGCATCGTTGTTCAAAGTCCTCTCCTGAAAATTGTATTGGCGAAAGTCCTCAAAGATTATCCAGGTAAGTCCTATCATTCATTCCTAAAGTTTAGATGTATCGAGCGCTAACACAATCACAGGCATCACTTGCACACTCAAAAGACTTGTCTTCCAAGCACCATTCAATCCCTTTGTTCATCGATGGGAGGAATTTGCCGCTGCACTCGACGAAGAGGAGGACGAACAGACGAAAACGCATCTTGAATTGCTGTTCACGGTCCTCAAAGTTGAACTCAAGGATATCATTTCTGCTAGACTCGATTATATCAAGAACAAAGTCATCACCTTCGAGCACTTGTGGACCATCTTCGTACCAGGAACTACACTTTACTCGACGGAATGGAACCGCGACTGCGGCTCCAGGTTCAAATCGAGTTCGTACTTTGAGCACCCAAAGTATGGCAACTGCTTCGGCCTCAGTGCTCAGAAGGTCGACTGGGATGGAGACAAGTTTGGATATGCCACAGCTCAGAATCTAATTCTTGAATTCCCTGGAACTATGCCTATCTCTTCCCTCGACACCTTTCCTCTGGAATATCATCCAGAGCAAGAGAAAGTCAGCTCCGAGCTTCTCAAGCGTGGAAGGCTTTTCGAAAACTACCACGGCTATCATTACAAGGCATACAAGGCCTTTGCAATCGGCAAGAACAAGTGTGGGGATGACATCAAAGTCACGGTCGACAGCCGTATTGTAATGTGAGTACTCTCTTCAGTCATTCGTCGCACTTACTTACACAACAAAAACAGCGATTCATTCGCTTTCGGCAAGTTCAACCCAAACCGCATCGCCCCCCTTGCTCCCCTCAAGCCCAAAGCCAAAGCAGCCCGTGAATCCTCAAACGAGTACGACGATTCTGACGCCAACTCGGACGTTTCGTACGATTCCGACGACGACGACGACGACGCGTACTCCTTCGCCAACGACGCCAACTCCTCCAAGTCCCGCGGCTTCAAACACATCCCCCTCACCGACGCCCAACTCATCCAATGCACACCATTGGTCCGTGGCTATGCACTCAAATCGAAGCAATGGTTGTCATTTTTCGTCGACGTCGTCAACGAGATCGAATTCAACAGCTCTGCTTTCGCGAACCTCGTGCTTCCTGCTGATCAGAAAGAACTCATCCTGGCCTTCGCTATGTCGCAAGTGAAGTTCAAAGATGACTTCGACGACGTGATTTCCGGGAAGGGGAAGGGCATCATCATGCTCCTCTCCGGCGGCCCTGGAATCGGGAAGACATTGACTGCTGAGAGTGTGGCAGAGACGATGAAGGTCCCGCTTTACATGATGAGTGCCGGTGATCTGGGAATCAGAAGTCATGAGGTGGAGATCAACATTACGAATATCCTTGAGATGGTCGCAAAATGGAATGCTGTCTTACTCCTCGATGAATGCGATGTCTTCCTCGAGGCGAGATCAAAGCACGATTTAGAGCGAAACAAAATCGTTTCGATTTTCCTCCGGACGCTGGAGTACTACGAGGGGATTCTGTTCTTGACTACGAATCGTGTGGAGGATATGGATCCTGCATTCCAGAGCAGGATTCATATTAGTATGGAGTATCCGGGTCTAGATAAGGAGGCGAGGAAGCAGGTGTGGCAGAATTTCCTGAAGCGGGGCATTGAGAATGAATTGTCTGAGAAAGAGGTGGGGATGCTTGCTGAGGTGGATATCAACGGAAGACAGATTAAGAATGTATTGAAGACTGGGCAGTTGCTTGCGAGGCACAAGGGGGTGAAGCTGAGGTATGAGCATCTAAGAACGGTGCTGAATGTGGAAAGGAAGAAGGTTGAATAGTTGGCCTGAACAACAGGCGTTGATTTCAGCCTTGGATTGGGGTGGAGTTTGTTCTAGCTAGAGTTTCGAGAATTGACCTATACGGTCAGAGCAGATTAAGGCATTCAGAATGAAAGCTATAACTTGGCACGCTCCCATACAATTCTTGCTTAATTCCTTCGATCACACAGGGTATACGGATCTTGGCGAAGAGAAAGTATGGAGTGTCGCACAACTCCGGAGGACTCGGTGGCGTTCGAGATCGCCCTTTCCTCGGGACTTCACATGTCCACTACTCGTGCCGCCCAGAAGTCTGAAAATACTACCCGTCCTTTTGGTGGACAGGAAAGTGGCACTGTACTTTCAATGTCCCAATTTATACTAGACATTAAATGAACGGGGGGATGGGGGCTTCAATGTTCTAAAAGTTTCATGCATTTAAAGGCCGTAGACGCTGAATATACCAAAAGCTGAGGGACATTCGTTAGGGGAGGGGCCTGAAACATCTGAAATAGCACAATTTGACGTGGGATATTGAAGGCTCTGTGGCGTTTTTCTTGTCCAGCGCGAGCCGTCCCGCATTCCCTCTCCGTGCAACATTCAATCAGAATCTCGGAGGACCTTCCAATTATCGGTGAGTGGCGTAAAATGTATTTTCAGACTTAAGAGACATTTGACTCTTGTTGTATCGCCAACAGGGCGAGACACATGATTATATCACAGTTGCAATTTGAGGTTCAATTCTTGCGAGCTTGATTAGCATGTTGCTAGTACCAATTGCTACGAATGCGTTTGATTTCTCTTTTACCTACGTCTTATGTCACGCTATAGGTAGAGGATGCTCTTGACCGTGCCATACATGGAATTCCCGAAGAACTTTGTTTCTACCAATTCCCTTTGAAATGCAGCAGTGCACAATTCAGCCTTACATTCTTCCAAGAGCATAGTAAGTTCTCTGCATGTTTTGCAGTGTTCAAGACTCCGCTCTTCTGCAGAGACGCCACAAGCGTGGGTGAGCTTGCGGACAACACTATACTCTAGGTCCACCCGACAGGCCAGTAGATTGTTTCGAGAGTGTTATAAGCTCAGCTTAATGCAAGGTGGGTACTTTTTCAGCCTCAAGGGGGATATCGCTCCTGTCGAACGAATTCGTTCAGCTGAGGCCTCGCAGCGAGCCTTCGAATGAAAAATGCGGATACTCATGCAGTCATCTTTCTTCCGGTCGGCCGCAACCCTCTCGCTCCTGACAAGATGCAGTTGGACTCCACATTTCACACAAGATGATGGCTGAGAATTCTGCTTACTGCAGCCTTGAGGACTGGCATCCAAACAATTTGGCCGGGCGTCGAAACTTAGGGTACACCACGAAATCAGGGCGGAGCGTAGTCTCTGCATGTCGCTGAGTCTCTACGAAGTAGGTAACGTTTTACGAGTAGTCAAAGGACAGGAGAAGTACTCTGACGCCCGTAAAGCCACAGAGCTTAGATGAGTCCGGAACCCGCCTTTTGGTCCTTGGGTCACGGTGGTGGAGGAGTATAATAGGATCAATCGTGGCTTGCTTAGAGGCTTTTCGACGGTGAACACAATGAAGCCATGCGAGGAATTGTAAGGCAGGAAAGGATTTTTATGAGCTGGTAGCATGTGAGATAAGTTGAGAAGATGTTAAGACTTTTATATAAGAGCGTCGAGTCCTCTCTTGGAATCTTTCCTTTCACCATCTTCACCTTTCAATAATTTCCACAGCCTGCAAATTATCAAAACCACATTCAAAACGCCCCCAACCATTAAGCAATAAGTTCAAAATGGGTTCCATTCAAGTCGACCAATTCAGAGGCTGTGGCCAAATATCCGTCCCTTTCCTTGCACGGACAAAGACAATCGGCGGCAGCGGCGAAGAACTCGCCCTCGACACCAGAAGCTTATGGCCCAACGGCTCCGTCCTTACCGTGAGGATCTTCGGGTACCCATCTCCTCTCCCCGCTCCATCCCTTCTCAGCTAACCCCTCACAGAGCATCACCCTTCGTCGCCTCCAAAATCCAACAATTCGCCAACGTTTGGTCCGAATTCGCCAACCTGACCTTCAACTTCGTAAACTCAGGCGACGCCGACATTCGCGTATTCGTCACACCTGGCGGTTCTTGGTCATACATTGGCACCGGCTCTAAGGGGGTCGCTCAGAACGAACCTACCATGAACTTTGGATGGTTTGATGACACAACCGCGGATGAAGAGTTCAGTCGTGTGATCATTCATGAGTTCGGTCATGCAATTGGATGTATCCATGAGCAGAGCAGTCCGGTTGCTCACATCCCTTGGAACAAGGATGTCGTGTATGCGTATTATCTCAAGAGTAATGGATGGGACCAGGCGATGGTCGATTCCAATGTTTTTGCGGTTGCTGATCAGGCAAATACGATTGAGACCGCTTTTGATAGAACTTCCATCATGTATTTCTCCCTCATCTTCTACCTCCCTTCTTTCTATATATGAAGCACTTTACTGATTGATTCCAGGGAATACCCTTACTCCCCAGAATGGACCACTGATGGCTCGTCCGCCGGCTGGAACCGCGTCCTCAGCGACCAAGACAAAACCTTCATCATGCAGCGGTATCCCCGCAGTGGCCCCGTCCGCACAACCAACGACGGCGTCTATCTCGTCAATTGCTTCAAGGATAATCAAGTCAGTAGCGGGATCGCGTACTATTCGTTTTTGGGGAACAACGATGGGAAGCAGCCGACGGCTTATATCGATGTTGCGAAGGGGATGAATATTCTGTGGGAGGGTACTCCTGGGTCTGGTGAGTCTGAGGGCTGAGAGCGGCGTGGTGACAAGAAGGCTAATGAGAAACAGCAACTTTCCCCGATGGCAATAAAGTCAGCTGGAGCATTGTTGCCAATGGGAACTCTTTGCCCACATATTCTCGTGTCGGCACGGCAAGCAACCTGCAGGAACACTGGAATGTGTACAAGGACAATTACAGAGTATTGTACGAGGTCGACGGCTGGAAGTGTTATTGTGTTTATTGGTGCTTTTAGGGCACACCTCGGGGGATGGTCAGATATACTATCAATCTCACAATGCCCCCGAAAGGCCAAACGCCGGGAAGGGGCTGGAATCGCGATTCTGACCAGCTTAAGGACCTCCAAAATAGATCTCATCACAATTTCGAAAGAACCAAAACTTTGTCCCAACAAATCGGATAAAAGTATTCGTTTGACTTGAGACGTACTCGCGTTTCTTGCATCCTTTCAAACGGCTTTGCAGCTCAATTAATTTGAAGTTATATGCTGTGATGCCAGCGTGCGGCGGTGCGGCCGCTTCCAAGTCCGCGAATTGTCTTCCAAGGGCTCTCTGCTTGGCAGCGTCCGAGAGTTGCATCTCCAGGCAAGCCACAACTTCAAAGATTCAAGCCCCTGCCTTCCTGCGCGTTTGAGGAAGGTGGTCACTCTTACGGAGATCGCGGCATAAAGTGACGGGATTATAGGGCATTTCGACACTGAGCCCACTGTAGAGTTCAATTCAGGTGCTGCGCACGCTATAAGGCCCTATATCTCCAGGCTATGTGCCCTAGAAACACACTATGAGACATTGCAAGGTTACGAAGATCTTCAAGGGTATTAGCGCTGCTGGCAGAGCAACTATCCCTTCGTCTGGCGAGACATAGTCCACGCTAGCAAGGGGGGTGTGGCTGCACGCAAGCCTCACCTCGCTTTATTACGCTTGAAGAGGCTTGCGTGCAGCCACACCCCCCTTGCTAGCGTGGACTATATCTCGCCAGACGAAGGGATAGCGCTTGGACACTAAAAGAATAACTCTTATAGGGCTAATTAGCGAGTAAGCCCTTGTAAATACAGGGGATAAACCCTTAAAAGGTGTGGCACCCCTTGTCCGAGGCTTATGGCTTGTTTTCAGGGCAGTAGCCTAGAAATACAAGGATTTTTAGCGGCTAAGCTCGCTAGAAACGAGTGCTACAGTGGAGTTTCAGTACCAAGGCCCTATAATCCCGTCACTTTATGCCGCGATCTCCGTTCCTAAGCCTCCTCATAGAGAAACAGAGAAAGTTATGCCAGATTGAAAGGTGAGAGGTGTTGCGTGGAAGCGAAGAAGCAGCGAAAGTGAGTTCCGCGATGTCTGAAGGGAGGAAGGACGAGAGCAGCATTGAAGAGCAAAGCGGTGGAGAGCAAAGCGGTGGAGAGCAAGTCTAAAACCGCCCAGGCCAATTTTCAAGCCACACCTTGGCACGTGAACATGCGCAATACGCTTGCCCCATTTGGGAAAATTCAATCGCGACTTCAACCTTCGCGTTGTCTTCATTCCTCGACATCTCTTCTCCTCGGGCCATCGAGCATGTGCAAACATGTTCCACAGTATCGTGGCTGCTGAGAAAGCAGCCATCGCAGGCGAGGGACACGAAGAGTTCGATACACAGCAGTGCCGCGACCTCCAGGCTGCGTTCCTTTCTGTAAGGATCTGCAGCAGCCTCGCCATTGAGGCGCCCCATACTAGGATCGCACTGACGCGAATTTAGTCAAGCCCGACCGACGCGCCTGATCGCGTCTTTCCATTCAGCAACAAGGTCAATTCAAGTCCTCCTCCACCAAGGGCGAACGACAAGGACGAGGTTGAAGTCGACCGCGCAGTCGAGAAGCCTCAGCAGGATAATGGTGGCATCTCGAAGCCCGCTGAGCCTTCCGCCGTATCAATTGAGCCCACGGTGCCCACCTCATTGCTGGCACCTCCGGGAGATGATGCAGCTTCCGACACACAAAGCATTGTCAAGAAGATAATAATTAAACGGAACAGCGACGGATTCTTACGAGCTTTCGACGGAGAGGGGAATGAGGTCCCAGGCTCCAAATTTTCGGAACAATTAGAGCGTCAAAAGCAGGCAACCACCCAAGCCATGGAGCTGGACGACCTCACGCAGAGGAGTGCTATGTCGTTGACGCAGGAGAACCCACCTTCAGCGTATGATCAATTCGATATCCAAAACAATATTCGCGACGAATACCCCTCTACTGCGACTCCCGACGACGGAGATGCTCGCGAACCACCACGAACCCAGACGGCGGGATCACTGCACTCCAGACAACATGCATCGACTAGAACGGAGTCCACTGCACACACTTACCAAGAAAACGACTCCAGATATATCCATCTTGATTTTGAACCCTCCTCGATCGTCGACGCAGACGCTGAGGATGAAGATGGAGTATCGCAACACCCCTCGTTTGCCGCTCCTCGGGTTGGGCAGCCACAATCCTACGAACCGCAGACGCCAGCACCTCCCATGAACCCATTCAACCGAAAAGGAAGTGTCCTGAAACCGTCGCAGATGTTTGGTGCTACACAACCATCATCTGTCGGACGACGTGTGAGCCCAACCTCGTCTCGTCCTTCACCAGATGTCTACAATGACTTCAGTTCACCTCCCAAGCGAGCGCGGTTGCAATCCTCGCCATCGGCAACACGAAACGGAGCTGGCGATGATACCTCACCGTTACAGTCGTCAGTGCGGAACATACTAGCGAGATGCAACTCAGTGTTGACGGAGGCGCCTTCGGCGACAAAACCACGAACATCTGGCGTGCAGTCTTTCGATGCAGGGCCGTGGATCCAGCGATCTGGAACAATCAACGAGCCTCGTCCTTATCTGTCGATGCAAGAGAGTCAGGAGATGCGGAACGGCCTTTCAGCATCGGATACAGATTCAGACTCTGATTCTAGTATTGACGCGAGACCGCGGAAGCGTTTAGAGCGGGAAAGGCGAATTCGACAAGAATTGTCAACCATCGGGCGAATGCCCACATCCAGCCGTCCAAGCTCTGCTTCGGCCGTTGAAGTGCCATCTACTGGTCAACGACAAAGTTGGATAGATCAATTTGAAGGCACAGCGAAAGCTAGGAGGAATACACAAGATGGGGCCCACTCCAGCCTCACAGGCTCAGCTGCTATTGAAGTTCCCTCGACAGGCCGACGAAGAAGCGTCCAAGAAGAATATATCGCTCAATGCGAGGGCATAGATGCGAGGGATACACAACAAGCTACCCAGGATACCCAAGAAGAAGGCGTCAAGGATACCCCGCCAGATGATGTGGTTGCCGACTCTCAAGCTGTTCCTGGTCAAGAGGAGGATCCTGTAGAAGAACAGCCATCCTCGAAGAATGCCCGGGGTGCTCCTGAGGATGACCAATCTAGCCGGTCGGCAATTGGCTCACAAGAACAGCCTACCCACCAGGATCCGACCGTGGCCAATCTTCCGCCGCCCAACAGATCGCCAATTGACCAGCAGGTTGAAGGCCATACCGAGCAAGAAGCCCCAACTGCCTCAATTACTGCTGCCAGCGCACCTGAACCAAGTCTGCCCTTACAGGAGATGTCGAGGAATCAGAACAATTTGCGAACCCCCATGGCTATCAAGAACCAACCTTTCTCTGATGGTCTTGATACAGTCCCGGAGACTAGCCCGCCGGAACGCACTCTTTTAGAGCAACGCAGTCCACCGGAGGCGCGCCTTCGCCCAATGGGGGAAATTGCGAGTATCTCTTTTGGGGGCGATGGGGTCGATGATTTGGGAAACATCCCTGGCTTCACTCAAGATGCTGACTTTGAGAATGCTATGCGAATTCGGTCATCACCTCAACCTCCGCCACGGGTGCCGCCTCGAAACGCCCCGTCAGCGCAGGTCTCCGAGGCTATTGTTATCTTGAAAGACGTTGCGGCTATCGGAATTGCAAATGCTTCCTTGGATCCTTCACCTGCGAAGCATCATCTGCAGGCGCCCCCACTAGATGAGGTGACAGGCAGTGCTGCCCTATCCGAACAACCCGAAGAAGTCGTGGCCACCGAGCAGCAAATACGACATAATAACAATCATCAACCCGATCATGATGGAGAGAAAGGTGAGGTCACACAGGATTTACACGATGCAACGGGAGATGATCTTCCTGCACCATCGGCTAAAAGAACGGGATTGAGAACCAAAGGTGAGCTCAAGGGTCCCTCGCGTGCATTACGACGATCGGGTTCCACCTCTCGAAGCACCACTCCGTCTTCGAAACAATTGAAAAAAGCAAAAGCCATTGGCTCACGTTCAACCAAGACGGCACCAGTCTCGACGCCGGTTGCTGAAGCTTCTGCCCCGCTTCCTGCGGAGAAAAATGTGAATCCAGAATTTACAAATCCACCATCTGCACCCTCCGCACCCTCCGCACCCGCTCCATCATCTACAAGAGCCTCAAAACGGAAGTCCGCGGTTGCAGATAAAGAGGGTACGCCAGCTTCTTTACCGAAGCGAACATCGAAACGCAAGTCAGGCCCTACCATTTTGGATGATTCCGTTGCCCCAACTCGGTCGTCTAAACGTCAATCAATCGCACGCGATGCAAAAGAAGATAGCGAAGACCCGTTGGTTTTGCCTATCCCTGCCGCTACTGTCGCCAGAATGAGCCCTTCCGGGTCTTTGTTTGCAAACATGGCATTTGCGGTCTCTTACCAGAAGCGTGACCAGGAGAAAGATGAGGTGACGAAAGCGATTCGTGACAATGGTGGAAGAATTCTCGAAGAGGGTTTTGATGCTTTGTTCGAGACATCGAAGCTGAAGGGACCAGATGCTGGATTGATGCTCTCGGCGGTGAACAAACCACTCGGCTTTTCTGCTCTCATCGCAGACGAGCATTCAAGAAAAACCAAATACATGCAAGCGCTAGCTCTAGGGCTACCTTGCATATCTGGACAGTGGGTCTTAGCTTGCGTGAGTAAAGGTGCCATCCTGGACTGGTCACCGTACCTCCTTTGCGCTGGTCAGTCCTCATTTCTCGGCAATGTGATGAAGTCCCGAGTATTACCACGATATCCTGCCGCAGAAGCGAACCTTGAATTGACCTTGGACGCTCGAGACAAACTTCTTGAGGGAAAGTCGGTGTTGATGGTCACGAGCCGGGGCAAAGCCGACAAACGCAAGCCATACATCTTTTTGACTCGTGCATTAGGCCCATCTCGAGTTGAACAAGTTGGCGACCTATCAGAGGCACGCACGAAGTTGGGATCCGAAACTTGGGACTTGCTCTACACAGATAGTCCAAAAGAGACTGCTGCAGCCACTGTCTTTGGCTCTGCAAATTCGAGCGGTGGTTCGAAGAAAAGGAAGAGAGGTCCTACAGCCACGAAAGATTCAACGCCTTCGCCGAAGAGAATTCGCGTTATTGACGACGAGACCATGATCCAGAGTCTCATCTTGGGACAAATCATGGAGGCCCAAAACTGACGACTCGTATGTTCGAGCCTTGAGCTCCACATTTGGCACCCTTTGCTGACATTGTCGGCATGGCTTTTGATTTATCATAGCACAGCATACTTCAGAACATTGGGACTGGGGCGAAGCTGCATATCTAGGAGTATTTGCTAATGGCTTATGGGGGCATCATTTCTGTCTGGTATGGCAGATTGCATTGGCGTTTTTGCTCTGTGATACCATTATGGATGAGCAGGTTTACGGTGCTTTGGTTGGTGGTATGTACATAGGGGAGGTAGATTGAGAAATGATAATAGCTTGTGGCCCGAGCCTTGAAGCCTTGGCGAGTCTTTGGTGCTTACCGCATGTCCGAATTGGTTTTGCAATGTAGTTCTGATTTCGGCTTTGCTTCTTCGCGGATTCATGACCTCTGTTCCGAGCAAGTCTACAAGGCTAAATCTATTGTGATTCATGCTTGTGACCTGGCCTGAACCTCAACAGTCGGGGTGAGATGGCTTAACTTCCTTTTCCCGGAGAATGCTGACCCTGCACTTCTGATTTACAATGTTCCCGGTCCGGGAAAATAGAATGCATCTAGAGTCCTCAGCTCGCCAATCTGGGCGTCAGATCTTCACTGACGTGCGTTGAGACAAGGATCGCTCTTCGAAACGGGAACGCAGTTGCAGCTCAAAGGACAGGACGCCTTGGGCCCGAGTACCCGGTCGTGAAATGAGCACTTGCCTAGGGCGTATCTTGTGTTACATATGACGCACTGCACAGGAAGTTGCTTTTGTCCGTAACCAAAACCTGGGACGGGGTCCGATGGGTTGATGCAAAGGGGCTACAGAAGTCAAGGCCAACTTCAGTCTTGGCTGGAAGCAGCCACTCGACCCAGATACCGGGTCTGCCTTGATATCGTGCATGAAACGTATTGTATTGTGGCCTCGCGGGGTGCAATATCTTGCTTGTTTTTGTTACGTTTTGCTACCCGAGACATGGGGAAGTCTCCGACGGCTAGATGGGATTACACAAGGTGTTTTTTTTTTGTTGAATTCCAAGACACCGGGAAGTCTTCGAGGGGTTGAGTGGACCCGGTTGCCCGGTTAAGTCTTGAGATCTTGCATGGCTCTTGTGCTTAGCTACACAAGTACTGTCAATCCGGCATCTGGAAGAGCTTGGTAGGTTCTGTCACAAAATCGCAACAGCCACGGAACCCGGATAACAGGCCGAGCTTTGAATGTGGCATGCTGCTTATGAGCCCTTTGTTGAACCAAGGCTTCGTATTTTGTTCGCATTCGGGGCCTGGATAAGTCTCCCATGGTCTGGTGTCAGTTATAGGGCCCTGATTCCGGATTTAGCCAGGAGATTTTGCAGGCTAGCTTTGCCAATGCTCGATGAGTTGCACGCAGAATTACTTTTTGTATGGCATCTGAAAACCTTTGACGGGTTGCAGCGACCGAGTTCACCGCTGAGTTCACCGCAGAGGACCCGAGTGCCCGGTTGAGCCTTGGACCTTTCTTGCATCTATCTTGTGATCTTGTGCTTGGCTACACAAGCAGTTTGTTTTGTTAGTTGCTGGAGGGCTCTGTTGAGTTGCGGTGAAAAGCCGCAGAGGGATTACCGTTAATTTGACAGCAGAGGGCCTAGCTACCTGGTCCTGCCGTAGCATCTTGCATTTATGGTATGATGATCTACACAAGAATTTTTGTTTTGTCCCTGGATTGCGGTGAATGGCCCAAGTGGGGAGCCCAGACACTTCCTTGAGAGTCACCCCATAGTTGCAGCAGTACTCTGTATCTCAATGACATTTCAATAGAGAGCTCTGCTGGCTCCTTCCCAGTAGATCTTAAAGACGTGGATCATAGCGGCTTGAGGCAAGCCGACACCGATGACGCTATTTAAAGGAAAGCACGTTCGGCAGGGATTAACCGCGGTCCCTTCTATAAATACTTGCCTTCTCAAACAAAAACCACTCACCAACAACACCAAACACCATCTTCTGCCTTTGATTCCAAATCGTGCCATTTCCCAGTTGTGAATTCCTTGTTCTTGAATGTGCTTTGACTAAGTTAGAAGACCTCTGCTAAGTACGCTAGCACAATGCGCGTCGCCATCATTGGTGGAGGTTCTTCAGGCCTGGTCACACTGAAGACCCTTGTCACCGCCCATGAGTTCTTGCCTGGCACGGAACCTGTCGAAGCGAGGCTCTTTGAACAGGAAGACTCTATTGGTGGCACCTTCAAGCATCGAGTTTATGAAGATGCAGAGGTACGTTGTCTTTTCGGAACGTGTTGCTACAACAATCACTTCAATGAAGATACAAAGGAGATGTGCTGACGCGTGTTGTTCTGTAGCTTGTCTCTTCTAGACAACTTACCACCTTCTCCGATTACCGATATAACCATCAGTCTCCCGACTTCCTCCTTGCGACCGAGTACTGCACCTACCTGGAGGGATATGCCACGCTGTTCAAGCTGCTGCCATATATCAATCTCTCCACGGCGGTGACTAAGGTTCGTCCGGGCATCAAAGGCGGACACATTGTCGAGTACGTCCAGGGCGGTCAGAGATTAGAATATGCCTGCGATGCCATTGCTATATGCTCTGGCTTGCACGTCATTCCAAACATCCCTGACATTCAAGGACTGAAGAATGTCCCAACTGTTATTCATTCGTCTGAATTCAAGGAGAGAAGGCAGTTCGGCGTTGGCAAGAATGTCTTGATCGTGGGCAGTGGCGAGACGGGCATGGACATTGCTTACCTGGCCATCACCTCTCCGACCAAGTCTGTTACTTTGTGTCACCGTGATGGATTCCTTTGTGCTCCCAAGGTACTTCTCTTCCCTAGTGACACCATGACTTATCGCTAACTGTGTTTTCTATAGCGAGCTCCAGAGCCGTCTTGGTTTGGCATGAAGCCTTACACAACCCCTCAAGGCAACGTCCCCTACGATGTCGGAGCTGCAAGCTTATTTGATACCGCCTACGTCCACCCACTTCTCCGTGACTCATTCTTGCCTTGGTGGTACTATGATCTCTTTGCCAAGTGGACTACCTGGCTTGTGTCTGGCACAAAAGCAGGTCTCGATCAATGGATTGGCGAGATATCTCCTGAGCGCTTCCATGCTTCGAAGAGTTCGTTCCCTTACCTCGGCCTGCCTGATGTGTGCTGACAAAATTGACATAAAGTATTTTTCAACAAATCCTCGAAAGCAATGCCCTATATTAGCGCTCCTTATCGCAAAGGCTCTCCCTTCAACACCCTGCGCTCTTACGTTTCACAGATCCCCATCGTTCCCACAGGCAACAAAGTCATTGACCTTGCCCCTTTCCCTCAATCCTTCTCCCCAACGTGCAATGTCACATTCCTTGACAATAAGCGTCCCGAGGCAGAAGTCATGCGCATCAAGGCAAAGACACTCAGACCCGACCTTGTGATCCTCGCAACTGGCTACACACAATCCTTCCCCTTCCTGTCTTCCACCTACCCTCTCCCATTCTCCGCCGACATTCGCGGTATCTGGAAAGCTGGTGTTGAGGATGTAGCATTCATTGGCTTCCTCCGTCCGTCATTTGGTGCCATCCCTCCTCTGGCAGAACTCCAAGCCCAACTCTGGGTCCTCAATCTACTTGGCCGACTCCCTGCTCCGCTGTCGCCTCAAGATCACTACAAACTGCACCATCTACCTGGAAGCAGAATCAACTACGGCGTTGATCACGAGAGCTATGCATACCAATTGGCATGCGATATGGGCTCCGCAGCCGGATTCATTGAGGTTCTGGGTATGGGCTGGAAGGTCGCAGTTACCTGGGCTCTGAGCGCACAAGTTAACACCAAGTTCCGACTCACCGGTCCGTGGAAGTGGGAGGGTGCCAAGAATGTGATGGAGACGGAGATCTGGGAGACCGTCTCCCGACGTCGGGGCTTCTTTGGTCACTTTACGTTGAGCTTCATGCCGATTGTTCTCTTTGGAACTTTGAGCGCGATTCTATATATTCTTGAGCAGATCTGGAAGGGATTGAAGCTCTTGTGGAAGCTCTTGACTTTGTCTTAGAGGCTTGGCTGCTGTGCGTGAGGAAATGGTGTCGAACTATGGATGTTGAAGTGAGATGTGGCGCTGTGGTGTTTGGCTCTTTTCTGACTTGACTTGCTAGGGTGGGAGGATGCGGAGAAAAGTATTGATTTTACCTTCTCAGAAAGGAGAAAAGGTCTGCATGTTAATTACGACGTAATGAACCTTATGATTAGTCAAAAGTCTTGAAGTTTCAACTGTATATTGTTATGAACAAATCTCCTTCGGCAACAAACTTGACTCCATTAATCCCCTTCCCACCTGCAACTCATTTACTAATTCTCTACGCAATAACTCAATTTCACTTCTCACATTCATATTCGTACCACGAATAAGGTTCTTGATACGGAGATCGCGGCATGAAGTACCGGGAATACAGGGCATTAGGAAACTTTTAGGCCGTCTAGTGTACAGATTAAGTCAGTAAACTAGCTATAAGGCCCTATATTTCCAAGCCCTTGCCCTAAAAATAGCCTATGCGCTTTCGACAAGGGCTGCCACACCTTTTCAGCGCTTCTCCTCTGTACTTACAAGGTGGTCTTTGCTAAGGACGCCTATAATAGTTGCTCGTTTAACGTCTGAGCGCTATCGTTGCTCTATTAATAGCTCTATGACCCTAGAAGGTCTACTTTCCCCCAGCGAATGTCATAGCGCCTCTTTATTACCCATTTAGGGAGAACTGCCTGAAGATATAGGAGCTTATAGCTAGCTCTTGCCCTAAATTCGTACCCTGTAGAGCACGATGGGTCAAAATGCCCTGCATTCCCGTGCTTTGTGCCGTGATCTCCGTAATGTCGGTCTCACTACAGCTGATTAGCAGTCAGCATTCATCAGTAAGCAAGCAGAAGCAGTGAGCCCACAGTCCCACCATGCTAAACTCCATTTTCTTCACTCTCACGTCAGGTTCACTTATAGCCTCCTCAATCTTACTCCCGGTAAAACTCCGATTTCACACCCACAACAAAGCCGATCGTCTCTTCAAGCGCTCCTTGCTTCACGGTGTTTCTGAGGCTTCATCAATCTTCCGCTTCGTATCCTCCAATCTTATTTTTTATGTTTTTTATCGGAAATGTGACTGTAGTCAAAGCCATAGTACTCCTTGTCCTTCCCCTCATCCCATTTCAGACTCTCTTTTCACCGGTCCACTCGATTTTTCGAGTTTGTAACTTTTTGCGACTTATCGTTGAATTCCTCATGTGCCATGCTGGATTCTATTGTACCAGGTGTAGAGGGTGAGCAGGACGGCGTACACGAAGGTCAGGATCCCCGTGAGGCTGGAGATCCAAGAAAGTGGCTGTCGCCGCCAACGTCTTGGGATGCTGCTGGAGTTATTAATTTTTGTGATGCCGCGGACAGTAATATTCCAGTTGATGACAGATTCTAGTTCAATGGCAACTTAGGTAAGAACGGGGAAGATAAGTCCTCCTTTTTCCAAGGTTAGAAGCAAGAACACCTCTTACACAAGCCACAGACAAACGCTAGTCTGTTCTCGGATTTTTGGAGCTGCTTGAAGGCTTGTGCAACCACAATGATTACGGAGAATAAATTCCTGCATTCAAACTTAAAGGCCATTTGTACAGAATCCAAGTGAGCATAGGTAGGATAGTTCATAACAACTCCCTCAGAATGTTGCGCTGCAGCTCTTCACTCTCAATAGCAAAAGCCAACTGATATTAAGCCTGAAACTAATTAACCCGTCAAAGCCTTTCTCGTTTGCCATGGGAAATTATGATCAATTCTCTTTTAGCGTCTGTCAGCTGCATAAGTCGATCCTCAAAATCACGACCCCCTTTTGAAAAGGGGGTAATCTCGGCTACGGTTGGCTAGGTGATACCGTAAAGTTAGTGTGAGCCTGTGGTATTTCGGCTCAACCGGCGACGAACTCTCATTCTCCATCACTAACACAATCTTGAGCATCACGGATACCAAATATGTCACTTGCGGTGCTCGACATGCTCACCAATTCGGGAGACAGAGAGCTATTCCCAAAGGCTGCTCGGTCGCGAAAAGGGCATAATCAAAGGGATGGGCATCCGCGCCACCAGCTCGTGAATTGTGCAGGGGTCAATTCCTTCTCCAAATTACGAGGTCTGAAGTTATCATGCATGAGGCGGGGTCATACCCAGCACTGCCTCGGGAAATGCTGCGCCTCAATCGTGGGAACAACCAGATTGTTGAAGCTTGCTTCGTTCCCGCTCTCAAATCACGCAATACAAGGCTTAAGATTAATACTAATTGGAACACCTGCCAACGCCTCTTTGCATTATCGTCACTATCTCTGCACGACTAGTTACATGGGCGACTCGCAAGCCAAAGGCCGAGCTCATAGGCCGCACACGAAATCCAGGGGAGGATGTAGCCGATGCAAAGCCCGAAAAGTGAAGGTAAGCAATCAGCATGTATTCTCTTACGGATTACACATATTCCTGTAGCCCTTCTGTGTTTGGCGTCTGACCATTTGTTGGCTTCGAAATACAGTGCTCAGAAACACGCCCTTCATGTGCTTCCTGTTTACGCGGCAAAACAGCCTGCGAATACCCGTCTGAACGGGGCGGCGGACATAAAATATCCAATGTATCAACACCTCTTGCAACACAAGCATCATCTCCCACCCCTCCATATATCTCAGCGCGAGATTTTGAAAAGACGGTGTCAGTGGAGTCCACAGAACGTCGACTTCTAGAAATGCGTCTTATGCATCAATTTACTTCATTCACGACAAGGAAAGATTGGTTGTCTCTGCATGACCAGGACGTTTCAGACATGTGGCAGGAGTACGCTCCGACTCTGGCATTTGAGCACCACTTTCTTCTGAACGCCATAATCTCTGTTGCCGCGCTTCATTTGGCCAAGATCCAACCCGAGCGGCAAGACATGGCCGACACTCATCGCACATATTTCAATGCGGCAATCAGTCAACATCGTCGCGCCGTCCGAGAAATAAGTACGTACAATGCAGAGGCGGTCCTAATATCCACCGTTCTCATCGCGCTCCCGGCTTTCATCCTTCTCCAGAGCACGGAGTTGATTTCCTACTCGCCTCCATTACAACTATTTTACATTCTGGCCGGCAATGTCCCTATCTTCCAGCAAGGCTTACCTTTGGTATCTCAGTCCAGCAAGGTTATGTGCATCCTGACCGCCAAACCGAACATAGCCGATTTTATAAGTGAAGCTTCTCTCAATATATATTTAGAGCCCTTCACTCAACTTACAACTTGGCGGGCCACGGACGAGACTGTGGATTCAGAGAGCCAGAATGCATACCAATTCGCACTCGGCTTTATAGGTTGCGTACTCAGTCGCATTGAAAGTGGTCAGACGGACGCATCCCAAATCCGGAGACTCATCTACGCATTCCCCAGTGTAGTAGGCCCAGTTTTCGTCGAAAGGCTTAGCGAGGGTATTCCAAGGGCGCTGGTGATTCTTGCATACTTTTTCTGTCTGGCTAAGGCGGTTGATAATGTTTGGTGGATGAGGGGTATTGCTGAGAGAGAAGTGTTTGGTATCCAGACCAAACTGCCGGAAGAGTGGCAGTGGGCAATGGCTTGGCCGCTGCAAAAGTTGGTTGGGTTCGCTGCTTTGACATTACAAACGAGGCAAGCTGAAGGACAAACGATGATCCCTTCGTGATGCATTCAGCTAAGAGAAGGGAAATATTCAAGGCAAAGAGTTCAACCGTTTGAGATAAATGATAAACCTCCTGGCGCTCGAGAAGACGAGGTTCAGAGTGTTAGACCTTCTTACCGATGCACGCGCATCGGCCAATAGAAATATATGCTCTTTGTGAACATTCGTCCATGTTTCTCCTATTTAAGGCAATTTATTCCTATACATGTAAAACAACACCCATGTGGAAGCAGAAAGCAGTCATTCATACCCATATCACACAATACACTCCATGAGTGTCCCGAGAAAGAATCCCAAAACCGAAGATATAAATTCGCAAGTATCTCGATTCAACACGGGCTATCGCTGGGTTCCAAGTCCTAGATTTTAATTTTTGGCAGCTCCATCAGATGAGCACTGTTGAGAATCAAATCCTCGTTGGGAAAAAATTTGATAGCCATCCCTCGTGGCTTGATACTGGGGAGGTGGGTCACGGCTATTGTTTGGATACTCCTGAGGGATGTTGTTTTGAGATTGATATCTCGCAGCATTCCCCTGTCTTGTCATTTCCTTTCGTTGTTCGCGTTTATCATGTGAACTTGTGAGAAGGGATCAGTAAATTGAAGCCATGAATATCTGACAGGGGGTGAATGCTGAATGTTATGAGAAAAACAGACTCACTTGGTGATTCTCTCGGCGAGCAGTGTTGCTCCTACGCCTAAGGCTCCAAGTCTAATGAGACCCATAATGAGTATGATTTATGGTGTAATCGTATGTATATAATGAACTGAGAGCTCAATGTAGTGGCCTTGATCGCTGAATATGTTTGACCGCAAATACGACTCGAACTCGAAGCTGACCAGTCTAAATGGGGTTTCAAACTCGTGGACTTCCAGTATTTTTATAGGCAATTGACCTCCCAATGCTCACTTCATCCGAGGTCTGACAAACGCCAAAATTGCGTTTTCGCGTTTATTCGCACCAAGCTTGGGAATCCGAATGCGACCTTGCATCCGAGGTTTGAATGCGAAATCCGAGGGCGGCTGGAGCGAGCGACTCGTTTTACAGCGCAGATCACGACGATCCGAACTACATGTCCTCAACCAGTTTCCGTTTCCTATCAAGCTGTCAAAGCTTAACCTGAATAGAATTGTATTGGAGAGTCTGACAACAGCTTATCATAAGGAATACGTCACTGCTGAATGATCAGCCGCCGCCGCGTTGAATCTTTCATCGGCGATCACCGTGCCGCGACTCTTCTCACTATTGCTTCAGCCTCTAACAGTTAGGATTCAAAGGTCAAGGTGGTATTTTCTTCTGACCACTGCGCCGCAAATCGCCGGCACCAACAAGCTTTCGGATTCTCATCTCGCAGCTCGCAATGGAATATACCTTGGGATGTGGACCCTCGCATCGAATGCGTTTCTTCCTAAAGAGAAGTATAATAAGGAACCCATAGTCCACACTTGAACCTAAATTTAATTCAATTCAACGTCTTCTTCTCCCCAAACACTCGTTGTCAACTCCTACACTCCCACCGTACCCACCAATTTCCAAACATAATCTCCACCACCCCACCTCCGACTCAATATGCTCTCCCAACCCGGGCAGCTCGCGGCCGCAGAGCTAGCAATCTATCTCCTTCTCATCATCCCTTGCGCTCACGCACTCTACACACACGGCAAGCACGGTCTGGTAGGGTGGTTCTTCATTGTTGCCTTCTGCTCGCTCCGCATCATTGGCTCGGCCCTCCAGATCAACAACGAGAAGAAAAATGCCACATCCGAGGCTACGCAAATCATTTCCGGTGTCGGGCTCTCGCCCCTCATCTTGGGTGTCTTGGGAGTCTTGGCTGAAGCGAATCATTATCTACAAGAGTATCGATCGTGGTTGCTAAGATGGCCAGCGGAAGCAGCACTGCATCTCATTGTCGGAGCTGGCCTTGCGTTGGTAGTTGTTGGGATTAAAGATGGAAAGGCGCTAGCAAAAGTAGGGTATGTTTTGTTTGTCGCCGTTTGGGTCGCTCTTCTCGTGTTGACGGTTTTGGCCTGGCGCTCTCAGGCCAGAGGCGTTGATTCTAGACGCGTAAGTCTTCCTCTCCGTAGCGAGGACTGGCGTAGTCCACATATTAAGGTTGGCGAAACTGACCTTTTCATGATCACAGCTTCTTATCGCCATCCCTTTTGCTCTTCCTTTCCTTGGTGTTAGGATTCTCTATTCTCTCATCTCCCAATTCGACAAAGGGATCAATGCATACACGGGTCCTCTTGTATATAGAGTAGTTTTGGCTGCACTGATGGAGTTTATTATTATTACTATTCTTGCAGTATTTGGGCTGGCAACGAGGGGGATTCGGCTTGAAGAGCCGAATTTGCCGAAATCCGGATCCAGAGAGATCGAAGCTGGGAGAGTTTGAGAGGCTTCTAGTAGATATAATCTGTAACTTGACGATCTGGAGTGAGCTGGCTGAATTGTATCATGGAGTGAAACAGACAGGAGTGGCTGACGCATGAATTTCGTCTCTGTGGCGGCGGAAAAGGTGGACTGCTGAGGCAGAGGATATTATGTGGAAATATCTGTATTTGAAGAATTAGATTTTTATTATTCGGCGACAGAATTACCGCTATTCAGTGATATGAGCTCACAGATCCTCTGGGTGCCTGGAAAGATTTAACGGGTTCAATATTGCTCATTTATCGCAGGTTGCGGGTCATTTCGAAGACTTTTTTTTATTCTTTATTTTAATAAGAAGGGTTTGGAATCAGTAATACCACGGAGATACATGCTGGGAGTCGCACAGTATGGGAGCTTTGATGGGAAGGACATACTAGTGAACCTTGAACGAAACACCTCTGCTTACCTCTGCAAGCTGTTGAAGACTGACACTACTTCCAGTGCAAGGTATGTTGCACCAGATGCGTGAGGATCAATAGGCAAATTGCCCCTATCTGGCGGCACGAAATGGAGTAGGGCTGGCGCCGGCGAACGGCCGGTGAGTGAGTGGAACGGACAGCCAGCCGAAATACAAGGCGAATTGTGGGGCCGCTGCGAACGGTAACACGTGTGTTCTCTGACTTGCTCGGCTAGGGGTTGGGCAGGTTGGGCAGAAACACCTTACACGCCATTGCAGGCCTCATCACCAACCCCACACATAGCCTCAAAACTTTAGCTCCATTCACCGTTATCTCTCATATTCTCAATGATTTCGACAAAATATATCAAGAGCGACTTATACGAGGCGCCCGGTGAGCTGGAACAATTGGCCAAGGGGCCATGTGCTGATCGGGGCGGAATTGTTACGGGTTCAGCAGCGAGGTGTTCACCGGTGTTGTGCCATTAGCGGCGTTCTCTTAGACTTTTGATGCTCTCGTTACTTTTTGTTTGTTGAGCTCATATACTAGACCGATTCTTCTGTGATGAAGGATGGCTTCATTCCCCGTCTCCAGTTCTCTTTGTATTATCTGTTCTCCCTTTCATTCTTCCGGGGGCTATTTCCAATCCTCGCCGCTATTTGCAACTTGAACCAGAGAAATGGCCAAGATCATGGAAGCTGGGAAGCCCCAAGAGCCAAGGAAACGCGTCAACGGTGCTCCGCAGGAGCCACGAGCCGTGGAAGGCCCTCCTATGCCCCCTCCCCTTCCGGCCGATGATGTTTTGATTGAGAAGACTCCATTGCAAAAGCGACAGCGCCGGAATCTTACTGACGCGGAAAGGTTGGAGGTAGCAGCAACCCGCAAAAGAGGTGCTTGCGAAGAACATCGAAGAAAGAAAGAGAAAGCATGCTCTCCTGCCAAGAAGAAAAAGAAAAAGTAGATGCTGACTATGAGTAGTGTCGCCATCCACCGAAACAGTATGCAACCGGCGGTATCGGCACTGATGGAGCTACACCGCTCTTCAGCGGTCAGAATCCCAGAATTCATGGTGTTCTGTAACATCTACCGCGAGCCGCTATAGTGAAACCTCCAACCTGGAGGAAGACCGCTTAGTGGCGACAAGTGTCACTGCTGGTCCCTTGATCGGCGCAGATCAGCTGCTGAGCAGTCAATGGGACTTGCTGAACAGAGATTTGGAGACTAGATATCAACAGGATGGAATGCCTTCTATGAATATTTACTCGACTGGCACTGCCAATGGCTTGGACCTCCCAAGCTTGCCTCCAAGCTCGGATCAAATGTCACAGTGTGATAATTTGTCCAAGAACGGTAGCCCTCCATTGACCAGAGAATATGCCACGCCGCCAATTTCTCCCCCTACGGCGGCATGTCTTCCAGGGCAGAACGACTTTTGCCCGCACATTACCCAGCCCGCTGGAGGGCCTGGTCGAAGCCCCGGATATCTGGCGAAATTTCAACCTTGCGCACCTCCCAGCGCCGGATTGCAGCAAAGGCCAGCATTGTCAGGAACTTGCATGACACACCAGGGTTTCACGCGGCCATCAATGCGGCCCCATTGCCGTGGATGCTGTGCCTATAATACCGTGATCTGGGAGCCGACTCCCACCGTCCTTCAGCCGGGGATGAATTCTTTGACCCGAATGAATTCACACTTCGACAGCCCAAGTTCCAGTGGCATCAGGGAGCAAACAGTACCTGGCCACTTATTTTATGCTAACACCCCATCCGAGGGTGCTATTCCCCAAAGCTCAGGTTCGTAAGTTGACATGAGAATCCCACGTTTCGTTCCGGACCAGCAAAGATATTCCTAATCGGATAACTAGTGGCTATCTGCTTCCGTCTCGAATCCAAGCTAACTTTAAACAAGTTTTCATGAACCCAATGAACATTGACTTGTCTAGGCTTTCCTGTCAAAGTCAGATTACATTCGCAACAAACATCAATCCCCAGTACGGGCACAATACGTTTGAAGGCTATGAAATGCCTTCATTTTCCAGCAACGGAACAGCCATGACGGCAGATGGATATCGAGAATCAACATTCAATCAGACAGAGCAGCTCTGCGACGCATTTACGGCTAGCGCATTCGAGTTTCCGCAAACTTCAACAGATGTTCTATATTCGCCTCAACCACTGAGCGCAGGCCAAGATTTTACCCCTCTCCAAGAACCGTCTCTCAGTTCACAACCGAATAGCACGTTCTGCGACTTTCATTAACCAAGTTATTGCCAGAAAGCCAATTCAACAATACCGTATTGCGAAGAGGACCGAGACAGGTGAGCTATATCTTACATTCTTGCATCTCTTTGGGGTTTGAGCTAACCACTTCGTAAGACAGCTGGTGCTAAGAGACGTGGAAACAAACCTCAGATGAAAATGGGCTATGATACTTGTTTGGGTGGATTAATGATTCGATTGTCTGGTCATGTATTTACATGAGAATCGGTTTGGCAAGTGGTAGATAGCTTACTCTACTTTCAGAAGCTTTTTACGCACGAGCATATGCAATGTTAGATAAAGGTAGAACTCTTTCTGTTGTAAGATTATATGAACAAATGGTACGTTAAGATTTTATATGACGATTAAACCTTGCCATCGACCAGCTTCCCAAGAGCCCTAGAGTTCTCCCCTCATGGTCCCATGAACACCACAAGCGCCGACGAGCTGCCATTGTTCTCCAGTTGACATTAGGGACCTAAGCGCCAACAGCTGCTGAAGACCCTTGACAACAACGATTTGGTCTCCTTTCTGAAACATGTGTGGGACTCAGCAGAGGTGCGCATCCTTGGTCAACATCACTCTCTTTCCCCAGACCGCCATGCTGCCGATAAACTTGTGCGCTCAATTCATATTAATCGCGAGGAGCGCAGCTGGGACCTCGAAATCACGCAGCTGCCTCGCTATCGGGTTAGCCATGGGCTGGTTGATGTTTCTTACAGAAATTCCCGACAGCGCTTGGAGCATGAGTACTTCTCTCAGAATGTTCTTGAAGCTGGAGAAACTGTCATGGTGCTAGTCTCATTTGATGGATCCCCATTCATCCATCTGCTGCCTTTGAGAGTCCTCCAGATGGCCTCGGCTGAGATCTAGCCAGAAGAATGTGTGTAGTAGCTAGGGAGGTGCCTCAGTAGCCTCTCTGCTTCTTTCACTGCTGTCAGTTCGCTCTTACGACGGAGAAATGAAGCTATATCAGATAAATGTTTCGGCAGCGGCACCGCGAAGGGTGGAGACAGCTCGAATATTTGAGATACTCCAACGCTCTTTATCAAAAGTTGTAAACCTTCCACTTGAACCCCTGGCTTTGCTCTGGGGGAACCTCTTGGCATGCCACAACTATACTGGCTACTTCCTATTACGGATGCTATCTCCGGTACTTGTGCAAAGTCACTACATGTGAAGAGCGATGGACCTTGCCTGTGAAGGGAAACAGTTGACCAATCAGGCGCCCAAGACACAAGGCTGTCAATATTTCTTGAGTAATCAATGCTACCAGATGTTAGAACAAAATCCGGAGCAGATAATAGCAGATACTGAGCCACCTTTAAAAAACGTCCCTGGTCGGAAGGTTAAGGTTATTTAGTAGAGCCGCCGGACACTCCTTAACTATACCTAGCAGTGAAATCAGCTAACCATCGTCCTTTATTAATTCGAATTCAGACATCAGAGGAAGCGTGGTTAACAGTTGCAACGGTCCAGATTTGGATGAAACTCCGGATGGCGATCAATGAGGATATGCGTGAGCGAGTTTCTTTCGTAAGGTTTTGTGGTGCTTCATCTCCCTTATTGCTTGTTTCGCTTTCTGCAATTATATAATGCTCTATGTACTTCTCAATAATACGATACTGCGTATTCGGGGGATCCAATATGGGCTCGCTGTCGAAATATCCCATTTCAGTATCTGACCTCCATACGGATATCGGGGCTTAAAGTCATGCGACTTCAGTGCATGTGCCCTGTAGCTGTCGCGCCATGCTATTGGCACGGTGGCTATAGCGCTTAGACGCTGGAATTTGGAGGTTTTATAGGGCACTTTAGCGACCGGGTCCCTGTACTTGCAGGGGCATACCCTATAAATATCTTTTAATCCCTGAAACGCCTTATAGGGCCTGAGCATAGTTATAGGGACTTGTAGCGTCTGCATCCACTATCATCTGAGCCTGTAGTGGACGAATAGTGTATCTCGGCCAAGCATGCCCCGAAGTCACATGACTTTATGTCGCGATATCCGTAGACAATGTTGATTCTTTTGGCCAGAGCCACCTCTTGTACCAGTAGCTCTGAAAAGTGAACTTGATTCGTGCTCGCCACATTCGCTTCAAGATCTTGCCATCCATCACTCTACTCATTCTACTAATTAGCAGCAGTATGCCAGCTTTTTTTTTACCAGAAGTGGTGACTGAGAATAGATATTAGTGTAAGATCAAGTAGAGACACCTCCTCGTAGTCAAGCCAGGCCAGAACTCGTGATGCACTGCGATATATGTCGCCCATCAGTCGGAGCTTGCCCGGTTGCTCGTCCAGGTCGTCCCGGTTAATACAAACAGCGTTGATCCAAAGCCAATTTGGCCACTCCCACGTTGCACGATTGCCAGCGATCCCACTGACGTTCCTTGTAGTCTTTAATATACCATCGTCGAGATATAAAGTCTTATTTCTGACCTGTCGACCCCAGGTGTATGAAACTGCATCGTATGGAGGAGTCTTGTCAAGGGGAAACGTAACCAAGCTCAACTTGAGTACGGAGAATGGTATCTTCCTGGCGCTCTTGAACAGCCAAATCTCTCTTGTTCAGGGACCCAGCTTTGATAGCAGAATACTGGCAGCGGCGAACTTTCTCCTGAAGACATGCATAGACGCAAAAGTTCACTAATTGGCCACTGGATGGTTTGAAGATGTCGAAGAACAAAATTAGCCGCTACCCTGCAGACCGAAAACAAGTACCCAGCAACACAGAAGCAATATTCGTCCATTCTCGCAAATAGCCACAAATTATCTTTTTGGAAGCTGTAACGTCAGCTTCTAAAAAAATAGCCTCCACTCTACTACGAAGGCGACAGGCGTTGAACGTCGTCCATTTGCAAAGTGCGCGCAAGAACACTAAAATTGCCTTGTGCGGAAAGTCGCATTAATCCCTAACGCAACACCCAAAACTTTCTATAAGAGTTTTATGTAATACAAAATAGCCCGTTAATCTTTTCCAAGATTTTTATAACGATTAAAATTGGGGAGAAATTGCGAGACATTTATAACCGCGCAGCCCCCTGACTTCTCAAATCCTCGCTTAGCCAGTTGAACAGATTTTAATGCTCGCCGCCTTCGTACTATAAACTACTAGGTCGCAATTCCCTACTCCTGCTGTGATCGATTTAATAGTTGCAAAGCAATGGGAGGAAGGCCCAGCTGCTTTGCGAATTCATAAGTACTCCCATGGCTACTGTGCTAAATACTTCAAGATATAACTATTACTGCTTTCTGTGTTACTACGCAAAATATAGAAAATAAATGATTTAAATAGATTAAATACTTTATTTTTACAGAGCCATAGGAACGCTTGCAGTTAAATGAGGCTTTGAATGTTGCCTAATTGGGGTGAAAATGAGCTGTGGGGCTCATGTAACGACGCTGCCGCTGCATTTGAGATTCTCATTAAGCGGAACAATTTTCTTATAGAGCAACACAGAGCTCTAATTGTCCCGGCCGAATCGTTCTCAATTATTTCATCTAACTAGTCCCTCGTGTCAGCTATGGAGCTATATGGAAAGTCTTCTCGGCTAGACATATCGCCGAAAGTACTCTTCAGCCCAGCAACCAAACTTCTCAACTTTGAGTCTCCACAGAACATAATCAGTCATCACCAACGCTCTCAATGTTCAAATCAAATCTCATTGCCCCAAGACTTTACTTATTATACAATGCGGCCCTGAGAGTTTCTTCTCTTAGTGGATGGGGTTGCAGTCTTAACAAAGTGGGGACACGGGCAATTATATTTGTAAAGTGGAGCAAAAGACTGAATATCTCATATTTGAAGACATAAGTGCAGGCTGTTGTCTAAGAAACACAACCCAAAAGCATCAAAGACAGTGGGAATCTTATACTCTCTAATCTTTTCTATATGTGCTGTGATCTTGGAAGAATGAGAAGATACGAAGACCAGTATGCGTAAATCCTCTCAGTCCTTACAGTTTAATTAGATTCTCGCAGCAGTTAGCAGAATAGCCGTGGTGGTGGTCAATTCATTCCCTCATGATTTGGAAATCACAACCGAAGCATTCACGAGAGTGAAAAATTGAGAGTCATACCAAAACACCTTCATCTTCATCTCCCTATCATAATCTTATCCATGGGCCACGCAATCAGGCTTTTCCATTCAATATCAACCACCTGGCACACCTCCTGGATCAGCTTCCTCCCCCACCCCATCGCCCACCAGGTATCTCTGATTTCGTGAAGAATGACAGCATAGTGCGCCAAAATCACCAGAGCCATCTGCTCCCGGGAACCCAGTAGCGCAATATACTCCCGGCCAACCGAAATCGGCCAGCTAAGCACCATCCCATGGTCCCTGTCCAGATCCTTTGATGACAACAGTTTAAAGTACACCTTCAACTCCTGAATAGCACGAGCATACGTATCTGCTCCAGAACACTCAATCGAAGATATTCGATTCCGCTCTTCAAGTAAGTCGACGGAATTTGCGATATCATCTGCTAGTATAATCGTGTCATCCACCTCTCTGCCTCTAAACATGGGTTCAACCTCGCTCTCTTGGATCCAAGACCACGTTTCTCCCAGGACAAACGGCACGCCTCGCAGCAGTGTAAAGATACCTAAGATCTCTTCGATGGGCCCCATGGGCTCCTCATGCGGCCTTGACATGGCGAGGTTGAGTGCGAAAATAACAATCAAAGTTGCGCAAACGAACAACGATGCGCTGTTCTCCCGCGTCATACTGTGAAGTTGGCAGCTATACTCTCGGAGGGCGATGTTATGGTGCCGGATGGCTCTCTCGATGTATGAAGACTGGCTTTCTGGGCGCGATGAGGCAATGTGTAATGCCGCGACACCCAAGAGACTGTGCATCAAAACCTTTTGCTTCAGCGCCAGCTTTGGGATCTGGATCTGCCACATTTGGCGGAGATCGTTTCGATTGGCTAGCGTTGTGGAGGTGACAGTCAGATAATGATGCAGGAGCTCTAGATCATCCCAAGCCACGATCCCTACCTCAGACGGGTAAAGCACACTTGGAGCAATGGTCGTCTCATCTGGAGGCGGAACTGTCGACAGCAGCGATGAGCTTCTTGGACTTCCGTGGCGAGATATTGTTGATGGAATGTTTGGCAGCCGTCCGTTGACCAGATTTGGAAATTGACAACTCTTTCCAGTCCTCGCGCATTTGCCACATGTTGGTTGAGCCAGATCACACTGCGTTTAGTAAGTCGGGAATTGTGGGTGGTCAAGCAGGATTTACATACCTTGATATGAGCAGATTTGCATTGCGAACAGCCGTGCCGCGATTTAGAATGCGTGCGTCTAGACGACATGTCTCCAGGCTTGTGATATATAGCCCTGGTCTACTCATATCCCGAAGCAGAGTCTAGGGTGTGTGCGCCAGTAGTCGTATGCCCTACATCTACTGAGTTTTTCTAATACAGAAGATGTTGTAAATGATGAGTGTTGAGACACAAGGGTCTCAGCGTTTGCACCGCCTCGACGGATGTGCGATGCCAGCTGCAGAGGGCACAATTCTATCCATATTGGGGATAGTGTACGATGCTATACGATGCGAGGCGAACATAGCCGAGGTGAAGCCGCCCCCTTTTCAATATGCCCTTCGTCGCTGCTCTGGCTCTAATTGGGATACAATACCGAACATCTTTCTCGAATAGGCATAGAGTACGAAGAATGTATTGTGGCACATCCTACGGGACCTGCAGATACGCACTCTTCACAAAATCTCACAAACATATAAGTTGCTACGATGTATCATACATGACAAGATGGATACACTTTCCATTCCGACTTGCTCCGTCTCACAGTTCCCCTTCATTTCTGCCCAGAGACCAAAGTTCTGGTTCTGGCAATCTAAATCTTGAAGATCAAAAGTCCAGCAGTGCCTCACTTCAAGCACGAAAATGGCGAACGAATTCAAATTCTACCACTACGACCCCTCGATAGCGGCAGCCGTCATCTTCACCATTGTGTTTCTCATAACAACATCCCTTCATTCCTACCAACTACTGCAGACCCGGACATGGTTCATGATTCCCATGGTCGTAGGAGGATTCTGTGCGTCACCCCATGAGCTTCCTGCAGCAAACTAAATTCCATAAGCTAATAGAACCCAAATAGTTGAATGGGTTGGTTATGTTGCACGTGCGGTTTCTAGTCAACAGTCCCCAGATTGGACACTGGGTCCATACCTCGTTCAAACACTTCTCCTCCTCGTTGCACCTGCACTCTTCGCGGCAAGCATCTACATGGAATTAAGTCGGGTGATCATCCTTGCGGATGGCGAGTCGAAGGCGTTAATCAAGAAAAAGTGGCTCACGAAACTCTTCGTTTGCGGAGACGTCGTGTCGTTCCTCCTCCAGGGGGGTGGTAAGTGGCCCGCACAATCCACAACTCACTGTTAGCAAATGGCTCACAACCGAATTCAAGGAGGCGGCATCCAAGCTTCGGGCACGCAGTCTGGTCTCGCAACTGGTTCGCATCTTGTGGTCGGCGGACTCTTCGTCCAGCTCGTCTTCTTCGGTTGTTTCATTGCAGTTGCGATGCACTTCGAAGTTGTCATGCGCAAAGTGCCGAACTCCCAAGCTCGGATAGCGGTGCCTTGGCGCAAACATCTCGTCGCTCTATACGCAGCAAGCGTGCTGATAATGGTCCGTTCCATTTTCCGCGTGGTGGAATATGTGCAAGGATTCTCAGGGTACCTTCTATCGCACGAGGTGTATCTGTACATGTTTGACTCGTTGCTGATGTTTTGTGTTATGGTTATTTTCAATATCGTGCATCCGAGCGAGGTGGTGGCCCTGGTCAATGGAGGCAAAGCGGCAAAGAAGGGGTGGAAGATGGAGAGAATCGTTGGGTTTCACCAGCTTCTTCCGGCCGACAATTCATAGGGAAGAGGGCTTGCCTAAATCCTTTTAGAGGATAGAGTGAGGGTGACCTGTGAGTTAGCGGAGGCAGGGAATGCTCAACTTTGCTTTAGCTTGCTACAATAGTGTCAGTGTAAGACTATGGCTGGGTTTAGAAGGAATGCGTCTTAGAGGTGGAATCCACATGGCATATGTATCGAAATCTACGAATTGACAACTTCTGAGTTTATTTACGGCGACGCACCTGCTTATAAGCGCGATTTTGTAGGTTTGGGATAAGCTTTGAGAGTGGCAACTTCGAAATCAGAGGAAAAGTGGCCGTAGGGCTGAGAAGGTGAATGGAAAGTATTCCATGCTAGAGCTCTGGGTGGCAATCTTCAAATTGACTTCTGATAATCTTTCCTCTATGTGTCTCATCGTTTATGTATTTGTTGTTGAATCTATTCTGCAAGTGCTTTGAAGTCTTCCCTCGGTTTTGATTGTTTACGGACTTCTCATATTAGTTAATGTTAGCTTCACTTATTACACTGGTGCTCACAACCACCATAAAGTCAAGGCTCTCTAGGCTCCAGTTTGCGGAGAGAGAATGGCAAAAGGCATAGGCCAGTCTTTTGGCCTCTTAGTCGAGGCCTGAGGTTCTTTTGTATAAAAGATCGCTCAGAGTTTGAGAGAAAACTTTAGCCAGCAAAATCCAGTAGTGCTTTTCGTTTTATGCGCTTAGAGGGGTGATGAGAGGCCAAGAACTGCATATCTGAACGCACTGGATCTTTGCAGTATAATTTGAACCTGCAATTAGCAGTATAGTTGTTGTCGTTGTCAATTCCCTCGCCTCGTCTGGTAGCAGTAGGCACATGACCCACCCCCCTATTCTTGGGTTGAGCTCAAGCACGCTTACGTGTTCAGCCGTTGAGGCGCAATCTAAGTCACTCTCCTAAAAGCTATATCAACATTTACACGCTTATTAAAATGTCGCCAAAATGAAAAAAATATCCTGCACTCAGTATGAATGGCCAAGGCTTTGGGCCCATTTGTTGCTGCACTGTAACTCATTGTGATATCGTTTCCGGGATGAGGCAGCCCTGTGAACCTCGAGAACAACGGTCAAGACCCTTGAACCCCGTATTTGCGTTGATAGTGCTAGCTCAGGCAGCCCTGCGCCCTAGCGAGACAAACCAAGCGAATTTAGTGATGGACTTGCAGGCTTTGATCCCCGTATTACGAGGTCACTTTCCTTGTACTCCGATTCCTGCGAACACTGATCGACTACAGGCAGCAACCCTGGCATTCTCCACTTAGATCCGAAGTCTCCGAACCCAAGACCAAGCTAATGGGTTTTCTTAGTTTGGCATGATACTTTTTGCTGTCTTGTTTCCTTCCCAGGGTAAGGGTATGGGTTACAACTCACAGAGAACTGGGACTTTGTACAGTAGTGATAAGCAACATCTTTAAGAGACGTGATAAGAGAGCTGCAGGGTTCCTCGCAAGGGATCAGCCTCGTTCCGAGGGTTACACGAGTACAATTCCAGTGCAGTCTGCAGTCATCAAATAATGCTCTTTGCTCTAAGCCTCTGCGGGATTGCGTCTTCTCGCTTCCCTTAGGCTCAACAGCCAAGGGTGCTCACATGGTTCTCGATACATACCACACATATGTATGACGATTACAGCTTCACAGTCCATTGAAAGGATTATATCCTTATCGTTCTGCCCCGGACGGCGAGACCCGCATTCAGCTCTGGTTGGGAAGTCAAGGGGGCCGAGAAACCGAGCCGGTGCGGCGTGGGCTTTACGGAAGGATCGACATCCCCGCAGCCAGCCACAAACCCAAAATCAACCCTGCAGGATCATCGATAAGGAGCGGGTCCCTGATTGCTGTAATAGCGAGAAGGACCGGCATCTGCCATATGCGTAACTACGGATGAAGCTGCTGGGCTGCAGGTTGGTGAGGAGCGTGGACCTCGTGTCCGGGGACCTCGCTGAGGTGGTGGCATGCCCAGCGTTGGGGGGTGTCGTGGCAAATTGTCGTGGTTCGTGTGTTGCGGTTCAATGTTATGCCGTCTGGTCCCTGAAGGAGCATTGGTTGTTTTTCAGGTACCATTTCTAATTGGTTCGAAGATCTGTTCTTGGGATGAATTTTTGCATGTGCTGAAGTTGGGCCTCAGCAACCTGAAAGTTGATGATTGAATTCTGTTGAGGTTTCTGGTGGAAGTTGGTACTGTGGATACAGTCTTCCGGAAGCAATCTCATGGTGAAGTGAAGTGATATGAGGCCAAGATGATTATTCTAGAATTTCTTTTTTCCCCAACGCCTCGCACGTATATCTTGCCTCATTGTGAGCCTCCAGTATATAAATGAGAACGGAGAAGACTCTTTCCAAAGTCTCTCAATTTCTCCGGGAAAGCCTGTGCTATAATGCAGAATGATCTACAGAGACTGAACTTGAAAGTATCCATGACTTCAATCAACTTGGCCCCATGAAAAGTCCTTGTGCTTCTTCAACGCATGGCATGTGAGATTCAAACTCTGGTACAAGCGATTGGTGACTGCACGATGCATCTCGATATCCTCTTCTGCCTCGCTCCCCTTTGCCGTCTTCTGAAACCTAGTGAGCAATCCCTTGAACTTCTTCAGATCCCGGAGAATGATCACCAACTGCATCCATCTAATGTCCTCACTCGCTACTCTGTAGACACCAAAAGTGAGCGGAAGCGAGTGACTACCAGGTTCAGATGCCGGGCCAAAATAGTCCCTTGACGCGTCTTGGTAGATCAGGATAATTCTCCCAAGGATGGTTCCTAAGAGCATGGTACGGTGGTTGGAGCCTGATCTGGAGTTGCATATCGAACAGTTCAGCGTTGTTGAACATACCTCCATCGCCTTTTGGTTCACAGTTAGGACAATATCGAAAGATGAAGCAGGTGGTACCGCATTAAAATTGTGAAGTGTCTGGAGTGCTTCGAGACACGAGTTGAAGCAGTTGCAAGTCGTCGTTCTCGCCAAACACTCATCCATGAAGAGGTTGGGCATTGACCCGAGTCGTCGATCGCAAGGATCTGAATTTGAGAACTGGAACGAGTTTGAGTGATCAGCCCAGGGAGCCGTTGGCGAGATGGACGATTCAGTGACATCATCTGGGTGCAAGTAGTCGACATTGTGGAGGTATGGGGAATTGACGTAGGTCGGTGACGAGTGCGTCCAATATGAATATGGGTCGTGTGTATCTACAGTACTCGCTGCGCTGTTTGACTCAGATGAGTGGTCGCCATATACCGGTATGAGAGGAGGGGATACAAAACGCTGAGTCTCATATCCGTCGGCTTCAGAGGTTGGTGTTGTCGACCAGTCTGTCTCTGGGAAGTAAGATGCTGGATCTTCTGCGTCGGTGCTCAGTGCCGGTGGTGAGTAGTCGGTAGGGCTGAAAACGGCTGTGTCTTCTGATATCGATCTATTCTTCTTGGAAGATCGGCTCCCTTTGTGCTCTGATTTCGGCTTGCCGGCTCGAGAGGATGGGCTGTATTTGCACTCTGCTCCAAAAGCGAGGCATCGGGAGCACATTGGGCGACCCTTACTGCATTTGACCTTCGCCAAAAAACAGGTATCGCAGGAGGCCCTTAACTTGGGGTTGTGAGATGAGTAGGATGAAGCCCGTGAGAACATTCCGACTGCGAGAGACAAGGCTGGGGGATAATTATATGGCGTGTCCTTGCCTGTGGCTTGTGGGTCTGAGAGATCGTCAAGTGAAATTTCCCACGGGGAAAAGACCTTGAGGCTTCGCTGCAGTAGATGAAACGACTGTATATTTTCAAACGATTGAAATTATGGTTAGAACGGATGTGAAGGACGTTGAGTCCGAGGAAAGAGTGATGGGGATAATATTGGGACTTGTAAGTCCTTGTCTTTGAGGCAATGATCTCCTTGTACCCTTGATGCACGATTGCGGAGCGTAGCAAGATCTACAAGCTGTCTACCAGATTAATATTCATGAGTTGCCTCAACTCATTCGTGGTGCAGAGGATGAAAGGGGGTGCCGGACGTCCGTGACTTCAGGATTCAAAAGAGCGTATGGGAGAGACGTTAATGTCTTAGTTCTGGACCTGATCTGAACGTGATCGTCACGCAGATATCAAAAGGGAGTAAGGTAAGTGAAGCTTCGGACGGAGAAATTGATAAGAAGGCTGGGTTTGAGATGCAGGGACCAACCATATCGAGTCATGATTGAGCTGGATGGATGCGGGGGCTCCTGTGCGGAGCAGAGTCAGCCTGGACCAGAGACGCTTCTGCAAGGGTAGAGCACGGAATTACCTTGTTGGGTGAAAGCCGCAGGCGTCAGAGGCTCCCTTGGCTTTTTAGCAAGTGGTGTTGTCTGATTCGGTAGCTGCTCCATGGGTGGGCGGAATCTTCCCCGGTGGCTGGCAAGGACTGCTACGTGGCGGAATTCCAAACTGTTCATCATTTAAAAGCGTCATAAACCAATTAGACGTAAGGTTGAAAACCTAATTTGGCCGCGCATTACTTGATTCATATTTCGATCGTCCGTTGATCAACCTCAAGGTTCCCAAAAGAGTGGCCTGGTAACGATAACCTAGCTAGCGTTGGCCAAGGTCTCCCTGGTCGCACAAGGACAATCGGACTGCAGACGCAACAGCTGTCATGCATCAAGACCCAGCCATAGGAATCTCAATTCGGGGTGAAGATCAAGTGACATTCAAAGCGGAGAAGGTACCAGTACGGACTCCCGAGTTAACGGTGCTTACGCCGATCTCCCGCAAACTGTTCGGATTATTGAAGAGTCAACAAACGCCATTTAATGTCAGCTATATAAACCATCTGGCACATTCTTACCATGCTCCATGGCCAATTTCGATTACTGTCAGATGTACTTAACCTTGATTACTTTGAGGACACAAAAATAACTCTATGCTGACGTCGACATGGTAAATGAACCCCCTGTGTCCTTCGAACAAGCATCTGCGCGTAATATAAGCCGTAAATATGTACTTGCTAATTGCAAAATGCAGGGAGTGTTTGTCCTGTGAGGGAATTATAAATGGAATTATGATTTACAATCACTAGGCAGGGGGTTGCCAAGGTTCAAAGAACATGATGAACAATCGCTGAATTGCTCGGCAGGAACTCGAAAATTACAACTACGTTCAACACTCCCAATCGCCACATTAAATATACCCCGCATTAAGTCTCCACGTAGACATCGCGACTGAGTTCCAGACTGCGTCTGGTCCGTTGAGAGCTCCTCTTCTTTGGATACGCGGCCCTACAAAACTGTTAGCCAAGTCCAAGTCAAGTGGCCGGAAATGACTTGCCCATTATCAGGATAGGGCGAAACCGTATTCGCGCCCGTCAAATCAGTCAAATTATTTGTGTTCCCGGCGGCGTTACCCGCAATCGGAATATTTTGAGCTTTACAGGCGGCCTGATTATCATCCGGGATGGACAATCCAACAAGGGCCTCTGGCGCTTCAATTATCGTTGCCGTGAGACCCATGATAACATGCCACTCAATATGACAATGGAACAACCAAACCCCCGGATTATCAGCCACAAACCGAATAACAGCATAACTGTTCGGATTAACAGCAATCGTATCCCTTTTCATAGGAACAGCGGGGAAGTTTCTGACAAGCCCATTGAATGTCCCTTTCCCAGAGGACGGTTTCTCGCAAACCTGGAATTGATGGCCGTGGAGATGGAACGGGTGGATGGCTGCATCGAGATTATTGATCGTGAGCTGCACGATAGAGCCTTTCTTGGCGACGTAGGGATTCACCTGTCCGTAGATGGCTGGGTTGGAGTTCTCAGTTCCGGTGCTAATGGCTGTGAAGAGCGAGGGAACCTTTTGTGTGACGTAATCTATGTTGTTGAAGCATGCCCTGTCTCTCGGTTAGTCACGGACTTAAATTTGAGGGGGAAATGGCTTGCTTACCTTGGGATCCCGCCGGAATCGAGGCAGAAAGTGAAGTCCAGCGTGATGTCGACATCTGGTGCTCCCAGGAGCGCCTGGTTGTCCAACGCCACAAAAGTGAAATCGTTCACAATGCTCCATTTGTTCACGACGTATGGAGGGGGGAGCGGTTTCGTGCTATCGTAAACGATATATCCCGTGATGTTCAAGGGGTAGGCGGGAGCTGGATCATTCAGGTAATCTCTATTTTCATCTAACGATGCCAAGAATGCGTAATTTCTTCGCGTAGTTGGCTGCGCGTTGAGAAGGACGGTGTATCTCTGTGCTGGAGCCACCCGAATTTGGTACGCATCGTGCTTTTGAATGTAACTGCCGTCGACTCCAATTACTCTCATCGTGTGAGAATCAAATTGGAGAAGAGTAGAGGCAAACGCGGCCATGCTAATAATGTCGATTTTGTACGTTTTTCCTGCCGTGAACTGGAACGTGACATTTTGAGAGTCGTTAATCAAGAGCGAGTTTGGTAATGGTGGGAAAAATCTGGTGTTTGATGGGCTGAGCAGTTGCTGGAGCAGGACTGGGACTGTATTATGGTACCAGTCTGAGGTTGTGAGAACCAATTCCGCGTCGTATTGCCCTGCATAAGGATCCGCTGGATCTTGGACAACGATAGGACCTGGCAATGTCAATCTTGATCCACTTTCCTTGATTTCTTGAATTCGCACCTCTCAGACCATCTGGGTACTGTCCTTTGTTGTGGCTGTGGTACCAGTACGAGCCTGCTTTATCAATCTGATGAGGAAAGATCAGCTCCTAATTTTAAAATCTCGGAAATTTGCTCACTTGAAAGGTGTAGGTAAAGTATGATCCGGGAGGGATTGGGCATTGTGTCACTCCAGATGGACCATCCATAAACTGGGTTCCTCTCTGATCGAGGCCATGGAAATGAATTCCAGTGGATTCGGTTCCGAGATTATTGTAAACTTTAACCACAACGGTATCTCCGACGGTGGCCTTGATTGGCGGGCATGGCCATGCACCATTGATGCCAATCACTTGCCTGGAGAATCCATCAGGTGCAGCAGTGACCCAATCAATGCTCCAATCATAAGTTACCGTGCCCGCCAGCGCAGCCGAGACCAACGAGAGGAAAAGAAAAACGAATGTGTGAGACATGTTGACGACGAGTGAACTCAAAGCACAGGAATCAGATGGAATCAGATTAGATATGATGGAGAGCACCTTACCGTGCAACATTCAGGGACCTGCCAGACTTAAGAAGGACCCCAGAGACTCAGTTCCCAGAAGACTCAAGTTCAGCAACCCCCTCTTTCTCGTATCCTAGGGTCGACTCATGGAACTATTGATTTCCTCATGTACGCCAGGCTACGCCATGTTACGCCCTTTCTAAGAGAAGTTCACCTGACTGTGAAGGATCTCTTGGATTCCAGGCCCTTGCATCATCCAGCATAAGCTCTCACTGGTGCAACAGGCGAGGGCTCATGGCAGCACTCATTATTGACAATATGCCACCTTGCACAGACAGGCCAAGGCAAAGCTTTAACTTTGTCGAGAATACATCCCAAATGTTAAAAGTCTTGTAGAGCCATCGGATCATCTGGTATCCATATCGGTCTGGAAGGGCAGGAGAACGCCGTGCCACGGAATGATATGTCCAGCCCAAACCGACAGCTTGCTTGGTGGCTTGGGATCAGGCCGCTTGACTTGGCGGAAAAGTCCTCAGTGGAAGGGCACGGAGCTCAGGAGCTGCACCTCTCGGTCATGCATGACTCGGTGATGCAGTGACGTAGCATTTTTCTCGTGTGTTGTATTGGGAAGAAGCAAGTTTGCCATTTGTGGCTTATGCAGCTTCTCCCGTTTTGCTCGGACATCCTCCAATAGGAATCCGGGACTAGTCGCTGTCGATCCCGCAACACGGCATGGCAGTGATTTCCGCCGAGCCTCCACAAACGGGGTGTCAAAGGTGGGTACCATCACGCTTTCGTGTTTGATGTCAATCTCGAGCTTTGACGTGCAACTTTGTTAACAGGAGGAACTAACAATGGATCAGGCAAGAATGACGATCTTTGAGATAGGGGTCGCGTGAATTAAGCGAGTCTGCATAAGCTACGCTTAGCACCGCAAACACTTCTCAATCTTAGAATTGAAACAGCTTTTGATCAAGTTGATATTGTGGTATAGGATAGAAAAACAGACTTGCACATCCAATCTTCAAATGTCTTTGAAGGATAATTGTCTGTCATTTTGATATCCACGTTCTTGTTGAGGCCCGTGATGTACCCCTTTCTTTGCCGAGAGGTCACGGTCCACCGCCAAAATGACCTCTATCGAACCACTCGCAAACCCAATCTTCAGCCCGCCGATCGCCACTAGCGAGCCCCAGTTTCGGAATTTCAGGCTTTTCACCGCTAAATTATAGGACCCGATCTTTTGTCCTTCAGCCCTGTAGCCTGAAGCCGGACTCTGTAGGGACAAATTAAACGGGCCTGGAATGCAAATTTCCAGAGCCACAGGCTCGAGCTCCAGACCCCGCATTGCTAATTTAAAGAGCCTGCAGTAAAATTTCTCTGCGCCACAGGCTCGTATCCTAGGCTTGACTTCGCTAAAAAAAATACAGAAAGGGATCCACTGCACTGCACTGCGCTCAGCCCCTTTAATCGCTTGACCGAGCATAAACAAAAGATGTAGTATCACAAGAAATTATCATTTAGTCTTCCAAATACAATACATGATATCATGTCTTCATTATAATTACCGGTTCCCTCTCCCCGTTTCCGTGAACACCGTGAAAAATCTAAACCTTCATCCTCCAATTGCCCGCCAGCATCTGCAGCTTCCTCGCAATCCCCTCACTGACCCTCAGACTCTGTCCTCCCTCCCCAATAACCCCAATGCTAAAACCCAACACCTCCTCCGGCAACAACTTGAACTCCCTCTCTCCATGTCTCAAGACCGGGACGCCTTCTCCGCTCCCCAACCACGCCGACACCAACGCATCATCCTCCATCACCATATTAATCGGGAACACCTCTCCTCTTCCCGAAGCATCAAACCCAGCTTGTGTATCCTGATCAAGACGGAAGAGACTCTCGACCCACAGGATCATCGTCGCTCGATACAAGGCCGTGGACCACCAATACGGCTGGCCTTCCTTCGGCATGCTCATCAGCAGTCTGATGATCTGCCCCGAGTGGAAGACCGCCTCTTCAGGCTGGTGGATGCAGCGCTTATACCGCGCATGCAGTTCCCGACTTGAGCCATCGAAGGCTTCTCGTCGTGCGAGACGTTCTGTCTCAGGGCAGGAGGTGATGGCATTGAGGGAGATGAGGTGGTAGAGCACGAGGTTGGATTGGGTGATGAGGCAGTTTGGTTTGGCGTTGAGGGCGGATAGCTCGTACCATTTTTGCAGTAAGGATTGGATCTCCTCCAGGCGGAGGAGAGTGGATGTTTTTGTGAGGGTTCTTGAGCCGCGGCGAGAAGAGAAGAGGTCGGAGAAGCAGCTTGAGACTTGACGGAGGTGGAAGAGGAGAGACTGGATGGGATGGAGAAGGAGCCTTAGCTCTAGCGGAGAGAGTTGACCGAACCTCCGGGACTCGTTGAGTAAATCTTGGAAGAGATCGCAGAGGGAGGGCTGCATCGGCGGACTCGGGAGGGAGGTTGGGCTCATCCAGTTTGTACTCGTACCACTGCCCGTTTGAATAGCGGCGAGCCATTCTATTGGGTCCTTTGCAACCCAGAGGTAGTCGGAGCCCGGCATGGGGGTACCGAGCTCCGTGATTGATAGGATGGGTGCAGTATCATGAAACAAACCTAATTCCTGATCGACCATCACCCAGTTATAGACCAGCCTGATTGGTGGTTAGCCTGCTTTTGTTTTGGCGAGCGATGAACGGAGTGGTGGAACGAAGATATTATTGGGCCGTCGCTAGGACACATGACGAAGGGAGGCGAATAGGGGAACTAGATAAGGAGGGGGTTGCGTTGCTCACCTGCTCTTGCTTTCTTGTTGTTGCCATGCTCTCCATCTGAGTTCTGTGCTCGACGAGTCTCTCATCAAGCTCATCAATGGCGATGGCTCCAACATTCCACCATGCTTGAGCATCTGCAACTCGTCAGTACATGACCGGACTCGAGGAGTTGATTGAAACTTACCGCCAGATACATCGCTCTCTGACCCATCGCAATATTCATGTGCCAGGCATCGCCACTCCATGCCCCCACGATGATGAAGAGCAAAGCGCATCGCAAGATCGTGGGATCGGCCGATAGCTCGACATCTTTCTCGATCACATGAAAGAGGGAGATGCGACAGGCCTCGATCAAGCCAGACGTGAGAACTCTGGCTTCAGCAATGGCCCCATGAGCGATCATCAGCAGCAAGAGAAGAGTGGACCGCTGGCTGTTAGGCAATAGGTGGTTGGGATCAAGGGTACCTTCTTGGATCAACATATAATAAAGCCCAAGATTTCGAAGAGAACTCCGAAGGAAATATTCCAGAACATTGGATGGCGGCAAGACAAGAAAGTTGAAACCACCTTCAGCACTCGAGGTCTTGGTCGAGCTTTTCATCCTACCGCTGTGGGTTTCAAGCGCTCGGTGCAAGAAGCTTTGGGTAATAGCGAGTATCCTATCTCTCGTACTCCCATTCAGGGGCACAACTGCTATCTGGCCGTTGAAGTCGGCTGCAGCGGCAGCAATATTCTGAGCTAACCGCGTCCAGGTCTCGTGCTTCGAAAGCTCTTCAAGAGCCTCGAGATGCATAACTGCCGTGCGGGGACAAGAGCCGGAGAAGATTGGAGGGTTACATCGTGCAAGGGGCCATGCTGCTTCAGCCGCAATGGCGATCTCTCGCTCGGGGGTCATGACCTCTTGTATGCTGGCCACGGCGACATCCACCATGTCGAACTGCTGGTCGAAGTCTAAGCGCGAAGCCATGCTGGCGGTCCTGGTATGCGAGGGTGTAAGAGAAGGCACCGTCTCCAGACTGCCGTTCCTGGTATTGGAGCTTATGGCCCCTGGGGTGGGCATGGAATAACCGAGAGATAGTGACTCTGAGGTTAATGAGCTTCCATTGAGCTCCATGGAAGGAGGTATCCCTGGAACATTTTGGAGCTCGTCTGTGTCAGGAAAGAGTGAATATTGGTTCCACATCATGAGATCTTGGTACTCTCCATCAAGAAGGTCATCGTCAAGGGTCATGATGGCGTCAAGCTCACGGCCAGATGAGTTGGGTGGTGTCCCAAAGGCATGACCAGCAGTGATAAGGTTAGGAAGGGTATATGTCTTCCGCTGGGGAAGGTCTGGACGTTGAGGTGGCTGCGGTAGTGGCGTATTAGGCTGTATTGTGGCACTTTCGGTGTGAGGTTCTTGAGGAACAATCTGAACGAGGCCATTCCCAGACAATGGACTCAGAGCTGCCTTCGTGGAAGGGGACCGAATAGGGGGTCTTTGTGAACGTCTTCGACGAGCAAACCGAGCCTCGCATTGTAAATCTTTTTCTGCACAGCGCGAGCAGGGAACTCTTTTATCACACCGTGTCTTCGCGCTTGCACAATGGATGCAAGCAATGGCAGGTACGTCGCACGGCGAGGCCAACATTGAGTCTTTGGTTTCGTGGTACGCAGAGTGATGTCGTTGGGCGAGGTCTCTGGAGTTTTTCATTCTCAGTATCTGCACTTGAATTCTTGCTTGGGGGGTTGTATCAATACCTTCTAGGAAAGGACAACTGACACAAGCCACAACGATATGGCATCACATTTGTATCTGAGTATCACTTGTCAGCAACAAGATCTGATATTTGATAGCAGGATTAAGATCCGGGGAAGCGGAGCTTACGTCGAGGTATGTGTCTCTCCAGATGTTCTTTCCTCGTGAAGCTCTTTCCGCAGTACGTGCAGAAGAGCATCTTCTTACTTGGCGCCGACCTCGATTACTCTCGCGAATCTCACGCAATCACATGTGCTCAAAGCTTCCGGTGTTGTGGATCCAAAGAATCCTGGTATCGATCGGAGACTTTCGTAACAAGGCAGGAAAGCGGGGAAATCAAAAGTTTATGAGTGAAAGATGGGATTCGTAAAGCATTCATTACTTTGCGAAGGGAAAAGGGGTAGAGCACGGGCTTGATATGCTGACGCCAAATCGTTCGATAACAGCACTGTGATCCAAGACTGTCAAAGACAAATCCACCTACGCAGTGCAAACACGAGGAGGCTCAATGGGGCCGAGAGACACGGGTTCCGTATAGATCTTCCTGCGTTCAGCTCCGATACCAAGCAGCTAGTCCTGCCTGTCAGCGATTGTTGGAAGCAACCCGATGATCGGTGGTCAGCGATCTTCGCCAAATAACATTAAGGTATTATTGGGATGTCTCATTGGGAGCAAGGGGAGAGCGAGATGTTACGCTATCGAAGTTTAGAATACTATATGCAGGCTTCGGTGATGTTGATCATCACGACCTAGACTTGGGCCGCAGGACCCAATGGGAAAAGCGCCAAAGGCCGATCGCTGTGCAGGATGCACCGAACAGGCTTCAGGCCAGGAACTCTCCGGGCGGCTCGGTCGGCAGAGAGGCAAGGCAAAAGCACCCCACCATAACTATAATCCCGTGAAGATTGTGCCGTACACTGCCACCTGTGGAAGTTTATATCCGGGTGGGATGCAGTGTGGTGTTTATAGGACTGGTGGGAGGAACGAAGGGTAAAACATTGGGACGAGAAGGGGGATTCATGCCGCTGACGACGTGGCAGACCGCCTCCTCGCCCCAGCAGGAGCTTCTAGTCCCCACACTGAACCCATGCACGTAACAAACTCTGTGTGATCGGGATTTTGGACGCCCCTTCATACAACTAGGCCGCGCTTTGTTACGGTCAAGCCTCGCGGTCTGCCCACCCCCCCAAACGCCATCCCATGCCGCCAAAAGGCAAAATGACTGCTCCAAGAAAAGCCACAGCGGTCTGGTATCAATAATTTAACAAGCAGCCCTCCCCCACGATCGAAAGGCTCGATATTTGGGCCCTTAAATCTCCCACTTCTTAGCCTCCAGTCCCTCAGGCGGGACAGTTTCGACCTTCTTGCTGCCAACATCGCTCCAGGATGTGCTCAATGCTGTGCCGTTGCTCTCCTGATAGCTCTTCATCATAGCTCTCTTGGTATCCGGATCCGCATCCTTGTAGAGCTTCTTGAAGAAGCCATCAATTTCCTCGCCTTCATCCTTGTCATCTCCTTCCACAACTTTGTCCCAGTTTGTTGGTCCCTTGCGGGAAGAGGTGGGGTAAGCGGGAGCCTTGAGGACCTCGGCGGGGATCTTGGGAGCGGGCTCGGGAACAATAGTACTTTCGATAAGAGCTGTTCCTTCCAGGGAAGACCACTTCAGCCCTGGCATTGACTTGGTGAGGACAATCTCGACCTTATGTGGGGTGATTCGGAAGCTTGATTTCGATTTGTCGATCTTGGAGAAGAGAGGGCTGATGGTGTAGTCGTAGGTGGTATTGAATGCTGCAATAGGGAAACTGACCTCGAGCTGTGCCGTGTTAGCAGTGCCTTCAGATGTCGTCGGAGCACATCGTCAGGATCAAAAGTCGAAAGTAAACTTACACTGCCTTCTTGGATGTCTACTTCCGCATCATGAGGCACTCCCTTCGCAAAGATCTCAATCGTAACAGTCGTATTGGACTGGTACCACTCATTCCTGATCTTTTCCTTCGGCGTCTGAGAGGTAGCAGCCGGCGCTGCAGCCTTCTCTGGTTCAGCCTTGGCCACACCAACCTTCGCCTTCTCTCCCTTTGAAGACCGAACGTTCTCCTTCCCCTCCTCGCCAATCTTCTGCTGCACCTCCTCAACCTTATCTGGGACCTCCTTCACACTGACCTTGTTGCACTCCGCCTCCTCACCCCCAGCTTTCTCGTAATCCGCCTTGACCTTAGCCTGCCACATCGTAACACCCTTCTCCTTCTCATTAAATTTCTGACACCACAGCAAACACAACCTCGCATCGCCGTATCGTCCCATCCCATGCAACGCAACCGCTCTCCTGAAATGAGCCGTGGCGATCAGTTCCCTCTTGCCTCGCGCATGCGCAGCCAATACGGCATTATCCGCGTCTGCGAGAGCGAGAGCGTGTTGGCCTGTTCGTTGGTACGCGGTGCTGCGCTGGATGAGCCAGAGGGGCGAGGGCGTGGATTGGGAATTGAGGGCTTTAGTTAGGTGCGAGACTGAAGTGGGGTAATCGGAGGAAGCCAACGCGGCTTGGCCTTTGGTTGCGTCGGTGTTGGACATCGCTGCGGTTGCGATTTTATTTTTTTGTGGATGCTATGGAGTTTACCTTTGTGTGGTTGTGGGGGACTGTTGGGTTCTTGAAGAGGTTGTGATCAGGCAGACGATTTGGATTTTGCGAGGGCTCGAAAAGTTCAGCCTCGTGCCGCCTTTGAGAATGGTCGACTCACGTGCATTGCCCCATCTACCACGCGGTCGATTTTAATATACTTCGTACAAACGTCCTAATAAATGGGGTTTATTTAATAAGTGGGTCGAAGATAGAGTCCAACGGCTATTCATTAGTCCTCAAGGTGAATCAAGTTCGGCATATATATGGAGTGATGCATTTGACTTCATTGTTCCCCTTTTCTTTACATCTACCCAGCCCAGGGATCGTCGCTTTTAGAACAAAAATGTAAGCTCAAAATTCCACGCCTGAAGTGAGTTCTTGGATTAAATTAGTCTTACTTCTATTATTCTTAATGCAAGATAGCCGACATGTCATCCTCTGGAGATCCATGTCAGGGGGTGCAATGCCGACTGGGAGATGTCTCCGTATCTCATTGCCTGGCTCTCACTGGGTAGCAATTCCCGCAGTATTATGCTTCATTGCCTCCGGTACTTCACTGCAGCGGAGAATCGCCATACTTTCTGGCATACATCCCCAGCGCCTTGATCGGGAAGATGAACTTGTAGTTCGGGTACGAGATCATGCAACTCTTGTTGAAAACCCCTTCGATCGCTTCCTGCAACCACTCTCCATTTGGCTGCTGTCTGCTCATAATGAGCTTCAACCCCTTCTCAATAGGCCCGCGGTGCGGATATCCAGCTTCGAGCAAGCCGATGATTGCCCATGCTGTCATGACGACTTGGGAGCCTGTTGGATGTTCGACATAGGTCATCGTCTCACAAGACTAGACTTTCGTTAGCATCGAAAAGAGAATCGACGAAAGGAACATACACGGTAGCTCTCGGACCATCCACCATCAGCCCTTTGCTTAGAGACTAGGAATTCACAACCCTTTCGTGAATGCTCACTGTTCTCGTAGTACTCACCAATACTAGCAAGACTCTCCAGAGCGAACATTGCTGCATAGGTAAAGCAAATCCCCCAACTACCATACCAGCTTCCATCCGGGAATTGGGCGTTGCGAATGTAGCCCACTGCCTTCGCTTTAAAAGTCTTGATGTCTGTCGCACGGTAGTCTGGATAGTGCTTCGAAAACAATGACAGAGCCGTCACAACAGCAGTGGTGCATTCCGGGTAGTCATACTCGACCATGATTCTTCCAAATACTTCGGCGGCATTGAGCAACTCAAGCCATTCGCCTTGGCGTGCTGGCTCGTACGAGGCACAGCCCCCAGACCAAGCATGTTGATAAGTGAGTAAAGTGTCAATGGCATCATAAATTCGTTGGTCCTCAAGGAGAGTTGGATAGCCGGGTGTGCGCTGGAGTAAAAGGACAGCTTTGAGAGCTTCAGAAATGCAATCGCTCACAGCATACCCCTGGACCTTGTTACTGAAAGCCCAACCGCCTTTTCGTTGTTGTCTATAGCATATAGCTTGGTCATCGACATTTTCCCGCATCTGCTGGTCCTCTAGGAATTCCAAAGCACGGGTAAGCATTGGTCTCCATTTGGCATCCTCTGCAAGTCCGGCATCCATCACAGCCTGGATCGCGAAAGCCGTATCCCAGCATTGGACTCCATTGGTACCGTTCACCAACATTCCTTCCCCTTTGACCCATAGATAGTCCGCCATCCGGTCTCTGTGGCGCTGCACAGAGAACGCGTCTGGACCTTCACGAATGTAGCAGGCCACAAAATTCATAGGCATACTCACAGGAGCAATATCTGAATAGTCGGTGTTCTTGTCTTCCATCTGAATGAGATTCCAGGTCCAATCCTCTGCTTTCTTGATGACCCAATTAGTTCGAAAATATGGTATCCAGATATTGACAAGGATCCAATTGATCACGTTCAGAAGCCAACACTTGGGATGGTAATTGTCGATCTTGTAGATGGTGTTCCGATTGCCAATCCAATCAATCAATTCGTATGGTTCGGCGAAGAGTTCTTGTCTGAGTTGTCGGATCAGGGGGGTTTCTTTAGTTGTCCAGCGTTGAGACCAGATGAACCCAGACCCGAGGAAGACCATTCGTGTGTGAACCCACCACCTCCAAGGGGAAACCGGAAACCAGTCGGGAAGAAGCCAGAATTCTGGTGGGATAGGGTTGACAATTTCCCATTGGCATATACCAAGCACGCTGAGCCAGAATTTTGCCCAATGTGGCCCAGCTATCGCTCCGCCCATCTTGTGCAATGTTCCTCTCGCTTTGATCAATACCGGGTCCTCCTCGCTGACGCCGAGAATCCGCAGAGCAGTATAATTCATTGCAGTTCCGAAGACCGTACTTTCCCCTTCGATGTGTAGCCCCCAGCCACCGTCTACCGGATGTGCTCGTGCGAAGAGATAATTCTTCATCTCTGTAGCAATATGATCTGGTATTGGAGTCTCTGTGACATACCAACTGATTATAACACCAGGAAGAAGGAACATTGGTCCGCCATATTCACAGCCCCAGTTTCCGGGAGGTAGTTGGAGGTGTTGGAAGAATTCGAGGGAATTCTTGACTGAATCGAGGGGTGTCTTAGGTGTAGGAAGATCGGGCAGACCCTATTGTGAATCAATATATATCAAATATCTTGCGGATTGGAACGTACAGTTGACATGTTCAAATGCCATTTATCTGCAATTGATTGAGGCCAAGCCTTGACCGCTTCGTCGGTCTCGAGGTAATGCCATGTCTGCCTCCCTGCTTCGTCCAACAGTCGCCATCGCGTGTAGTCAGTACGCGCCGACAGCTTCGGACCCTTAGTGGACTTTGTTTCGGCGCTCGTGAATTCAATTGGGCTGGCATCGGATGGTGTGTATGGTGGTGATGTTGATGGAAGATCTACCGAACTGACGGCAACCTTGGAGCGGGCCATGGCGACTTGTGCCCGTTAACAGCGGCACCAACTGGGTGTCTCGAGCGCAGACGACCCTCAATGCTTACAGATCGAGCACTGAAAGCACCGCTTCATGCAGTTATACTTGCTGTGACGAAGAGGAGGCAAGAGGGGATGTGATCTGTTCGAAGATTCGAGGAACTTGAATTCGCGGTCAACAGGGACAACTTTGGTACCTTACAGTGTTGGCGCAGGTCCGCTCCGACGCTAAAAAATAGCTGCTTTTAGCATCACGACTTCCAACCTGACACCTTTCTTTCTTCCCATCTCCATTTTCAAACATTCACAAACACTCAAGGGTGAACCCTCGAAACTGGAAGCTTCAGGGAGCTCGCTCAATGGACTTTGATCTGCTGTCTGGGTTCATCAATGGCCATGACATTGGCGCAACACAATTGCTCTCCCACTTACAAGACAGTGGAAGGCTCACCCCTGAACAGATTGCCGAGAACCCCGGATTGGAGAGAGGAAATGTTGGTGCTGGGACCCCAGATCCTCACCAAAGGGGTGCAGTGATCACCAAGATTGAAGACATCTTCGAGTCCATTACAGACTGCATCCTCGATGATGGAAAGGAGCTCGTGATACCGCTAAAAAGCAGAGCCAAAAAGAAGAACGCTGCTAACAAAGACGACTCGACACAAGTCAACAGAAGTTCGAACAGCGAGACGAGAAACATCACCTTCCCTAGCAAGTCTCCACAAGAAGCATGGAAGTTCAGTGAGTGGAGGATGTCTAATATTTTACAGTGACTGACGAACATGCAGCTGCACTTCTTCGGATTCTGGAACTCTCCCACGAAGCTCTGGTCGCGGGAAATGTTACAACGAAAAGGTTGAGCTCCACTTCTTGAGTTGTTGCGTCTTACGGCCTCGCTTGTTAAGCTCGTTATCATCATTACACCTTCTCTCACTCATCCCGTGCTGACAGTGTGATAGAGATATGTATTACCGAGATCCTGAGCTCTTCATGAGGCAAGCTGTGGTGGACAGATACGTTGATGATGTTGCTTACACGTTTGGAGTGGGCCGAGATGCGCTGAACGTGGTATTTAAATACTCGATCTGATCAAGTGCTCCGGTTTGATGTTTTTGCCACAGGTAGCAGCTGCAAAAGGCTTGGTTGCTGGATCCTTTTCAGTCAAGAGAAAGGATAACTCTATGGTTGAATACTCCATCGAGCACGAAGTTGGTATTATCTGCCGGAAGGCATCGGTTACTGGCTGATTGAAGGTAGGGCATCTTGATACCAGGGGTCAAAGATATTGTTAACATTCAAGTCTCCGATGCTCGATGGATTCTGGTAATCGAGAAAGAGGTGCTATTAAAACGTTCTCCATCTTTACCTATCTGACTCTTAGCAGGCAACATTTCGCACGCTGGCGACAAATCAATACTGGAGAGACTCACTTGGTGGAAAAGGGGTCTTGGTCACAGTACTTATATCTGTTCCTCCTGCGTGGAACTTGGATCTGACTTCCCTCCAGGCGAAAGGCTATCCTGACATTCAAACCCGCCAATTCCTCCACTTTTTCTCCCAACAGCACCCCACCATCCCCATATTTGCACTGGTAGATTTCGATCCCGACGGCATCGGTATTATGTCAACCTACAAGCACGGCTCCATGAGCCTCGCTCACGAGACTAACCTTACTGTACCATGGGTTTGTTGGCTCGGTGTCCGCAGCTGCGATTTCCTGAACACCGAGAACGAGATCCAAGGTCTGTTGAATCTCACTGCTCGGGACCGGAAGATTGCTTTGAAAATGCTCGCGAAGAGTGTGGCCGAGGATAGGGATGATGAGTGGAAGAGAGAATTGCAAGTTATGTTGATAATGAATGTCAAAGCTGAGATTCAGATCTTGGGAAATGGCGACGCGCTTGCACAATGGCTAGACAAGAAGTTGCTTGAAGCTGTATGATCAGAGACAGGAGTTTGGTTGAGTTACTACTGCTTATCAATAGTATATATACTTGCTCTACCGCTTCATATTTTCTCTATGACTCGTTTCATTCGGGGTTTCCTTGCCTTACGTCTATGATGATGTCAGTTTGATATCACGCCCAGCCTCTGAAAACACATTGTACTCAACCCTCCCCATTGCACAAACACGCAAAATTCTTCCTATTCCTTCACTTCTTAAACGCAAAGATAACACAACCATTATCTTCCGAATACCTCTACAAAGCATTAACTCTGTAACCCGCATCATCAAGCAGTTTCCTCCACTGAGCCTCGCGTCTCTCAACCCCCTTAAACATCGCCAACATTGTCAAGCTGACTCAGTAGCAGACAACACGCTCGGCGCACCAGATACCTTTTCATCTGAAATAGCCTTGTCATCAATCAAGGGAACAGAGTCTGCACTTGTAGCCGGGAGCCGAGCCTTCAAGATTCGGATAGCGACTTCACCGTTGTAGGAATGCAGGATCTGGCACATATTATACCTACGCGCGCCTTCGACACATCAGCTATTCCTCCCAGTCTCATTCTCTTGAGAGGGGAAAGTGGTATCAGTAAGTACCTTTGATCTGCCGTACAGTAAGGTAATCATTCCCCATCTTCTCAATCCTCTCCCCCACACTCGCATGCTCAACGACCTTCGGTAAGTCCTGCAAGGCCATCCGACCCTCCAAATCCAGAAACTTCTCGACAATCGCCATACACTCATGCCCCCCCCCCAAAAAAGGTCGGCAAGTAATGTCGTTTCTCTCGTCGAAGGACTAGGTCCTGAGAATACTTCCAAAATCAGGATCTGAGCAAACCAAAATGGCGTTTGAGAAGCAATATTCCCCACCACTCGATGAAACGCAGCTTTCTCAACCGGATGCGCTGCCATAATCTGGATGAAGTTAGTGTCAAGCAGCTTCGACGGGGATCTTGGAAATCCCGTGCTCTTGGCCAACATGTGCTAGGACGTTGGGGAGTGGCTGCAAAGGAAGTTTGTCAGGGGATGGAGGGGCAAGTACAGAGAACATTATGCGTTGCATTGTCTCGTGACGTCCATCCAAGGCGAGATGGATAGTTGTTTTGTGTTCTGCGAAGATGTTGGAGTTGGAAGTTAAGGCTGGAAGCTGGATTATGAGTAATGCAGGATCCGGGGACATGTCTAGCGAGCTCGCCTTGCAAAGGTTTTCTAAGTAACTTAACGGGAGATATTCCTATTCTTTGTGCATGGCAATGGTGGATGGTTATATAATCAGAATTCATCTTGGGATCTTGTTTGCGATTGATGGAAACAAAAGCAGGAAAGCAAACCTTTCTCCACTAACATATTCATAAGAGAGGTCTAGACTTCCCTCACAGGAGGAGCTTATCGGATCATGGATTCAGACTCCGTTGTTTGACCACAGATATCAAGGTCTTGATTTGCAAGCACCTGTTACATGGACCTGCACTACGTTGACATCGGATGAACCATCTCGTTTTTGGAGCCTCAATTGTTCTTCTGTGCTAAGTTTTCAGCTCTTATTTTCATGAAGTAAATAAGTCCCACTTTCGCTCTTCCCCCAAGTAAAATTTTCGAGCCTACTTCGCTATCTCTTCCTTGTTTTCCCCTTCTGTGGTCAATTTATTCGCCACGTGCATCTCAACCAACTCCTTCTCACTGCCTCCTAGGCTCCTAGTGCCCTCGCCCGTATCCTCGTCCACAAACTCGGATGGACGTTACGCCTCCGAAGTTGGCCTTGAGCTGCGCGAATGAACCACTGCGAGCGAGAATCAGTAAGCTAGCCAACTTGATTTCCAGCCCAAGGAATATCTCCATTGTTGGAACGGATGAAAATATAAAAGGATAGAATTAAAACTCACCGGCGGATTACTTCAACCAATCATATACGTCCAATATTCCCCCTTATCCGCATCCGGGGGTCCCATTTCCCTCCCAAACACCAAGCCGCTCACCTTCCGCGTAACATAAATGCCCCCATTCAACACCATATACGTAAACAACCCTGCAATCAAGCCATACGCCACACTGTAACAAAACGACACGCTAACAGTCACCAATATAAAGTCAATTCACAGACGTGACTTGGCGCATCATCATACAGCCCACAAGAATCAAGGTACACCCCGTAGCCCACGGCGGTATGGATGCGAAGATCGGGACAAAGAAGGAGATCAGGAAACAGAGACCGGTCATGATGGCTGTGAGACCTGTTCGTCCGCCCTCCGTGATCCCAGCCCCGGACTCGATGAATGCGGTTACGGGCGAACATCCAAAGAGGGACCCGATGGAGATCGACATCACGTCGACGCAATAAGCTAACGTAGAGCGAGGGAAGTCATTCGATGCCGGATCGACGACGCCCGAGAAACGCGCCATGGAGTAGAGGGTTGCGGTTGCGTCGACGATGTCGACGTAGAGGAAAGTGAAGAGCGCGAGAACGAAGTGTGCTCCTGACGCGGCGACGTTCCAGTCTTGGGCTGCGAGCGTGGAGTTGATGGGGTGGCTTTGACGATGAGACGGAAATGGATGTCAGAGAATACATCTCTAGGAAGTATGGACTGTACAGAGAAGCTGGCGAGACGAATCAAGATAATATTGTCCGACGTATCCACGACGGCCTAGACCCTACACTCGCAGCAGCAGTCCCCCTTCGAGGAACAAATAATACAATGAAAGACTTCCAAGTCAACGTATACGCAGCAGAACACCAAGCCAGACAATAATATAAACAGCTTCAAACACGCCTTGATACTATCGAGAAGCAAAACCAAGATATAAAGGAATTGGTATCGGGAAAGCAACCACAAATCCAGTACGCTATTCCAGCCAACGACTTCCAGCGAAACGCACGTTACCGAAACAAGCAGAGCAGTTTCAATAACTTTAACGACGACCGCTTTAGCAAGTTCAACCGCAACAAGTTGGAGGAACCCCCGAAGGCATCGTTTAAGGAAGTGACGGAGGTAGTGGAGACGATCCCATCCGCACGACGCCTGACGGGAACCAAGCAGACAGACATCACCCCACAGAACCGTGCCGGAACAGCTGATACCTCTTCAGCGAGTCCCTATCAACGCCAATATAACGGACGGGAAAACATGGCGGAAGAAGGAGAACATCTCATCGCCATCGGGGGTGTTGGGGAAGTAGGTGAAAATGGTGTTTCGGCTGGGATGAGATGTTAGGAATGCGGTGACGAGAGGAGAACATGAGGTGGACGGAGACTCACGCCCAGGACATGATTGAGACTACTATGATGCCGATTATGATAGCTGATTTGATTCTGTAGGCCATGGGATATGCAGTCAAGAGCCCGCCACAAATGACACCGATCCAAAGCTAAAGTCCCATGCGTTAGCATCATGCACTTCCAAGCTCTGTCCGCTCTTAAGGGAAGGGCCAAACACACCGTTGGGTTCTTCACCTTATGGCTATCACAGGCCCCAGTCTCAGGATTCAAATACCGAAGTGGACAACCTGCAATATTGGTTGGTGTAACAGGACTCCCGAAAATCAGCCCAATGCCCGCATAACTCATGCGCCAGGAGGCTATTATTTAATACTAAAGCTAGATATTATACTAGATCCTTATTCTAGAAACATGCCAATGCCCACTCCGCTTGCGACCGTTATACTCGCTGGGATGACTTTGACGAGCCACTGACACATGCCGATCAGAGAGGAAGATGAAGATGAAACCCTCGACGAAAACGGCTATGAGCGCGAGACGGCAGCTTACGCTCGCGGTGCCATGGTAGCCGACAACTTGTTAGGTAAAGTAGGCGCTGAGACCCATGCCTGGACTGGAGGTGCTTAGTGAGATGTGGCAATGCGGAGGGTGGATAAGAGAGCTTACGCAAGAGCTACGGGGAGATTAGTGAGGAACCCAAAAGCAATAGTACTGATACCCGTAATTGTAGCAGTGGCAGTGGTGGGATCTCTCTTGATACCTGGAGTCATTAGTCTATCTCCTGTACTTTCAGGAATAAACCAAGACCGACCGATCAAGCACGTATTGTATGCAGATCTCTCTCACAAGTTGGATTGGCAGGGTTGGTACATATATACGCATTTGCCTCCGCTTTGTGTCAGGATAGATGCCTTTCGGTTAGCTTCGAAGTTAAGCTTGAGGATGGAAAAACAAACATTGACAGCAATGATATAGGCCATGGTGAAGAACGCCGTTACACCAGCTCTGATTTTGGTCAAGAGCTAGACCCATTGCGCTCTTTCTCCTACAAACGTTGAGTATCCAATCGACAACATCGCACGCAGCGATGACCGAACTTACGTGGCCCGATCCTTGAAGGCGGAAGACTCTCCCAAACGTCGACCTCGATATGCGGGCATTGATCGCCGTGGCAGCATTTCTAATGGTAGACATGGTAGCTCGATGAACAAAGCCTGGAAGCTTAGAGTATGGAAAGAAAAGGAGAATAGAGAAGTGCGAAATATGACCAATAATTCGACATGAATTGATGAAATGGAAAAGTTCCAAGCATCCACCTGGGGTCCTGGCGCTATAGAAATAGCTCAGAACAATTATTGAAGTGGCTTTCCCATAATAAATGCCATGTGACAACGCGAAGGAGGAGCGAGGAAACTCGCAGCAGTAATTGTTGTTATGATATAAAGTACTTTTCCATCCAACGAGTGGAGGCATGGGAAGGAACGAGAGCCACTAAAGCATATTGAGAAGTCTGATTCTGTGATAGTGACAATAGACGGAGCATGTCTTCAAGCCCAGGTGGGCACATGGTATGATATCGGACCGGGGGTAGAAGATTCTCACTGATCCTCGTGGGGCTTCCTGGGATTCCGCACAGACATATGCATCTTATCACAACTGAGATTCGCATTGCGGGAAGCGGGCAGTGGAATCACTAATCGCGAGTGGACTCGAGAATCTCGAGGTGGGTGGGTTGTCTTAGCTTTGATGTTTCGAAGTTGTGGCTTCCCGCAGTCTCAAAAACGCCATGGAAAAATCGTGCGATGTTCGCACAGCGCTTTGACAGTCCCCTTCGACTTGGAACTCAACATGACTCGGGGGAGATTTGGGCGTGCCACATCGGATGACATTGTGACCAGAGGTGTGTGTGGCGCACTGGGCTTCGAGGGATGGCTAGATGTGAGGCAAGATCGTTCCCCGCATGTTGTGACCCCTCGAAGAAGCCGTGATACAATCGATCATTCTGACGGTCGGCGGAACAGCTCACTTTTGAATGACTTATGCTCAAGTGTTTCGAGTCCGGAGGAAATCTGCGTGCTCCCAAAGGCAAACTTCTGGCGGAATTCTCCCACTCGCTAAGGTTACCATGTTTCTTCAGCAGCTGCAAGCCACAATAGGGGTTCAGGGGTAAAGTTCCGATGTGTTTGACACGGATAGCTCGCCTATTCCTGCGGTTCCCCGGAATCGAACCAACCGCCCCCCAAAGCAAATCTTCCCGCGATCTCTGTCCCCGGTTCCCCGAGATGGTGATGTGATGTTGAAGCCCCAAATGGTGAGCTATCGAACGCCAAGGCCAGGTGGATGGGGGTATCACCCGCCACAGCCTGTAATACGTCGAGAATACCATGTTGAGGTTGACCAGCCGATGGGCTGTGGTCTCGGCATACGGAGGGTACCGTCTCTCATGTGCTAAAAGACAGGATGGGTGGCGAGCGGGTATTTCCATGGCGTCGGGCTGAGCATGTGGGTGAAAAGTTCTCAGGGGATAGCAGCGCATTTGTCTTCGAGCCTCGTGTGCCCGTGGAGATTATATCAAGTCACACGACAACCTCTGTATGAACATTCGTCTGATCCCCATGTGGAATGTCTCCCAGATGCTCTTGACCATTTTTTGTCAGTTAAGAGCTCCATTTGCTTTATTGATAGTCTTGGTGCTGATCTTGCGTATCCAGCATCATGTTCGAGGTTTCCTGGGCCGACCCAGAAAGAGAGACGGTGGCAGAGCGGAAGAGTAGAAAGCAACAAAGGTCTACATGCGCCTCAAGGAATGGACCAACAGTACCTCCATCTCGGAGTTCAACCTCGGGAGAAATGAGGCCCCCAGTGATGAATGTCTTCGGGCCAAGTCGGAAGGAGCAATCTTTGGCCAAAAGAAAACAGACAAACTCATCATCAACACTACGCATCGATGGCCCCAAGGCACTTAGAAAACAACCAAGCTTTACAGCAAGCTCGGTTTCATCGTTCCATGAGAATCCAAGAATATCGACGACAATAATAAGAACTCCCGACAACGAGTTCTTCTCAGACTCATACCCCTCCGATTATGATCCATGCAGACTGTCGAATCAATCAGAAGGTAGATGTCCTTGAATGGTCTCAACGCACCGTTAATGACGAAAAGCAGTGTCGGACTCTGGGACGAATTCAACCTGGAGCTTAAATGCAGAATCGATCTGCAGCTCGGGAAAGATAGTTCAACAATTGAGCCCAACCTCGTTTGTGACGCAGAGCACGGAGATCACAGTGTCCCCAAGAGAATCAATCAAAGACGCAGAACAAGTCGCGACAATGGTTCATATCTCAGCTAGTGGAATAATTCACACGCATGATTCGGCGGGTAGAAGGTGAGAACTGGCCCAAGGATGTGAATGGGGATACTAATGAAACCAGACCTTCTCAAGCCACCGTATTGGATTTTCTGAGTGACAATGATGACGAGATAGAGGCGGAAGAGGAGTCAAGTTCGATGACAGAGAAGGCGGTTGAAACTCAGGCGATGATAAGTCCAGTCTGGCAGCCTATTCCATGGGAGCCACCCGAGGCATGGGAGTGTTCCAGAGAGAACAAGGAAGAGTCCACATCCTCCAAGCCTAAAGGTCTTGGTCTGCCCTTTCGACCAGCTGGACCGAGACGTAGGTCCGACAGGGGAACACCAATTGAGAAATCTTTCGATGAATAGAAGGAATACAAATTGCAGGGGCTAGAAGGATTCAATTATGTTGGGTGGCCGTGTTGTGTTAGGAGTCTAGAAACCTATGTTTTCAAGGGCACACTGCCTCGAGAATGGTGGGGCTACGTCGTTTTGGAAACTGTCAAGCAAGGGTAGAATGCTTCAAGTAGCGCAGCCTCCATACTTATGGCACAGTAGGGAAGCCACGGATAGTTAATAGTGAGGAAGACACTGGAGGTTAGTAGACTAACTGAGGGGGGGTCTATTCTCGCTTGCAATGGTTTTACAGAAGTGTTGGTGGGATGGAAATACGAAATACCTTTTACTTTGCATTCATTCCTCTTTGGTTGATGGCGGAAGAAGTGTATTTAAACTTTGCCACTGAAACTTGGAAACGACGGCTGCTTGATGGGAAGTATGGCAAGACGGATTCAGCAAAAAAAGAAAAGAAAAGAAAAGAAAAGTAAACAATGCATTTCAAGTTATTTGGTAATCCATACGCAGTGGCTTTTCCAACACAATAATACCTTTCCACAATGCAAGACAACTCCATCCGAGATCCATTCCCAAACTTGTAGGATATTGAGGCGATGAGAGTAAAACTTTGATATTGAAGATTCACTCTTCACTTCAACCATAATCTCAAGCTGCTCAACAAAACCTCGAAAATCAAGATTCACTCTCAAGCTGTGATAGACCACAAGAACGTATATACGCCGGTTGACAAGTCACTCGACTAAGAGAAATGCATTTGTAGATCATTTTCGGACTGGCATGATTTAACCAGTTTGCGTTCCCCACGTTTGCAATACTTGCTTGTGCGCACTCCTAGCCTCCGCTTGGAAGCAAGAGAAAGAGAGAATGGGTTCCATAACCATTCATCGCAATGCTTTTTTTAATATATTTTTGAGGACATGTGACCGTGAGCTATAGTTCCCGGAGCATCCATCTAGTCAAGCAGACCAGGGGACCGTGAAATTTCCAGACGCCGAAGCACTCCAGCAACGCCTCCATACGCCGTATCAACTCTTCACTCCTATGAAATATCCGCCTTAGACCTCCCTTCCATTCCGTAATTATCCCAAGCATCCTGGCCCGTCCCCGAAGACTTCTCTCATTCAAAGCCCCAGCATCCTTCTACACCCTTCCCGAACCCTTCGCTCATATTCAGGCCTCTGCTCCCTCCACATCTTCGCCGCCTCCACATTCGCGGGACTCTCGTCATTCGGCTCCGCCAACATGCTCATCACTGAAATGAGAATCTTCTCCACACTCTGAATCGGGGACCACCGTTCGGAAGCGTGCTCGTAGTGATTTGGATCATCTCCTGGTGGATGCAGAATCGAAATACAGACTAGACCGCTGGGGTATACTACCCAAACAACATCCATTAGCCGATTGCTCATACCCTTTCATTAAAACAAAGCGCATTTATGTAGAAGGGGAGAGCAAGGAGGGGGGGAAGAAGAGCACGCGACAACCTACCATTCGGATGCCACACCTCGCCCAGGAACCTCATACTCGGCGGTGCCAGCGGATAATCCTTCGGGAATTTCAGCTCTGCAGGAAAGACACCGCCTTCAAACGGTGTTCCCTCTGGTCCTTGGATCAAAGCCTCCCAGTACAGCAGATCGTCTTCGGAGACGGGGCCGGCGGTGATGCCTTCTGGTGGGTTGTTGGTGAGGGCTTTGTATTCCTGGAGGAGGCGCCGTTGGGCGGTTGTTGATGCCATGGTGAAGACCGTCTTCTGTAAGAGGTGGAGGTTGTAAGAGGAAGTGTTGTGGAGGAGGCGGTGGGGGTGAAAGTCAAGGTGGCATGAAGTGCTGAGAAGGACCCCTGCTCGGTTCCTTGCAAGTGCCCCGCTATTTGGTCATTGATACGAAGCTCCTCGGGAATCACACCTTCTGAACAATCTCAACTTCAAGTTTCACATTCTCCCTATTTTCTCAATTGAATACTGGCTATTCAATCCTCTTTCTTCTTCTTCCTCCACTACCCTTTGATATTTCGAATTCGAATTAGAAACCACGATGTCCACCGAAAAGTTAAAAATTGGCTACGTGCCAGAGCACTTCTCCACGCCCCTCTACTTCGCAGAAAAGCACTTCGGGCTCGACGCCGAGCTGCTCCCTTTCCCGTCCGGCACGGGACATATGATTACCTCTCTGCGAACAGGGGAGATAGATGTCGGGGTAGGGTTGACGGAGGGTTGGGTTGCGGGATTGGGGAAAGATGGGGTGGAAGAGGATGGGGGGTATAGGATTGTAGGGACTTATGTTGAGACGCCTTTATGTACATCCCCTTTGCTTTCCTACTTATACCTGCTTCTTCCCCTTCTTCTTCCTCTGAGAAGTAATTGGAGCTGACAAGTTATGGCAGGCTGGGCAATTTCAACCGGCGCAAAACGAAAAATAAACAGCATCCAAGACCTCAAGAACAGCAAAATCGGCGTCTCGAGAATAGGCAGCGGGTCATATGTAATGGGCTTCGTGCTCGCCGATCAACAAGGCTGGCTCTCTCCCTCATCCTCCGAACCACCATTCGAAGTCATCCCCTTGCAAACCTTCGACAAGCTCCGCTCCGCCGTCAACGCTTCTTCTGCAGACTTCTTCATGTGGGAGCACTTCACCTCCAAAAAGTACTATGACAATGGAGAGATAAAGAAGATAGGAGAGATCTACACGCCGTGGTCGAGTTGGAAGATTGTAGCGCGGACCGGGATAGGAGAGGGGGACCAGAGACTGGAAGAGATGTTCGAGAAGATTGATAGAGGGGTCAGGTATTTTGAGGGGAATAAGGAGGAGAGTGTGAGGTATATTAGTGGGAAGTTGGATTATACTGCGGGTGATGCAAGGGAATGGTTGAAGACCGTGAGGTTTGCAAAGAGTACGAAGGGTGTTGATGTCAAGGTTATTGAGAAGACGGTGGATGTGCTAAGGAAGGCGGGCGTTCTTGGTGAGGGGGGAATGAAGGCTGAGGATATGATTGGCAGCTTACGGAAGTAGGCTCCTTGTTACTCTTTTGTGAAGATGTACAGTACAAAGTTAGAGTAGAATTGGTAGAGAAATGGGGCATTGGATTGGCGTTTGGTCTCATAGATGGGACGAAGGTCACTCGAGGAAGACTTCAGTATCATCCCAAGCGATGATATTCCAACGAAAATCACCAATTAAACCCATTTTCACTCAATTGACTCCCAAAACTCATCCTGAATACGATCACATAATCCGGTGTGTTTCATTATCCCGCTGCTTCTCAATTGGTCTTCTTTCGTCGAACAATGAATTGCTGACCCGAGATCTGCGCGGCGTAAATTTAATGAAGCTTTAGTCGTGTCATCATCTCTTCCCTTCTGCCACACATCCTCTCAAGTCCCAATTCCTCCGCAGACCGATTCTATGTGATGTCCCTCCGGCAGCTTCTGAGGAAGCCCCTCCCCTCCTCATCCTTCTTCCATCCCCACCCACCACCATCCTTCCAACCCCACCTCCTCCGAGCTCCCCCACGACGCCTCACCTCCACCTCTTCCTCCGAATCTCGCACCCGCTCCAGAATCGATCGCGTCCTGAACCGCCTCCCCAAATTCCTACGACCATACACAGACGGCTTACGCAATGCGCCTGTATCGCACATCGTCTCGTTCCTGATCCTGCACGAAATCACCGCGATCATACCGTTAGTGGGGTTAGCGGGACTTTTTCACTACACACAATGGCTTCCGGCTGGCTTCGTCGAGGGTAAATGGGTTACCGAGGGCATGGAGAGGTTTGGGAGGTATTTTGGGCGGAAGGGGTGGTTTGGCTTTTCTAGGGAAGGTGTCAGTCCTGCCCCGAGCTCTGATTCTGAAGCCGGACGGGTTGGGGATACAATTGGGGATGGGGATATTATTGGGGAAGCAGAGGACGGAGCGGGAAGGAAAACACGAGAGGGGTTAGTGGAAGAGACGGAGAAGAGGTGGCATGTTGGTGAGGCCGGGGGCAGGATATTAGTTGAGGTTGCTACTGCGTATGCTATCACCAAGGTTTTGCTGCCTGCGAGGATATTGGTGAGTGTTTGGGGGACGCCGTGGTTTGCTAGGGTTGTTTTGGGGCCTGTGAAGGGTGTTTTTGGGAGGAAGGGGCCTTGATACGAAGCATAAAGTACATAGAATGACAAATAGACCAAGAACAGAAGCAATGCCACAATGCCATGAAATCAAGCTTTTGTCATGTCATATATAACTACCAGTTTATCCTCCAGTAATGCCCAATATTGATAGTATAGGCTATTTGCCAGGGGGGAACATCTATGGCTTCTCATAGATCCGATCGTGCTGAGCGGACTTACATGTTTGGACCTCACCTTCGAACCAGAGAGCGATCTCCTTCTTGGCGTTCTCAACACTATCGGAACTGTGGTAGACATTACGACCGACGTCGATGGCATAGTGGCGGGCACGACCGTCCCGGCGGCGTCAGCCGCCCGGGATGGTCCCCTTACCACCTCTATCTTCCCCACACTTCTTCACTTCATTATGGGGGGCAAGCCCCCCAAACCCCCCAGGCCTCGCTGCGCTCGAAAATACAGTACGAAGGCGACGGGCGAAAAAAACCGGCCACCTGCCAAATCGCGAGAAATACCAAAATCGCTACCTGTAGAAAATCACACTAAGGTTCAATACAACATCTAAACTCTCTACTTTTTAATTTGTGTAATAGAAAAGAAGGAGATCTATCTTTTACAACAATTTTGCTGGAATTAAATTCAAATTACAATTACGACAAATTTTTTATCGCAAGGCTAAGATTGCGCAAATTCTCGCTTAAGGGATTTGGACGGTTTTTTTCGCCCGTCGCCTTCGTAACCGAGATCCAAGGTCAATGCACACCCACACTGAATGTACACCCTCCCAAAAATTATCCCACCATCTTCAAAATTCGATAAAATGGTCAGCGAATAAGATATTGAGAAAGCGATTAATATGCTAAATATGCAATTAATACTTAATTATAGCCAGGTGCTAGGGATTTTGGTATTAAGCATACTATCCTTATATAAAGGTATAAAGGGATATATATCTCTAGATAAAAAGTAACTTCTTTATATTATAAACTTCTTACTAATATATAAGAAGAGGCTTTTATTAATCAAATTAATAAACTTATAATATATAGGCTTCCTCTAACCTTATAGAGGAGATTATTAGAGGTAATATAAATAAGAACTAGATAGCTAGTTTTATCTAATACTATTTTATATATCTTAAGAGCTTTTATTTATAAAATATTAATAATCTATAAATAAAATCGGAATATAGGCCCTATATTTAGTTCTTTTTTAATTTAGTAGTATTTAATTTTAATATTTAATTTATTTCTTATTTACTTTAGAAATAAAATAGCTAATATTTCTCTTTTCTTTTATTTAATTAATTAAAGCAATTAAGAATTATAATATTATAGCAAAAAATATATATAATTAGAATTATATATATAGTAAAGTATATAATAGTAGAAAAATTATAATAGTAAAATAAAATAGCTTATAAGAATTTATTAGCTTATTTGCCTCTATTTATATAAATAGTATAAAGATTCTATTAGCTCTTATTTATAAAAGAGTTTCTAGAGACCTTTAGAATAGCTAATTAGATAATTTAAAAAAGAAAAAATATATCTAGTTTATATCTAGTATAAATAAATAATTATTTAATATCCTTAATTACTAGGTAATTACAAGGAAATCTCGCTTAGCCTTACTTAGATAGTAACTTCTTGCTAGATAGAATTAATTAAGCTTTATAATATACTTAAGATTTTAATATATTTAGTATTAATATAATATATCTTATTCAGGTTTTTAATTCTACTACTTATATAAAAGCAGGATATAAGAGAAAGCTTTTAATTATAAATAAGTATTCTAGTTATATTAATATAGAGTTTATATAAATATATAATTACTTTAAAATTCTGCTTTTTATTTTATTTTTATATTCGATATATTATCTTTAATCTCTTAGTATAAGCTACTTTTTACTACTTTCTATTTATTATTCTACCGAGATTAATAGGCTTTTAAATACTAGTAAAAGTATTTCTTCTTTAATAAAAAGAATATTTTAGTCTGTTTTTAAGCCTGCTTAGAATAAAAGTATATTTAAATCAAATATTTTATTTATTTGAAAAAAGACAGGTATATAGTTATACTAACTATTAATTATTCTTTTAGCTATTGCCTTATTAAGACTATAAACTTCTCCTAAAGCTTTTCCTAATATAATTATAACTTCTTATACTATAAAATATATATGGCAATTCTTAAAAATCTATATAAAGAACTTATTTAAAGCGGCCTTTTGCAAGCTTATTAAAGTAAATAAATCAAATATAGTAAAGGCTTCTATTATAGAGTATTATATAGAGGGCTTAAAAGAAGCTTTATAGCTTGAAAAGAAAAAGAGATATTAAGAGAAAAAGCTTAATTTAATAAGAAAGCCTGCAGAAAAGGCCCAGTTCTTTGGAATAGCTAAAGTACTAGCTATAATAGTATTTGAGAAGACGAAGGCTATAAAGGCAAAATAAGATAAATTAGATAAGTAAAAGGTAAAGGAGGATATAAAGATTACTAAAGTAATAAAAGATACCTTGGAAAAGCAGGAGAAGGAAGTAGAGAAGGCAAGAAAGGCGAAGCAAAAAGAGATTAATAATAAAGTAAAGAGAGAGAAGTATAAAATGGAGGTTTTAGAGAGAGTAGTTGTAAGAAAGGCAGCTATAGTAGCTAGAAATACTACTAAAAAAGCCAAACCGTCCCGTATAGTAATATTGAGGATAGGGTCTTCGATTTTATCGAATTTAGGGGCTCAGGAAGCGGTTATTATAGAGGAGGACAATTCTAAAGCTATAGGGTGCTAGGTAATCACGAGGGACTCGCTTAGCCTTACTCAGATAGCAACTTCTCGCTAGACAGAATTCATCAAGCTTCACAACACACTCAAGATTCCAGCATGCCCAGCATAGGGGTAGTGCAGACTTCCCGATCAGGAAGCGAGATTATTTTACCCTAACGTCTTAGCAAATAAAAAATCCTGGTTAGCCAACTTAATGCGCCTAGTTCAATTACTCTATATCTTAATTTTAGACCGATTAATAGTGTGGTTATTTAATAATTAATTAAGTCCGAGGTGGGCTGAAAATTTGGGGTGTGCATTCGCTTGGGGTGTGCATTGATTGACCTTGGAAATCGGTTACCTCACTTCTTGGCACCACCACACCAGAAAGGCCCGCCTCCACGGCAGTGGCCCCCGGAGGGCCAGCGGAGCGTCACCAACGCCCCCTTCAATATTATATATATTGTAGAGGCATGCCAGAGAATCCCCGCCATCTGCTTCATCCAGCCCGAGAGACGGGAAAGTGAGGGTGAGATGGGAGAGAAGAAGAGTGCGGTGCCTTCCTCGAGGCAAGCGCGAAGAGTGAAGAAGTCGCGACTTCCTCACATTCACCTTGAGAACAGTAGCCTTGAACAAACAGAACTTGACCAAAGCTCTGATTTGATATTCTTTTTTCGCCAACGCCAACCTCAACCTCAACCTCACAATACATCCTGAAGATGGACAGCGACAACGTGAGTACAACCAAATGCACAAGTGATCAGAATAATAGCTAATCTGAATAGGCACCCCCGCCAAAGCGCCACAAGGCGATGTCGTTTCACCGCAAGGTGCCCCCGGAAGTCCGCAACATGCTCTACAATCACGCAGCGCTGCCAGAGGGCGTTGATCCCGAGGAGCGTACCTTCAAGACCGTGGATGAAGATGGAACCATCGCGCCTTTGGACACTGTCCGAACCTTCTTCCCGGATAAAATCAGCAAAGCTGGCAAGAGCACGCTTTTCGCAAAAGACATTGTTCGGGTGACTGAAATCACTGAGGAGGTCCTCACACTCGTGCTGCCGGAAATTCTCTTCCAGTTCGACACTCCGCATGCTCTTGAGGTATTTGCTGAGACCTTTGCTGCCCATGCCAGCATCTGCGATGTTGTCCCAGAACTGCACATCGAGTTGGATTTCGCAAAAGGTTTGGGCGAGGAGCATCTCGGGAAGCTGGGTGGCTGGGTGGAATGCAAGCTGCCCCACGGACGAGATGTCGGTATGCACGATCATGTTGAACAATGGATGAGCGCGATGCAGCTCCTCCCCGAAGTCGCGAACATCCATCTCCATCTAGTCTTCTCACACATCTGGAGAGACTTTCGCGAGCTCCGCGGCCTCTCCATGAAGTTCGGCCTTGCGAAGCGCACGGTCACGTTCCAATTTCCGACGCCGTCCATTCAATATCCAGAATACAGCTTCTTCGAGGCCCAAACTATGGCGGCAGTGAAAGACTCGGAGTTCTCTGAACAGGCTGGGATCAGTAATGTGAGGAGAGTTGAGCTTGTCAAATTCGGGTGCAGAGGCTTCAACGTCATCCGCAGGTGCTCGATCAAGTATGGCCTATAGTGGGAAATAGATGCACAAGATCCTTTAAAGGATGAATTGAGTGGTGGCGCTATTGCATGGAGCTAGGCAAGGAAGCAGAATTGGGTCCCGCAGCCCCGCCAACCCGCAATTCAGAACATCCCACTTTCAATACCGAAAACTTACGAAAAACAATTGCTGTACCGGCTGCAGAAGGCTCTCTGCCTCTTGAGAACCCCCTTTTATAACATTAAACCGTATAACTTCCTACCTCTTTCTCTCCTTTTATTATATTCTACTATTTCTATCTTAATCTGGGAAGTCTCCCACCGCTAAGATCAACTCAGCTCATAAAGCCCCTCAGTTAAAGAATATGGGCGTATATACCATAGTCCTATCCTCTTCTGGGAGTTTCACAGAATCACAACCAGCAGAAGGAAATGAGAATGGTCCAGGTGTCAGAAAGCGAGTAGCATTCTACAAGATCAAGTAGCTAGACTACCAAGATACGACATGGGAACCAGAAAGCACGTTACGGCAGCAAGTCCTGCAGCTACTTCGTAAGTTTGAATCCGATCGAAGATAGCGCTGAAGAGATTGGTCCGCAAAGACGTTAAACTACGACGACAATACCCAGCGCGGGGAGGTGGCGTCTGCACGTTGACTAACCTCGAAATGCTGGAAGAGTACCATTGCGTTCCTCGTACTACTTAATTACTTATTTTTTGTGTCCGGGAAGCTTTAATGGACGGTGTCGATGTTCATCACGGTCTTCTATTATTGGTCCGCAAAGACGTTAAACTAACCTTTGTCCGCAATGACGTTAAACTACGACGACAATACCCAGCGCGAGGAGGTGGCGTCTGCACGTTGACTAACCTCGAAATGCTGGAAGAGTACCATCGGGTTCCTCGTACTGCTTAATTACTAATTTTTTGTGTCCGGGAAGCTTTAATGGACGGTGTCGATGTTCATCACGGCCTTCTATTATTCTAAGATTCAAGACCGTAATGTTCTTTCCTTAAAGAGATGGTCGGAGGGTTATGTTCGTTCTTGGACGCCCCTTCCTTTTTCGCTACATGTCACGCCTACATCTTTCTCCCCTCTTCCTCAAACTTCTCACACTTCATCTCCAACCTCACACCCACACTCGTTCAACACCTCGGCGAGGTATGCAACTCTCCTATCAATCGCTATCAATCGGCGGCGTCGATTCTTCTCCTTGAATTAGTCAAGTCTTGCACCGGGAGCCACGCCTGCGCGACACCCTCGCGTCACCCTCGAATCACCCTCGAGCACTACCTCAGCAAGGTATGGCGGTCCCCTCTGCTGGCATTACTACCTCGCACTGCTTTGTTTGATTGACATCTCCTAGAATAGACAGCGTCCATTCATCCCTCTTGACGACATGAAGTTTTCCAGGAAGTACAAGCCAATACCAAACCAGCCAAACCAGGCTCCAGCGGACCTCAATCAACCTCGCAGTGCCCGCAACGCGTCAAAGAGAGCAAGCCGTCACGCCGAGAATGAATCAGCTCGGGAGCCAGGCCAGAGACTCATGCAACGGGATGATCTGGACGTTAGAGGCCGGCAAATCTACACTCTTCGCTGGCTATGCAACATGGATTCAATTATGCGAATGTGGTGTGAGTTCTTTCAGACAAAGCTGGATCGCTTCGACGGTCCAAGTTATTTCAAATCGGGAGGACCTCATCCTGACCGACTTCTTCTACACCAATTCCTCTTCTGGGCCGCCGACACATCGGTCGGAAATCTTTACACGTCGAGTCATGCACCATCAGCCATGACTGAGACGTACAGAGCTACCACCGGGACCATCGAACGTTACGTGGTGATTCTAGCCAGCTGCTTTGGTTATTATAACGCGAGCCTTGATTCTGATTTGGTCAAATCAGCAAGACTCTGGATTCGAAACGATCTTTCTCGAGAGCTCGGCCTGAATCGTGAGGTCAAAACGAAGCCAATTGCATATACTGCAGATGTACAACAACTCATTGAGGCCATTTGGAGCTTCAACAGTCTTGCAGTATTCAAAAACATCCGAGCCATGTTCAACACGACTCTCGTGTTGAATTTTCTGGTCGACGGTGCATCAAGGATTGGAGAATTCATCCCAACAGACACTGATTCGAAGAAGAATGGGCGGTATCTGAAATGGGAGGACCTCGATTTCATCATGACCCCATCAGACGACGTGGATGCCATCACAATCCACATTGTTGTGCTTTGCAAATGGCTAAAAAATCACAGCCACGATCCCAAAGCGTTCAAGGGTTTCGTTGTGCGTCTGCTTCCCCCGCATCTGGCCTTCCAGGACTCTTGCCGCTTTCTAGTGGTGTTAGCGCTGCATCATGGCTATTTCCGAGACTTTCGCACTTGGGACGAGCTTCTCAGTTGCAAGCCGAGCCGGAGTGGAAGTCCGATGCTGCTCAAGCCATCATGCCTGCAACTCCCTGTGTTTATGCCTCTCGTGCCTCGGATTTCCAGAATGGACGGCGTCCAGTCTCTCACGGAGGCAGACGACAACGGAGAGATGCTCCCATGGACATACTGTCAACTACAGAGGATTGTTGGAAAGTTGTCGCGCCTTGCCGGATTTTCCCAAAAGACTGGACTTCATCAGTTGCGACACGGTGATGCTTTCCTTCTTGCACAGCATTGCAAGGACCGTGATACCGCGCGTGTTCTGATGGGGCAACAGACCGACTCCGCTGCATTCTCGACGTATCTGTCCAAAATCTCGACCACCGACATTCAAGGGCTGGCTCGTGGTGTGTCATCATACGACCTTACACGATTCTCTGGCCTGAGTCTGGGAAAGTGTAGTGACGCACCTCTCACCCTACCCGCGGAAGAGCTGGCCGCGATCGACTGTCATCCAGAATTTGTGGCGGCTGCGAAGGAATGCGAAGATGCGAGAGATGAGTGCAATCGTCAGTTCGGATCCCTTCAGGAAACCAGACGGGCGGCCCAGGAATCACCAGCTGCAGCCCAGCTGTTTCGCAGATACCATGTCCTCAGCCTCAACAAGAACGGCAAATGGAAGCGTCTGGCTGAGCTGAGATTCCGCGCCTTCCGAGAGGCATCCATTCGCGAGTTGACCGCTGCGAGACCAGTTGGTGAACTTAACGTTGGCGTGAGCGAGCCGGTAGATCATCCAGAACCGACGCTGCCGCTTATGGACGACTACAGGGCTTTGGATGCCGAAGCAGATGATGACACAGGACCCAGTGAGGACTCTGAGCGGTTTCTTCAAGATCGAATTGAGGATGTTGGGTTGCTCACAGCAGAACAGACGGCGTCCATCATAGCTGCCGTGCCTGATGATGCAACGGTGGGAGGAGTCGCGGAAAACGTCGTCCAGGAGGCGCTCAATCAGCAAGTACGCAATCACAACATCTTTCGAATTTCTCTCGATTCAATGGTTGGGACAATTGGGCGGCAATCGACCGGGATGTCATCGTTCTCGTATGACTACATCCACTTGAGGGAAAGATACGAGACTGTGGCCAAAGACGAGGGCGTCACTTCCGGCACGGTCATGGCACTGCTTCTGGAACTTTTGTCGAGCGAACACCACATGAGAGACCTCCCGACTCACTGGCTTTCTCCCGGTGACCAGTCAACATGTATAGTCTGCCGTCAACAGCTGACAATCGACACCGGCTACACTCACGTACGGCAATGCCTTCAACCCCAGGCAAAAGCCCGTGCAGACCAACTGTGGGTCGACTACTGCGCGAGTGTGCCTACAAAATGCACTTGGACATCTACGGTAGCATCGAAAGCCTGTAAGGTCGATCTTACAAATGCAACCCCCGAAGAACGCCAAAAGCATTTTCATAAGCACAATAACTCCACGGGTTATAAGTGCTACTGGGGCGGATGCAAGATCACTTTCTCTTCTCAGGCAGAACTTTGCCAACATGTCTACTCCAAGCACGGGATTCTGCTTTGGACGTCGTCAACTTGCTTGTATTTTTGGTGCCATTACTGCAACGAGTACATCTTCGAAACCAAGTCTTCGCCAGAGAGGCTGGCCCACTTTGCTTCACATTATGATCAAGCAATTCGAGCTGTTCGGGACTACGGCTATGCAGGAGTTTCTATGGGTTCAAATCACGCTGGACGCCGTCCAAACGAGTTCCTCCCACCGCACTGTGTCTTTTGCCTCCATGACGAGCGTCTCGATGCGGAAGACCAGCTGCTAGCACCGACACATGAGATCGCGCCACACATGCATACGCACTTTCGGTACCTCGCTCCCAGTGATATGATTCACTGCCCAGCATCGTCTGCTGGTGGAGCGCGCCATCCATTGTGCAGTTTTGAGCAGAGTATGACTGCAACCGAGGCCTGGAAACACATACAAGAGATACACTATGGTCTCGAATTTGGGCCAAAGTTCGGACCTGGCGCAACAGGGAAAGTCAGAGGCAAGAAGAGGGTGACTGTGCAGGATGATTCAGATTCAGAGACAGAGGAAAGAGTCAAGATTCGAACGAAGGTGTACGATAAGAAGAAGCCACTTTTAGCGCAGGATGGTTCGATGCCGGGCAAAAAAGTAACCAGACGGACGGCGTCGATTGATCAATCTTCAGAGCCCGCACTGCCGCTTCAGGAGAAAAACCCCAACGACCGCTTGGCCGTGGAGCAGATGGGCACTCAACAAAACAAGCAAATCGCCCATGATCTTTCTGTCATTGATCCATTGCTTCGATAAGGAAGTGTCGAAGTGCGCAAGGACATGTGGCATATACGAAAAGGTTACGAATGGGGGGTGTCGGTTATCTGGTATGGGAAGGAATCATTTCTTTGCAGGAATATGGCTGTTTATGCTGTGCTGACTATCATTCCGGCCACGCAAACTGCATCAACTATTGCCTAATGTTTTCATACACCACTCTAGCATCTATCACGATGGCTATTGATCATTAGCAGCGGAGGGCTTATGTATTTTATCAGCAAATTCAATGATTGCATTGAGCAAAAGACTATAGCTAGAGACCGTAATTGAATGTAATCAACATGACATGTCCACCATTCTTGCTATGTTTTCCATGCCTCTCGTTGTATTCTCTACTTCTCGTAGATCCAGTCGTGCAGAGCGGACTTGTATGTCTGGACCTCGCCTTCCTTGAACCAGAGGGCAATCTCCTTCTTGGCATTCTCAACACTATCGGAACCGTGGCAAATATTCCTGCCCGTCTCGATCGCATAGTCGCCTCGAATTGTGCCTGGCGGTGATGCAAGGGGGTTGGTGGCACCGAGGAGGGCTGTTCTCATATCAGACGATTGTAGCATTAGGACGCTAGAGAGACATACCACGGCCAGTCTTGACGGCATCACGACCTTCCCACACCATAGCACAGATTGGCCCGCTGCCCATGTCTAATAACTGTTAGATAGGGACTTTCAGGCGTGAGGATTGAGCTTACACTTGATGAGTCCAGGGAAGAATGGCTTCTCGGAGAGATCCTCGTCTGCTCTCATTAGCAATTGAAATGTCAACATGAGACCATGATATCCTTACAATGCTTCTCAAGGTGATCCTTGCTGGCAGTCATGAGCTTAATAGCAGCGAGCTTGTAGCTATAACCTGTCAGTAAGGGCTCCAGCTTCGAGTCCGACTCAACATACCCACGAGCCTCGAATCTCGAGATAATCGGCCCAATGAGCCCACGCTGCCATCAATCAGTCCACAATCCTCAATCCATTCCCATAATAACCGTAGCATACCTGGACACCATCAGGCTTGATCGCAATGAAGCTAAGCCAAAATGTCAGCTTCACCGCCAAATAGCTCGCTGAACATTCAGCTCCTAGGAATCAACATACGTTTGCTCGTTAGACATGGTGTCGTCGTTGAGTCTGGCTCTCTCGTTTCTTTGACTGGCAGATGCTCGTAGAAATCCTTGAGTTTTGGGGCTCAAGTGCTTGTAGATTTCGGGGTCTTTGGTGGGTTGTTGGTCGGTCATCTAGGGGGAAGCGAAGTACTGGTGTCGAATATTTTTGGAGGGGTTGGTGGGGCGCTGAGACAAGCAGTTTTGACCTGAAAGTCCAGGCACGCACGTGTGTGGCTGCCAAGACCCCTGGCGCTGTTTTGGCCCGGGTTGAGGTCATGGCGAGCAGCGAATGGCGAACGGCTGGCTGAGGACAACTTGAACACTCTATCCCACTTCACCCTCTCCTTGTCGCAGCACAGCAATTGCTGGCCAGTTTCTATGCGCGAATTATACTTGTGAATAGCGGAATTTGCTAGACATTTGCATATTCTGTCATGCGTCGCTCTCTTGCGCTGTCCTCGAGGTGGACAGCGATTCTTGTTGTCATATCTGCATTATGTTGCCTTTTTAGCCCAGCGAGTAAGCAAGCTCCCCCTTCCAGGACCACAACATCTAACACCTATTCAGTCTCTGTAAAGCATGAGAATTTCAAGACCTGCGATCAGTCAGGATTCTGCAAGCGCAATCGAGCGTATGCCGACACCGCAGCGGGAACCAACAACTGGGAAGCCCCTTACCGAATAGCCCCCGAGTCCCTGAGCTGGAAGAATGGACAGTTACAGGGCTCGATTCTTAAGACAGTCAATGCCAATGGCGAGACGGTCCGGCTCCCAATCACCATTTCTTTTCTCGAATCCGGTTCTGCGAGGGTGGTGATTGATGAGGAGAAGCGTCAGAAGGGCGAGATCGAGCTTCGACATGACAGCAAGATCCGCAAGGAGCGGTACAATGAGGCGGAATCGTGGGCCATAGTTGGAGGTCTTGACTTGAGTAAGACTGCTACGGAAGATAGAGGGTCTGCCAAGAGCCATGTCAAATATGGCCCAGATGGAAAGTTCGAAGCGGTCATCACCTACGCTCCTTTCGGAATCGACTTTAAGAGAGACGATGCCACTCAGGTCAGATTCAATGATCGTGGTTTATTGAACTTGGAACATTGGCGACAAAAGATTGATAAGCCCGCCCCAGAAACGAAGGAAGGAGAAGAGCCTTCCCCAACACCAGAGGTTCCAGCCGGGGAAGATGAGAGTACATGGTGGGACGAGACATTTGGTGGCAACACCGACTCCAAGCCAAGAGGTCCGGAAAGTGTTGGTCTTGATATCACGTTCCCAGGATACGAGTATGTTTTCGGCATACCTGAGCATGCTGGATCACTTTCGTTGAAGGCGACCCGAGGTGGAGATGGGAATCACAACGATCCCTATCGACTGTACAATGCTGATGTTTTTGAGTACATCATGGACAGCTCGATGACCCTATACGGATCAATCCCTTTCATGCAAGCCCACAAGAAGGACTCCACCGTCGGAGTATTCTGGTTGAATGCCGCTGAGACCTGGATTGATGTCATCAAGGAGAAAGAGGCACACAATCCATTGAGCCTTGGGATCGGCTCGAAGTTCGAAACAAAGACACACTGGTTCTCTGAGAGTGGACTCATCGATGTTTTTGTGTTCCTTGGACCTACAGCCAAGGACATTACGAAGGTGTATGGAGAGCTTACTGGTTACACTGCGCTCCCACAAGAGTTTGCAATTGCCTATCACCAATGCCGATGGAACTACAACAGTGATGAAGATGTCAAGGATGTCGATCGAAAAATGTCAAAGCACAACATCCCATATGATGTGATCTGGTTGGATATCGAGTACACCGACGACAAGCAATACTTTACCTGGGACCCTCTGAGCTTCACCAATCCCACTGGAATGCTCGAACAACTGGACCAGTCCGAGAGAAAGCTTGTGGCAATCATCGATCCTCACATCAAGAACAAGGATGGTTATCACGTGGTCGAAGAGCTGAAGAAGAAAGATCTTGCTGTACACGACAAGGGGGGTGGCATATATGAAGGATGGTGCTGGCCTGGATCGTCTCACTGGGTTGATTGTTTCAATCCAGCGGCCATCAAATGGTGGATTGGTCTCTTCAAGTACGATTATTTCAAGGGATCCGCTCCTAACCTCTTCATTTGGAACGATATGAACGAGCCCTCCGTCTTCAACGGCCCAGAAACGACCATGCCAAAGGACAACATCCATCACGGTGGCTGGGAGCACCGTGATGTCCACAACATCAACGGAATGACTTTCCACAACGCAACCTACCAAGCTCTGCTTGAGCGCAGGAAAGGAGAGATCCGGCGCCCCTTCGTCCTCACTCGATCCTTTTACTCTGGCTCCCAACGCCTCGGAGCTATGTGGACAGGCGACAACCAAGCAAGCTGGGAGCATCTCGCAGCCGGCTTCCCCATGATCCTCAACAACGGTATAGCAGGCTTCCCCTTCGCCGGTGCAGACGTAGGCGGTTTCTTCGGTAACCCCGAGAAAGATCTCCTCACCCGATGGTACCAAGCTGGCGCCTTCTATCCCTTCTTCCGTGGGCACGCACACATCGACACCCGTCGTCGTGAGCCATATCTCGCAGGCGAACCCTACACAGGCATAATCACACAAGCCCTTCGACTCCGGTACTCTCTCCTCCCAGCCTGGTACACGGCGTTTCACGAAGCGTCCGTAGACGGGACACCCATCATCCGCCCCCATTACTTCCAATACCCATCTGACGAGGCCGGCTTCGCGATCGACGACCAGTTCTTCGTCGGCGGTACCGGTCTCCTCGCAAAGCCCGTTGTTACTGAGAAAGCGGAATCAGTAGACATCTATCTCCCAGACGACGAACAATATTATGACTACTTCACTTTCGAGAAATATTCCGGAAGGGGCAAACACAATATTGTGGCACCGTTGGAGAAAATTCCATTGTTGATGCAAGGCGGCCACATCATCCCGCGCAAAGACCGTCCAAGACGTAGTTCAGGACTCATGAAGTGGGATCCCCACACTCTTGTCCTGGTCCTCGGTAAATCAGGCCAAGCCAAAGGAGAGCTGTATTTCGATGATGGCGAGACTTTCGATTATCAGCAGGGAGCGTACGTTCATCGGGAATTTGAGTTCAGGGATGGGGTTCTGGTTAGTTCGGATATTGGTGTGAATGGGAAGTTGACAGAAAAGTTCTTGAGATGCGTCAAGTCTGTTGGGGTGGAGAAGATCCTGATTGTGGGCGCGCCGAAGAGCTGGGAGGGGAAAAGCAGTGTTAAGATTGGTGGTGGAGAGGCGGGGCTGGAGTTCCATCCTGAGGAGGGAAACAAAGCCGCGTGGGCGGTGGTGAGGGCGCCAAAGGTTGCTATTGGTGAGGATTGGAAGATTGAGTTCTAGCGTGGCTGTGTGTGTTAAAAAAAAATTAGGAAAATAAAAGGGGAGAGACTGGGGTGGGGGATGTAGGAATCAATATATATTGTATCCGTGTTATGTACTCCATCCAAGGTCAATGCATATTCAACTTCATTGCTAGCAACCTCCCCGTGGTATCTTCTCAACGCATCAACGTAACGCAAATAAGCAGCCTCCCATATTAAGTATCAACAGATGTACAAGTTCAACGCAGCGAGATGGAGTCCCTGGAAGGGAGGGAAGTGGAATCGAGGTGACAGTGAGCCGAGTCAGCGCAACAGATCCCCAGATTCAGCAATCTTCTCCTCGCGGCCGTCCTGCCAGCTCGTACAGTTCACGCATCTCTTCGCCTATTCTCCGTCAGTTCTTACATTTTCCTCACGGCCTTCGAGAAGGGGGAGGGGAATAAGAAAGGGGACAGGAGCGAGAAAAGGAAGAGGGCATTGGGGGGATAGGGAAAATGCATTACCTTGACGGAGATGCGTTTGCGGCAGTATTTACACTTCACCATGTGCTTGATGATGGGATCACCGCTTTGGTTGAACATCTCGTACACGACCGCTACGCCGTAGAGCGCAAATCCTACGCCGAGGAAATTTACGATCTTGTTCAAAAATGCTCTTGTTTTTCTGTTAACATAATGAAGCGTGAGGGGCCGGGGGGCGGCGGGGGGAAGTCAAGGAAGTGGAAGGAGAAAGGGGATGCGTACCCGTAAGCCATAACCACCGCTCCATCAGCAGCAGCTTGCTCGAGGGTGTTGTACCCGATTCCATCGGTTTTGTTGAAGTTGGGTCCCCGCCGCAGGATCGCAAATTTGGAGTCCATGTTGCGGTTTATGCCGGGGATTAGGGAGAGCGGCGGGAGAAGTATCTCGGAGACGAAACTGGTTACCACTGTCGTGAAGGCTGCTGCTATTCTGAAGATGATGTGAGTATGGTAGAGGGTGTCGGGGGATTGTGGGGAGGCTTGGGATGAGGAAGTGAAAGATTTTTTTTTGGAAGGCTGGAGAGCTCGAGGGATTGAGATGAAGAACTTGCAAAGTCTTGTGAGAAATTATAATAAATTTTACCCAGAACTCACATCAAACCAACAGCTACTTCTAAGACATTATCTTGAAGTGCGAAGTCCGAGAATCCTGCCCTACGAACTGTCAGCGTTGCTCTTCGTCTTCATGCCTCAATATATACCCCAGATACAACCCTCAAAAAAGACAATAATTTATCTCCCAATCTTTCTCCACAGAAGCCTTCAAACACAGAGTTCACATCCGAGAGAACACTCACCACATCGCTTTCCCCCTATTCACAACCTCCTCCCCCGCATGTGCAAGCATCTCCTGGCTAGCCTCCAAATGTAACAGATGCCTCGGCCTCTCTGGCGTATCCAGACCTGAATTGTCACCCGACATCGTCGCTCCTATGTCCAATCGCTCAGAACTCAAGCAAAAGGCGAAATGTGACAAAGTGAAGGTTGATAGAAAGGATGTCTCAGAAAGTTGGAAGGCTGGGAAGTGAGTCGTGGAGGGGCTGCACGTGATCGCAATTGTGATTCAATTGGCGGGGTAATAAGCTAGAAAAATAAAATGATTTTGAAGCTCTACGGAAAGCCATAAGGATCAGAAGACCAAGCGATTTTCGAATCTGGTTTTTGACCTTCAATGTCTGATTTGTGGCACGTGCGCACCCCACCAAAAATCACAAATACCTGTACACCACGCCTATATATTATGCCCCCTCTCCCTGTGCCTCTATTATTACTTCAAATATTTCTTCACTTTGATTCTTCTCGCTCTTTTTATAGGTATAAGGATAAGAGAGGGGAGAAGGGGGAGGGCAGGGCAAGGGGACCTCACTAAAAATTTACGTTGCAAAGCACTAAATTTTTAGTACCTATAGCCTATAATTTAGTGATTGTGGCCCTAAAATTTAGCGATAAGTAGCCTAAAATTATAGGGCTTCCTTTTCCTCGCGAGTCGCATGCCTTAAAGCTCGCTTTTCAATTTTCGCTTTTCACTTTTCACTTTTCACTTTTCACTCGCCCTCCATCTCCTCCCCCCCCCCACCCCCATCCCCATCTACCCCTCTCTCGCCCCTCTCTCGTATATATATAAATAAGAATTAAAAAGAGAGTAATATTTTAAGTAGTAATAATAAGTAGAGGCACAGGAAGAGAGGGCATAATATGTAGGCGATTTTTGGTGGGGTGCGCACGTGCCACAAATCAGACATTGAAGGTCGAAAACCAGATTCGAAAATCGCTTGGTCTTCTGATCCTTACGGCTTTCCGTACTCGGACAGCTCAACAACCGCGCTTAAGGACAGGGCGCAGACGACACAGAGATGGCGCCCAAGCTCTCAGAAGACGAGATCGACGACCTGCTGTACTTCGCGCGTACAGGAGACAAGGCTGAATTCAACGCGTTGAAAGATGAGCTTTGCAAGAGGGAAAACGTGAGGGAGGGGCGGTTGCTGGAGGCTGCTAGGGAGGAAGAGAGTGGGAATGGGATCTTGCATATGGCGGCTGCTAATGGACATTCTGGTACTGTCCCCCTTTTTCTCCCTCTATATTCCTCTTCCAAAACTTCCATCTTGCTAACAGATTGGTCATAGATTTACTCTGCGAACTCTGCAAATCCCTCTACGCACCCACCGGACCCCAGAATCCAGAGTTGTTGAGTATTTTGAACAGCCAAAATAAGGCGGGGAACACGGCACTGCATTGGGCGGCATTGAATGGGCATTTGGAGGCTGTGAAGGTGTTGCTCGAGGAGGGAGCGGATCCGACGATCACGAATCAGAGGGGTCATGATGCGGTGTTTGAAGCGGAGGTTAATGATAAGAGGGAGGTTGTGGAATGGGTGTTGAAGGAGGGGGGTGAGGTGTTGGAGAGTGGTGTTGCTGGTGGGGAGGAGAGGGAACGGGAAGGGGAGGAAGTGGGGGATGAGGATGAGGGGATGGAGGAGGGATCTGGGAAGGAAGATGTGATGGGCGAGGATGGGGTCGCGGGAGAGGGCTCGGCGAAATTAGAGAAGAAGTTGGGAGAGATGGATATCTGAAAGGTCGAATACTCGAACCGTCGACAGCTTTTGCAACACAATGAAGAAAGACCTAGCGGTATCTTGCATGACCTCCGGAGCCGCACTCCGCAACGGAATTCGACATACAGCCAGAAGGGAGCCAGAGAGCATCTCAACTTCTGTCTAGTGGAAATGATCGAAAGAAAATCACCACGCAACAAGAGCTACAGCCGGATTGGCACACCGTCATGGCAGGTTGGCAGGAGACACCTCTCAACTGCATATTTCTGAGGCTCGCCTTAAGGTGATTCGACAGTGGACTTTATCATATCAATTGGAAGAAAAAAATCAAAATAAGAAACTACAATTTCAAAAGCACTACTTGAAGAATGGAAATACGTGAGCGACGTATGCATTTCATATTTGACCGGTCTGATTGAATGATATTCTCACTCTCACCCTTTCCTGCCAACCACGAGCGGCCGATCAGTGCACATAATCGACAGCGGACGTTGAAATCCCAGAGGACAAACTGAGTCGTCAAATTCGAGTTTGGGGATGGACAGAGATAGCTACAAACTTAAGCACAACCTAATTGGCACTCTAGGGTGCAAGCAAATCTAGTCCTGGATCGTCCAGGATTTCTTTCCAAAGACCATTGATGTCAATCTCTACAATCAAAAACGAAGCAACGAATCACTCATGTTGAATGAAGCCACACGGAAAGCACCTTTGGTCGATGCCAGTCATTCGAGAAGTTGCTTTGCTGCGCGATTCTCCGATAGCCAATAAAGCAATCAGGCCTCACCGTCACTCGGGAGTTTTGGTTCAGTGAGTCACAATTCCAACATCAGGTTCTGTTGCATCGAGAATTGAATTTCGTCCTGTCTCGTCCGCCAGTGACATGGAGGGTCAGCATGTATCTTCACAACTGAGGACATTGTTGAAAAAGAGCAGGTTTCTGGGCAACTTCTGAACCAATCTAATTGTTCCCGTCAACTCATTTCATTCCCAGCCAGTCGTTGGAGAGCAATCCTACCCACTGTGGCAAGCTACTGTGAGGCTCTGTGGAATCCCTTCCGCTCTCTTCTTCCAGCCAACCGAGGGTGTAGTACCACAACCATTGGCCCGGCGGTTTGTGTGATTTTGGGTTGAGCGGTTATCTATTTCATTCGCGGGGCCTTCGGCAAGTGGCTGTTTTAGGAATACGACCCTTGGCTACTTGACAAAGGGTTGGACATGCACCAGCCATGCAAGTGCCTTGATTCCATGTTTTCTTCTTCAGAGTATCATTGCTTCTGTACAACGAGGCTCCGTGGTTGTTAGTGGGATGTCAGCTGCCGATATCCCGCGTGCCAGGGAAGCTTTCACCGCTCACTGGCTGAAACCCCGCCCACCCATCCGTTATCCTGCACCCATCCATTATCTTGTAGACCTTGTAAGTGCCCAAACTTTTCTATTCTGTGCGACTGTGGCAGCCAGGGAGCACGTAATGGGCGGCCAACGTGGCCTGATGTGTACCTATGGCAGTCCTACCTAACAGTGCAGAGCCTCAATCTTGGATGTGGAAGTGTTGCGACCTCGAACAAGTTGCGGCTGACTCTTGTCTTATTCATGTGCTACCACACTGTACCAAAATGGCGGGACAGTTCAAGACACCGTCTTCAACCTTCAATATGTTCAGTTCATGCCATCCGCTCTCTTAGGCATCAATTGATTCCCACCTTTACGGATCCATTGAGAGTGCAGCCTGAATGTGGGATCCTACAGCAATTTTTGCCTTCAAAGTATGCATATCACACAGCCCCAGAGTCCCTCAGCAAGTGCTGAGATGAAGGCCTATGGAGACATCATGCTCACGGTTTCCTCCAGCACACTTATCCACCATGAGTTCAACTTCCATGCAGCAACCGGGCTGTTCCGTTGATACTCGACACGTGGAGCCAGTCCCTTACAATCTTCCGGATCGAGCCTCGCAGTCTCCTCTAAGAAAAGACGAGTGGAAGAAGACCTTCTCCTTTACCACAGCGAAGTCAATTGGCCGCGGCGCGTCTGGCACGGTTTTTGCCATCAATGATGCATGGGTAATCAAAGTCTTTGGAAGAGACGCCGAAGCACAATCGTATCTCGTGCGAGAGAAAGAAATCTTCGACAAGCTACAAATTTCAGCTCTTTCTGATTATATCATATTTTGCAAGGAACAATGGGCTTCTGGCCTAGTTTTGGAAAGATTCGAGTGTACGCTACGCGAGCGCTTGAAAACCTTCGTTGCGGGCGACTCCAAAAGCCCACACCCGTCGGCTCTGATGTGGTCTCTGGAGTGCTGTCGAGGCCTTGCTTTTCTCCATGACAACGATGTTATCCATGGAGATATTGGATGCCAGAATGTTATGGTCAGTGCCAGCGGACATGCCAAACTTTGCGATTTTGCCGGGTCCAAGATTGGACAGAAGGATGCCCTGGTGGCGTATGAAATCCGAAGTCAGCATGTGCGCTATTCTGGTCAACAGCCCACAATCACCACTGAGATTTTTGCGATCGGATCCCTCCTCTTTGAAATCTGGGCCTTAAAACCTCCTTACGCTGCTGAACTGAATTCGGTAGTCAAAGAAAGGTTCCGCGTGGGAGAATTTCCCATTGGCAGTATCAGTAATTTGAGCATGAAAGGAGTCATTCATAGATGCTGGCTCGGGGTTTACCACACTGTTTCAGGAGTCTGCGAAGATCTAGAGGCAGTGAAACCAATTCTTGAATTTAGTACTCTACCAGATTAGCAGCATTTCCGCGGTTTGAAATGTCAACAAGAACTCGACGTAGTTTTCCTTCCTGAAGTTGATAATCGGAAGCAAAACCTTGAAGCATGTCGCTTGTGCATATGTGAACGAATCACTTCAAACAAATGAGTCACAAATTGCGATCCATCAATATGTGATCCAAATATTCTGATTTCAAATTGACCGCACCACGCATAAAATAAGCTACGTAGTTTGAAAAATGAATATGTTCTGCTCCTAGAATCAAGAAAAGTAGCTTTTTCGTAACCGTTTCGCTGGGGAATGAAAAAGTAGAGAGTGTAATTCATACAAAGTAGTGAAAGCCTATCCGAGACAACGGTAGAAAAGAATCACCCAAGAAGAAAAGTCCAAAACCCGTCCAGCCTACTTTTGCCATCACTGCGAATGTTGCATGTGCAGGAACGTACAATTATTGCCGCATCGTTTCTTTCTCTCAATATCCATCAGCATGTCTGTGCTTCCTATCACGTTTCTCCTCGTCATAGTATCTATGACTTCGAGACTTTTCCTTTCCGGATCTACTTCCCCGATGCTTGTCTGCTCTCGATCCTTCATCGCGACGACCGTTGTTACGCTCTGCATCTTGGACGGGCCTCACCTATTTCTGGTCATCAGCTACCCATCGGACTTGTTATCAGATTTTGTCTACCGTACCTCAGTTACTTCCGAATAAGCTCGATCTTCTGCATCACCGTATGCATTCAAGGCTCGCGTCCTGATCTCCTCAGCTCGTGCCAGAGCTTTGTCGCGAATATCAACTGCAATCTTCAAATTGTCACAAACGTAGCATGGGCCTAAGCTTCTTGATCCCACAGTATAGTTGTTGTCAGCGTTGGGATCGATCTGGCTGCCATCCTGCTGAGCATCCGCACATCTCTTGCCGTGATCGTTGCAGAGGATGTATGTATACTTGTACCACACGTGAGCGGGCTCAACATTGCAGCGTGTGCTATTTACGGTTATCACTCCAAAGTTGCACATAGTGTTTCGAGCTGGCTGATTTGTGGAGATGCAACTTGCGTTGGTGGATTCGGCTGCGTCAAGTGACTGTGAGATAACCTAGAGTTCAGAAATCTTGCAAAGGCCTTGACAACAGCACAAAACCCACCCTTAAAATAGGGATATCGGACTAGCACCTCTCAGAACATTGTATCACCTGGATGCTTGAAACAAAATCATACAAAAAACAGCTTGGGCCGCTGCGGCCCAACCGCTGCAGAAACCCCTTTCCATCCATCAGCAGAGCCTCTGCAAAGATCATCTCATTCTGCCGAACTGGTTGCCTTGCGAATAGCATCTTGATGCTGACATATCCGGCTACTACTGCGTCAGTTAAGCCGCAATAAAACTTGTCTGGCATCACAAGATATGTGGCAGGGTTCTAGATATCGATTGTTATTTGCGGGGTGGTAAAGGTGGATGGGGGGTAAGGGCAAATGAGTGTGGTTACACGACAGTGATAAACTCAACTGTCGGGGGATGAATTGACCACGGAGGAGGCTGTGAAGTTAGGGGAGGGGTGTGGGAGTTGGTATGGGGCTCTGCTGGGATGCTGGTATGCTGACGTGCGGCTTCGATTCGATCCACGCTTTTTCGGGCATCCATTTCAAGCCGGTCCGGGGCTGAGTCACGCCTATTCATTGCTTAAATGGTCTTCGAAGATATTAATTGGTATCGTGACTTACACCTTCTGCAAGATGAGTCTATGCCTAATGCCATTGCAGATCAATTGGTTACGTTGGATGAGGTCTTCCGCGTGAGCACATAAAATTATGCCTTCGCTTTTAAACTCTTACTTTTTGCTGATTCGAAAAGTCGGGGTTTAAAATGCTTGTTGGTATGATCTCCTTTGCTCTTCTAAACTGTAGAGATGTTGATATTTGCAATTCTGGGCTGAATGTGTGGGAGAAGGCTGTTTTGGCCCCCTTTTCTGAATTTGGCTAGCGTTAAATTTGCCGAGACTCTGGCACTCGCCGCAACCAAGTCTTGGTTACAATTTTAACCCCATTTCTAATATCGAACATTGAACTTCCACGTATTGATGCAATCGTGAAGGGATCCCTTTGTCCAAAGAAGTCTCGATGATGAGGCATCCTGGGATATCCCGGCGGAAAAAGCTAAAGAATATCCGGAGAGTCTGGCTTTGAATCCATTGATGTCCGAAAATTGCCCGGGTCTCCTTGCAATCTAAAATGAGATTATTACGATTCTATGCAAAGAACTTCTCCAGGTTGATCTCTAAGAATTGCAGAATCTCTGGAGCATATCCATTGGGTTCTGTTGAGTGGTTGAGAAACTATCGATCCATCAACGTGGAGACGAACAAAGGACCCCCCCAAGAAGGCTTGCGTCCTCTCGAAATCCGAATGTGTCTGTATTTCTAGAATTGTATCTCCCTCTCGCCTAAGAATGTTCTTTCGTGCCATGGCTGCCGGCCTTGCCACTTTTCAACTAGTTTCTACGCCGCGAGTCCCAGAACTCCATGACAGATCAGCGGAACTTAAAAGACTGCCATCACTGACGTAAATTTGCGAGATGGCTGTGGATTTTCCTCAATTATAAATACGGTTGTCTTGATCGGTGGGATAATTTCGAACGCAAATCCATATGAGGCGGCTGTCGTGGACGGCGCAGGGGTTTTCCTGATGCCAGGACTCACCGATCCGCAGGCCCACGTCACCTATTGTTCATACTTGACGACGCTGCATGTACAAAAGTACTACAGTATTGGGTATAGAGACGTACCTCTATACTTCAGTCGGTATCCGTGAAGGAAGTGATGTTACAGCAATGCAAGTATCTGGAGCAGCCGGAACAGTCAACGGATCAAAAATCAATCTCGTGCCAGGTTTCCCAACCAGCTCATTATCGCAACTCCCGCTGCGGGAAAGGTATTTATTTTTGCAAGAGTGGCTGAAGGGGTAGACTACATCAAGTTCCTTCACCTACTGGAGCCGGGTGGCATAACAATTGCAGTTGTAAGTCACATGTAACCTACTCTGCTTTGCGACTACTAATACTTGCCGCTAGGTTGTAAAAGCTGGGCATGTGGCAAACAAGCGACTTATTAGTCACGCCACGACTTACGCAACATATGCGCTGAATCGAATAATGGTACTCTATCGGGAACCACACCATCCTCCAACAGTGGTACTTGGCGGTATCCGGAGGTCAACTTATTCCATGGCATAGCATCTCCCAACACTGACGCCTCAATTATTCCCGAGTTTATTGGTAGCAATAGCACTCAACCATGGAGGATTCAGCTTCCCTATGCCGGTGGTGTTTTGAGACCCAATTGGTCCGTTCCCAACATCTGTAACAGAAGTTCATTTCTTGGGAATTCCAACGGCAACAATGGCTTTGGCGAAAGTCCCAGCAGCGGCTCGACGTCTGGAGGACCCCCTGATAGGAATACCCCAGCAGACGAAGCAATTTGGAGAAAATGGGCTGCGATCGCTGGTATCCCTATCGAACTAATTGTCGAAGAGTTTAATCGAGCATACTCTTGTCATGATAAGAGTGTATTCGTGTTCTTCCGACAAGAGTTGCGCGTAGTCTTCCTCACTGCTGGCGCCTCTGACGCTGATGCTTCAATCGCCCGAGAATCTTTCTGCTTTTGGGCTCTTGAGAAGTACGTGGCCCAACGTTTGGCTCCTGTCTCCACTTGAGATCGCTGCTCGCTTTCCTTTCGAGCATAATCACTAAAAATGTGATTCTCCCTTTTCATAACAAATAAAAAATCAAGAAAATGTCGAGATATACTACCCTTAGTTCAACAAGTAAGTTGTGCTTGCCAGACAAATCTTAGCTATTATATGAGTGATTCTCGAAAAGACGCTTATCTCCCCCTTCGCACTGCTAGCTTCTATACAAGAGCTGCAGCTATTACTAGGTATAAAATAATTCCGGAAAATTTCTATATAGAAGAGGTTCTAGTATATCCATGAGAACAAGGTATGTAAATGTCTCTCATCATGTAGGATTACATTCAAATTCTGAGCTTTGAGCTAGATATTTCAGAAAGTGCGAACTTTTGTGGGACAATTTGATATAGGTAGGTGGGCGCAAAACTTTAGGGGGTGCGTGAGAAGAGTAAGAAGCATATCTTCCAGCAACCGTGAGGCTCACTGTCACATCTTCGGGCGGAAGCGTGCCCCAACCGTTCAGGTCTCCAGCCTCAAGTGGAATGCGATAGGGCTGGCGCCCCGTAATTCCCCAGCTTTCATGCAGCAGAACATGATCTTTCCTCGCTAGCTGGGCGCTATCAGCTAATGTATGTGCTGTCATTTGCTGCCTTATAGTTGGTCACAGGGTGCATTTGGCCACGAATGCAGTCACTCTGCATTGCATATCAAGCGATCCCAATGATCGCCTCCGTTGAACACGCCCAAGAATTTGGGCGCTTGCAGCTTCTCCACCCGCCCACCTGTTTAAATTGACAGTATTTCTCTTTTCACGATTGAAGAGTCGTCCATGAAGCCTTCAGGTATCAACAGTCATTTAAGCTTGTCGTGAATGCCTAACTCCACATATTGTCTCTCTACTACTTCTCGTCGACCCCCTTGATGGCTTGGAGTTGGGCAACCTGCATCCAGTCTTGCCTCCTCCAAGCATCCCTGATTCCTTCCACTTTGAAAGCGACACACTACAAATGATTGTTCAAAGTCTTTCGAAAACTGATGGCAACTGGAAAGAGTCGTTCAGTTTCTACGATGCTCAGAGCGTAGGGAGAGGGTCCTCGGGATCCGTTCTCGCAATCAACCAGGATTTGGTGATCAAGATTTTCTCGGAGGATGAAGAGGGGCAACTTGATTTCGACCGAGAACGAGAGATTTATCACGAATTGCAAAGAGACGGAGGATCACGATATATCGTGAAGTTTCTGGAAGTTTGGGAAGATGGTTTGGTGTTGGAACGTCTCAAAAGTTCCCTTCGATTTCGTCTCCGGGAGAAGTCTCTACCGAAGTTTACTGTTCGTATGCGGTGGCTTGTGCAAGCCTGTAAGGCACTCGGATTCTTACATTCTAGAAACATTATGCATGGGGATGTTGGATGCCATAATCTATTGGTGGATAAGAAAGGCCACCTCAAACTCTGCGACTTCGCGGGATCTAAGAGGGCAGGCGAGACCGCACGAATTTGCTACGAAATTCGAGGTCAACATCCTGACTATCGAATTGGCCAACCTACGGCAAAAACGGAGATATTTGCTCTTGTAAGCTTCGGCTATGCAGTTGGTCTCTTGCCTTGACTGACAACTTCTACAGGGGTCAACTATATTCGAGATCTATACTTCGCAGCCCCCATATGCGGAGAAGATAGATGCCTTAGTACGGAGGAGTTTTCAAGAAAGAGAATTTCCTCTGTTGCAGGTTGGCTGTCCTGCCATACGTGCTATCATTGAGAAATGCTGGATGGATGATTACGACAAAGTTTCTGACGTTTGTGCCGATATCCTGGCAGCCCAGAGAGCCCACCTCCTCTCAAATCGGGAATGACTCTTATCAATTGTCTTTTCATATGACTTTATCTTCTCAAATTTTGTATGGACGTTTGGGGAACCCAGATGGTGCAATAGGCGCACGCCCAGTCTAGGAGCTGGTCAGGTCATTCTAGAAGCATATGTTGCCCAGCTGTACACTCGAAAAGGGAGCAAAGAGATGCTAAAGGGCATTGAATGAGCTCGAATTTGTTCATAGCGAGCAGAACATCAACGAAATAGTCTAAAATATATCGCAGAAGTGAACCTCTTCGCCAATCCTCGAATCCAATCCTCTGTCAATCTAGTCCTACATTCTCATCCCAAAGGCAGGGACCCCGGAATCTCCAATATCTAACATAATAAACACGCGAACTCCGAACAATTAACCTCCACCCATGCAACGCCCTCTCAAGTAATCAAAACTCCTCCACCCCTCGTCCATCAATCGTCTTTACTTCCGGTGTCTAGGTTTATCAAAACGCTGCCTTGTATTAGTATCTCGCATCTTTTGTTTGATCTTGGAAACCTACATAATGTGTGATCATAGTCGAATTCCCAACGGCCCTCTGATATCTCGCCTCAGCCTGTCTTATGGTCTCATCGTAATCCTTTCGTGCCTGGTCTAGAGTCTTGCAGACAGGGCAAGATCGATTACTCAAAGAACCTTGCTCGATGGCTTCGCCATTCCTCCCTACAAACTCATCACACGGTTCCCACTGCTCCGACGGTGATCTGATCTTCTTTGCCCATCTACACGGCCAGATCTCCCGATCCTGATACTGATGCGGGCCTTCTGGTGTGCCGTAATTCTTGCACTGGGCTGTATACAGCAGTGTCGCTGCCCACTTACACATCGTCGTTCTTGGAAAGGTGTACAAGCAGGGATTGGTTGTGGTTTGTTCGAGTCTCTCGGGCGCTGATTGCTGAAGCTATACTCGGCAAGATGCTCTGGGAATGATAAAAGAATGTGGATTCTAGAGAATCTTGGCTGACTGTCGGGCGTCATATACTGGCGTGGCAAATTCTTCACCGAGTGTGGGCGGTGTAGGCACCGCTGCCTGATTATGCAAGCCCTCCTGATCATTTTGATTGCCCAGCCTCGCGGGGGAACGTCATATTTGCTCACGCGGTGGGCAGTCTGCCCTGCCATTCTGCCTAACTCATATTCGCCTTCCACTTATGACTCTAACAAGGCTGAACATCGACTTTCTTGTTGGCGGCTATTTGGAATTACTGGCTCATGTGAGTTGCGAAGCGAGAGACCAGGGAGCGAGAGCGAGATTGCCAATAATCTCAAACGACCAGTGGGCTCACCAAAGTCCGTTTTTGTCTTTGGACCTGAGCAATCGCCGTTCTAACTTGAGCCGAGGGTGAGTGTTCCCGAGTCCTGCCTTAGCATCCTGAGTACTATAGGTAGGGATCTATTTTGGCACCCTGGCGGCCTATTTTGACTCCTTGTGACACGGTTGTGATTTCTTGGAAAATTCGGCAAAGCAGGGAATCCGTGTTGGCTTCTCTTAATCCTGCACCGATTTTCCCAGGAGCCGAATTCGAATCCGACACTAAGCTTTATATTTAGCTCCAACACACACCTTTAAACCTCCGAAGATGCCGGGACGGTATCCGTTCTCGATCCCCTGTCAAACTTAAGAGGGTCTTTACTTGAGCCGATTTGGGTTACCTCTGGCTTGGTCTCTACATTAGTATGTTGCCTCCCCTCATCCTTAGACATGAGGCCTCCAACTAGCGCAGCTCTTCTCGCCATCTCTATTTTCCAGAATCAAGTTTGCAAAATGCCGCTAGTTGTCCGTCCCGTGGAGCATGCAGATGTGGCCCAGTGCATCGAGATCCGCGTTGCCAGCCTTGGATCTCTCGTCATTGGACGCCCACCGCCGTATCCAGGCTACGTCCAAGAGGCTGAAACCTCCGCCCACAGAGACCTTGACAAAAAAAGCCCCCATGTGCGCCATCTGAAAGTTGTGGATGCCGAGAACGAGGCGGAAGTGATCGCTTATGGGAAATGGGAGGTCTACCCTCGTGGGCGCCCAGACCTTGACAAGCTAGGCCAACCGATGGATGACGCAGACAAGCAGGTGGATCGGTACGGGATGTTGAGAGAGGCTGCTCATGAGTATTTTTGCAGTCGAAATGGGGTGATGGGAAAGCATCCGCATTTACGTAAGTCGTGATTTTTGTTACACAAAGTGATGAGCGAAAGAAGAGAGGAGAGCAAAAAGATCTCAAAGTTTACAGCTTCAAACACACAGTCTTGGCTCTCTTGGTGACAGACAGCCAGCACAGACAACGAGGTGCTGGTAGCCTGTTATACAATGGGGGGTTGAGCAGTCAGGTGCAACTGGTCTTCCTTGCTATCTTCAGGCTTCTGAACAAGGACGGCGCTTGTATGAACACTATGGATTTCAAGAGATCGATACGGTCGAGTACAATCTTTCGGACTATGGACTAGAAGGAGTTGAGAAAATGACGGAGATGTTAAGAGAACCGGGTACAAAGTCTGCAGCTGAGGCCTCAATTTAGGGCAAGCTATACATCAACTATCTTCACTTATTATATTAGTATATATGGAATCTTAGTTTAAGCAATCCCTGTCGCATGACAGGTGATGTAATCGTCAGGCTGTCGACGCTGAGCAATTGATTGAATAGTGCGCTGAATACTGACGCTTGCCTGGACCCGGCAATTTGTGTAACTTGTAGAGGTGTAAATGAAAAGGAAGTACAAATTGGGTATCATTATTAATCTATGAACGCGTTCCTCGCCGTTACCAAGTAATCAACGCCTCCCTGATATCCAGCTTAGTGTACGGATTCCTCACACCCTTGCAATACTTGATCACGCATTCCTTGTCCTCCAACACAGGAACCTTATTCAGAATACAAATCCTCGCCGACGCAGGGATTTCCCTGGCGCAAGAAACTTCTCCCAGTCCAGCTTCCTCCTCCGCAATAACATACCTTGCAATCGCAGCCAGCATCGCCGAATCCCACATTCCCTCCCTCCTCGGTGAGTCTTCAAGAAGTTCCAGTGCTCTGCGTCGGAGTTTAGGATCTCGGCATCGCGTTGAACAGTAATGCAGTGGTGGCAGGATATTCATCTCGAAGGAGTAAAACGGCGTGTTCTTGTTTCTGGCAGTTGACTGGGACTTAATGAGGGACTCTGCTAACGTGATGACGCGTTCGAATTCAGGGATGTATTTGTCGTATTCCAGGTCGTGGTTGTAGAGCGACGCAGCTTTGATAATCGTAGTGCTGGTGTACAGAATTTTGAGCATCAGGGCGCCACGGATATCCTTGGTGTCCAAGTTGGGATTCTCTTTCAAGTAGAGATTCAGTGCATCAAGCCATTGTTGCAGGATACGGCTATGTTGTGTCTCGATCTTCAGAATTTTCTTCAGCACCACGCCTGGAATCTTGGGGATCGGATCGTCAGGTGAGGACGGTGGAGGACCAAAATTCGATTGCGCCATCGGATTGTTCACCATCCAGTACATCATGTTGTGTGCCCCATTGTTGCAGTAAAGCATCCAGTGTACTAGATCAGCCAAGTGGGTGTTGGCGTCACTCAGAGATGTAAATCGCGTGGGCATATTTGGTTCCGCAGTACTCGAGCAAGGGTTCACTTCTCTGAGTGATCTTGAAGTAAGATATGTCGTCGCTTGTATATCGAGTCGTGTGAATAGAGGAACAAGCTCCTCTTCGAGAAATTGTCTGGTAGGCCGGGATACACAGTCGGAGCTGAGCACTGGCTGGTGCTCGTCATCATCATGGAGCCAGGATGCTAAAATCTTCAGCCCACTTTCAAGATGTATCAGAGCTGCCTCGTGATTGCCTTGGAAGGTTTCGAGGCATATGAAAAGTATGCAGGATAGGAGAACTGATTCCCCGGATTGAGGCGCTCGTAAATAGCCGATGGCTTTGTTGGATTGCTGAAGGGCAAATTGTTGTCGTGTGACTCCGCCCCGTCTCAAGTGTCCTGGAGATTCTCCTCCATAGTTTTCGTGAGCAGAGCCGAGAGCAACGACTGCATGGAAAATCGTCGGATCATTATGGCTGGCTTGGAGAATCAACTTGTTCCAAAAATCTGATGGCAAAAACCCCGCTATCTCGGAGGCTGTCTTGGTAAAGAAATATTGATAAGCTCGTCGCTCCTGGTCGTCACTGCATGGGAAACTGAATGGGAGACGGGCGATCGGATCTAGGAATACATTGCGATCGAGAGGCACCAGAACGTCCTTCCCTCTCCCTTCATAGCCATCACATTTCCGTCCGGTTTTGGTACATTTCAGGCACGCAGGAAAGCCTTCATCGCACTTCACACGTCGCTTCCTTAATCCAGGTTAGCCAGTGGAACGCGCGTCACGGAAAGGGAGATGGAATAGCAACACGAACTTGCATGTCCAGCAGCCCGTCTTCACCTTGGGCGCTCGCGCCCGTCTCTTTACTACCGGGACAGTCCGAGGAGATTTCATGGGATCGAGTATCGTGCTATCAATCAACTCCCAGCAGATGTCGGGGGGAGCGGTGAGGTACCCTTGTACCTTAAGCTTAAATCACTCTGCCGCATGTGAAATGAGGAGGTTGCAGGGTAGTGCGGGGGTCAGCTGAGAATTGGGAAATATTGAAATGGAGACGAGCCAATCATCCTGTGGGCAAACGCACCGTTGCTGTTTTGATATGCATTGCCAGGGGCGTCGATCCTCCTCTGATGTAGCTCGCCCGCCTAACCTCGATTGGCGGATGAATTTGGGGGCCACGCCTGAAGTTCCCTCGCGAAGGAGAGAAGGAACGGGCTGATAAGGCTGGCGGAAAAGCCCCAAGAAGCCCCTCTATTTTTAAGCTTAATTGCGCTCCACGGTGGAGCCCTTGGCATAAGACGTGTGGAGGACTGCCAGCCACAAGAGCTTGGGGTACTGGCCCAAGGCGGAGGATCTTCGCCTGACACGCTGCATATATTGATGAAACAGGTTATTTGTAGCTACAGACCAGGAAGAATGGTTCCTTGCGGGCAAGAGAGTGAGTGAGTGCAACTATAACCCACGAATACTAGTAATTCCAACAGGGAGGTTCACGTTTTCGGCCACGCCTCCGTCCTTCCCTGGCCCGGATCTCGCTTACTCACGGCCACCTCAGTCTGTCCGATCCGCTAAATTATGTACGGAAGTACTCTATGTCGTTTGGTGCCAATCGGGGAGCCGCAAAAGCTCCGCTGTGTAAGGATACTAGACACAGTGGTGTGGGAGTGCAACGATTTGCTCGAACACATTTACTAGTCGAGGGAACTCCCCTAGTTACCACAATAGGACTGAGCAATCAGGTGACAAGCCGAAGTATGTTAAAGAACCATGGCCTGTAAGAGGTAAAGAGCGGTTACAACATGAGTTGCAAGCAGCACCAGTCTCTGTCTCCTTTCATCATTCGCATTTCTTCGCAAATGTCACCTTGGTATATGCCAGACAGAAACCTGCTCGCTCAATGTTCCTAGAACTAACATTGGCAGGTCGAGCCCCGCTAGAGGCAATACCAAAACCTGCTCTTCTTGCATCAGATAGTCGTGCACGTAGTAGGGCAACTTGAACTCCTCGTCCTCGATACTCGGGCAAGGTACTGTCAATATACAGATGGGCAACTCCTCCTTTTGACGTCTCGATCAGAGCAAGACCCGCGGATCCCGCAATTTTTCCATCGATAGTTGCGAAATATATACGTGTGTCTGCTCGTGATGCTGCTATGCGAGCAAGCGTCTTAAGAAGCAATTCTGGTCGCCCGCCGTCACTGTATCCCGCCAACGAGATGTCGGGGAACTCGCCAAGGCGTTCAGAATTGACTCTAGATATCTTGATCCTCGAAGCCTCCAAGCTACCTGCTCCCACTAGATCGTTATCTGTGAGAATTCGAACATAGTTGTTGATGAATCCATTGACGGTGTATCCATGAGTAGACAAGACTGGAAGTGTCGATGCATCGGCATGTGGGCAGAGGTCAATTTCGGTATCGATGCCCTTATTCGAATATGACTTCTCGATAGCCACAAGTTCTTCACTAGAGACTGTCCCTCCCACCCCAAAGCCAACGATATGATTCAGTTTGCGTCCAAACGAAGGTAAAGTGAATCCTGCTACACCCCCACCAACGGACAGCGCGGAAATGTCTTGGCCTGGAAAGAGTTGACTGCATGCTTCCACTTGCCGAGTCAAGTGAAGCACATCTGCCTCTTCAAGCCTCTGAGCCATTTCGACTGTGGTGAGCATCATCATTACTTTAGAGGGCGGGGAAGGGAACGCTTAGCAAGAGGGTTCGTTCGTTTTCGGAAATTTGAAGCCAAGTTGTGATGTGGTGTTACGCAGGTGGCTGAAAGTAATTGTTTATGGACACAACATGAGCGGAGACACAGAAAGTCCTGTGCATTGAAGTGAGTCATCGTGCAACAGAACTTAGTATGGCTAAACCGCCGGTATCGGAGCATATATTTATGACAGACACGCATGGCCAACTGTTGGCCTGTTGAAATAGCTCTCAACTTGGACTATCCTGTGTAAAACCCTTTCAATTACAAACCTCGAGTGCTCACACCCTAGGAATAATTTAAAACTTGAGCCATTGATTGATGGAGCATCGACCAGGTGGTAAATTGATGTTAATCTTGATAATGTCCAAGTCATGTACAGAAGTCTCGAAAGCCCTGTTGATATAAGTTTTGAGATTTGCTGCATCATTTAACAGGGAATTTATCAAGCACGAATTAGTTCAGATGCATAATTGTTGTTCATCCATCCCCCACTAGCCGTTTCGCTGGCCCAAATAATGCCCCCAGAACACTTCAAATTTTCAAGTATTCGTCATCACCCAAAGCTCTCTTATGATAAAACAATTCCTATTTCGGTACCTCTAATTGTAATATTTTGACTCTTTTTGATCATAAATAGGGGCCGTGTTCTACAAATTTGAAGGGTTTAGGGTTACGGTTAATGTCGGAAGCGAAGCACAGAATTACGGAATAGTGAATTAGGGACCATTCTCCAGTCAAATAAGCCAGATAGATACAATGCGGCAAAATTTTCATTACTTTATTCCGCTCTGCAAGCCGAGGGACCCCGGACAACGGCGAAGATGTGCTCTGGGGGAGGCTCCTGCTTCGCTTAATTTATATCCCGCACCTTTTGAGGTCCAGCACTCGGTACCTTAGAAATACAGGGGCTTCAAGGGACAGGTCCCGGCACAGACCCCTCTAGTTTGGTCGCACTGGTGCTGCGATCCACTAACTCGTCGCCCCGCTCCTGGTATATTTTCAACCGCATGGAAGCAGCTCGCCTCGCACTCTGTTTACTTCCTAGTCGGAACACTGGATGTGAAGGAGTCGGAGGACCATGGCCAATCGTGAACATGAGGCTGCGAAGATTGCGGTGGGGGCTTAGCCTCCAGCCACCAGTGGCAGTGCCAACTCGATGGGGATGACCACCCACCTTCAAACCCGCAGCAAATTTGTTGGGACAGTGATTATTCTTTCAACTCTTCTCTTCAATTGACAGGGACTTGTCTCAGGGAGCTTCACGTCCCCCTTTTGCCAGAATGCGTCTTATCAACACATCCACTCTCACGCTGGAGATGTTCTTTGGCAAGGCTGTGCCAGATTATGCGATCCTCTCTCACAGATGGAATGATGTCGAAGTGTCATTCCAAGACTTGCAAGACGGTGAAGGCGAAAAAATGGCCGCGTACTCCAAGATACAGAGGTGCTGTGCTCAGGCACAGTTAGATGGGTGGCAATACGCTTGGATTGATTCCTGTTGTATTGACAAAACGAGCAGTGCTGAGTAGGACGAGCCATTCTCTATTTCTCAAACTTGATCTATTATCCTCTTACACCCTTTTCGTCTCGTTCCTAACAAGGAGTCCCTTGACCGACTGAAGAGGCGTTAAGCTATCTCATTCTTCTTCTTGTTATCGTCTCTTGAAGGCAATTGCTGACTGATCGATTGTGCAGGCTCTCAGAAGCCATTAATTCCATGTATTCATGGTACAAGGAGTCACAAGTATGCTATGCATATTTGGCCGACGTCAGGAGAGGAGAAACTCTTCAGGACGACTTGAGGGGAGGCAACTGGTTTACAAGAGGCTGGACTCTACAAGAGCTTCTCGCGCCTTCATCGGTTGTTTTCTTCGATACAAACTGGAACGATGTTGGTACAAAGGGAAGCTTGGTGGATATTATCTCAGAGATTACTGGGATCGATGATTTTGTCAACTTCGAAGGAGCCTGTGTGGCCAAAAAAATGTCCTGGGTGGCCAAAAGAGAAACTACAAGAGTTGAGGATATGGCATACTGTCTTTTGGGCCTGTTTAATGTGAATATGCCACCTCTTTACGGAGAAGGAGAGAGGTCTTTCATGAGACTACAACTGGAAATCTTGAGGACTTCGGATGACGAATCCATCTTTGCATGGGATGCGGGATATGACTCGTGGGATCACGAGGGTTCTGTGGATACGCTCCAGAATCTCAATTCTGGGCTCCTAGCAACGACACCCAAATACTTCATGAATTTGGGCAGCATCAGGCCACTGAAACGAACGGATCGCGGTAATGATCTTTTCAGCGGAGACGCCCAGCCCTTCTCAATAACCAATAAGGGTTTGCATATATCATTAGTTCTGATTCAGGCTCGTAGATCTGACGAAGGCCTCTTCTTAGCCCCTTTAAAATGTTTATGGGCTGGCAAGAATGGAGAAGAGGATCTTATTCCAACAGTACAGCTGCGGAAATCAGTGGAAGGAGTCGAGATATACACGCGCGTGGCAAGATTTACGAGTCGATCCGGAAGTTTTGAAAATTTGTTGATGCTAAACTATGATGATATAAACCTCAAACGGCGATCATCAAACAGACTCTCGCACAAATACATTTATGTCAACAAAGGACGAAGCTATCAACTCAAGCGTTCACTAAACATAAAGGGTTGGGAGTTTTTTGTCAAATTGTCGTCTCTGAAAGACCACGGGTTTGCGATATCCCAATATGATCAACTGGACTTAAAACTCAATCCAGAGGATTCGGTGGACGAAGCAAGATTGGTTATCAAATGCTTCCATGGAATCGTTGCTGGACTTCGGTTTGTAAACGGAACTGGAGAAACCATCGTCTTGGCCATAATCGTTGAAAATGGTTACGCCCCTTCCTTATTAATGCTAACACCAGACTCGAATGAGAAACTTGAGAATATTACAAGTTCTCTCTTTGACTTATGTGTTGGGACTACTTCAATTGCATCGAACGTCGGCTCGGTAGTCGCGGCATGCACAATGACTCATACTGCATCGTCTGGTTCCGAAAATACTGGCGAAATTGAGAGCTATGTGCCTCATCAAAGTCCTCCTCTGGATCGCATGTCACGACATCTGAGGAATGGAAAGTCGGTATCTGCATGTCTAAAGCACGTAACCGCCGATGGTGGTCGCCAGCAATTTTGGATAGACATTGTAATTGATGTGCAAGATGCCTTAAGATGGCCAGCTCCCGAGTGGACAAAAAGCTTGCTTCTATCAATGGCAATGAAGAATATGAAAGGAGAAAAGCAATTCTCTGGTGCCAAGACTGCCGAATCGACCAAGGAGCACCGTCGACGACGTAGAACAGCACCGGTTTCGACAACTCAGCATGCAGTTTCTGAAAAAAGAAGGGAGAAAGGAGGCAGATTTGCACGAGACGATCGATCTAGGAGTAGAGGACGGAAGAGAGACGACCGAATAATGGAAATGCCAAACAGGCCTGTTTACAGGAGGGAAGTGAGTCGGGATTATATGCAACCAGAAAGCCAAGAGTATAGCCAGGGCACTGGGAAGGAGAGAAACAGAGAAAGAAGAACTTATCATAGTTCTGGGCGTTCTGGGAGCAAAGTGAGGGTCGAGCGGGAGTGGACAAGAGAAAAGAGAGTGTCGAAGAACGGGAGGCTATTATGAGGGAAGATGAATAGTGAGCTGTTACGAAGATCACGGCATAAAGTGACGGGATTACAAGGTATTTGTACTTTAACGGCACTTCGGTGTCTGTTTCTAGCGCACTCAGTTACTAAATTGCCCTATAATTCTAGGCCATTACCCTAAAACACGCTATAAGACAGGAGCGAGGGGTACTATACCTTTTTGGGGCTTCTCCCTTGTACTTAGAAGGAATACCTCGCTAAAGAGCCCTATTATAATACCAGTTTAGCGTCCAAGCACTATTGTTGCTCTATTAGTAGCGATATTTACCCCTAGAGATCTTCTCATACCTTGCGAATGTCTTATAGCGCCTCTTGAGATCTGCTTAGGGCGTACGGCCTAGAGTCATAGGGCTTATAGCGGGCTCAGCCCCCTAATTTTTGCCCTTGGGATGCCAAAGGGCCAAATACCCTGTAATCCAGTTACTTCATCTGTGATCTTCGTACAGCCAATCCTTGATGGATCACAGAAATCTGGTGGTGTCGGCAATCTTGCTACAATTAGGGGATGTAAATATCTCTCTAAACTGCGAATGTCTCTTTGACTACTCAGAGAACGAGCCTGAATGGTTGGATCACCGCTTAGGTACAAACTTTGTGGCAATTTTGCTTTGCAAATGGAATTCGGATTCCTCAGAAGCAGGCTCGAGGTGGTTCAGAACTTCAGACTGATCTTGAAGCCGTAAGGGCTTGCCCCGAGTGTGTAATTCATACGCGTCGGTCTTTCCCTAGGACCCCAAAGTAAGATGCCGTTGACAGGATGGGTACGCCGAGAATTCGTCATCAATTGAGAGGGCGAATACTGTTGTGCCGAGCGTGAGGGACGATTAAAATAGGACTGAAGAAAATCGAGGAAGGAGTTCGAGAGGTTCAGGGATTTAATACAGAGCTTGTCTTCCCGGAATAGCGGCCAATGGAAGTTAGAAACGTTGAAAATGCCCATGTATTGAATCTAAAATTCTATTCATTCGCGTCTATTCTGAGTCTACACCTCGTTTCTATCCATCAGATCCGATTCGTCCTCATCAAACATGGCGTCGACTTCAGCCAGCTTCACCGAGCCAGCAGGAAGCTTCACAAAGCACAGCCCAACCGTGGCTAGAGCAGCAATCGATGCGAGCCAGAAATATGGTAATCCCAACCATAGCCCTTTCAGCTTCATTCCTGTGGCGAAAAACCAAGCTAGTGACGGCCCTGCATATATCATGCCAATCGTCTCAACGACGCCAATCAAAACATAAAGACTCGAGGTGTGGCGGGAGTCGACGAAAGAGGTTGCAAGCGACCTGCACAGCGGGGAGAGGCCATCGCCAAGGGTAGCGATCACAACGCCCGAGATGACAGTCGGGATATTAAAACAGCCTAGAAGAACTGCTCCAATAGTGGTGGCAAGTATCGAGAATTGGGCCAGGGCAAGATCCTTTCTTGCGACAGTCATGCGAACCGAGGGAGAGAGGAGGAGCTTCGACAGTAATGGAAGTGCAACCAGGAGCATGAAGATACTGACAGCGCCGCGCAATGCTAGGAGATATCCGGTTTTAGCCAGGTCCCAGTCGAAGCGCTTGCTAAAGTATTGTACGAAGAATTGGCCTCTGGCTGTGATGCTGGGGAAGTGGAGGAGGTAGGTAAGGATGATCAAGACCAGCGACACAGACTTGAACATGGAAAGGCATCTGACTCCATGCATGAAACCCTCTCGTATCTGGGATTTTGCAGACGAGATAAACGTTTCCTCTTCTAAAGTGGCATCCTTGTGGCTGTCGGGCTTTGCTTGTAAGGTTTCTGGAATGAATATCATGACGCTTGTCCCCAGAGGTATCATCACGTAGGCGATCAGCAGTGGCCTCCAGGCTGAAAAGGTCATCATAAGCTTGGACGCTACGAGTGCTCCCAGCATGGTTCCAGTTAGATATGCAACCGACATGAGGAAGAAAGCCGACGCTCTGGTATGATCAATCAGTGCAGGCTCAAACACGATTTCGTGGTAAACACACCTATTCGCATCTGGCTCCACGTCTGCAGCAAGGGCGTACAATACGGCGATCACAACGGTATATCCCCCACCAACCAAGAGGAACGCTGGGGCAACAACGATGAACTGTACGGGTATCGTATGCCAAAACCGAAGGATGCAAAAAGTCCATGTGACATTCAGCATAGTTCCGCCCAAGCAAAGGAAGAACACAGGCTTGCGCCCAATTCTGGAACGCGCATGGAATTAGTTGAGCGCATTCGATTCATTTCATCTGATTTCGACTGGCGGTTGACGTGCACCATTAAAAAGAAATGGCGAAATGGGAATGGTGAAAGTGAATTTGGCATACCTATCAGAGAGAACACCATAGGGGAAAGCAACAATCAATCCTGCATACCTTAGCACTAAAAATACCAGTTGATTCGGTCCTGCTAACCGAAAACAGCTTCCAGCATGGAAACGATGCCGTTCAAATAAGCAAGCTGAGATTGGATCTCATCTTTCTTGCATAATTTTTCATCGATATCTGCTTGCCCTTCTACGTCATAATGTTTACGACAAATCGCGTCCTCTAGGATCCGAGTCGTGGGTACAATCATTAAGCTGCTAGCCGTACTGAGTATGAGGATCAGGAGGGAAAGGAGAAGCGCAATCGTTCGCGGTCGTTGTACCTGAAACCAGTACTTCGAAGGTGTCGGATGATCCTCATCCATTTCCGCCAGCATGGGAATTGCCTCTTCCGACAGGGTATCATCTGAGGCCATGTTCAGAGATTGCAGGATGTGACGCGACAAAGGTGACTCCAGGTGTTGTGGTACTCTTATCGTGAGAATTGAAGTCCAGGACGAAGTATATATTTCGCTGCCTGAAATCTATCGTCAGCCTGAGCTGTGATCGGCGAGGCGGAACTCCACTATTTTGCTTATTTCCTGCGGATTTGTGCCCAATTACAGACCCCAGTATTTCGTGCAAATGGCGACCTTCCGAAACTATCAATTTAAGTGGATTCTTCGTTGTCTCACATAATTGTCAACCTTGTCGATTGCCGGATGACCGACGGTAGTTCTAGGCCAATGAGGTAATGTTCGCTCGCTTGCTTCGGCTTGGTTCGGCTGCGTTTCAGGGGCTCAGGTTAGCCAAATAGAGGGGCCGGAGGGAAAATCGATGTTGAAATTATGCGACGATAGAACTGGCAAGACAACCTCCCTGGATAATCAGAAAGTACTGAACTTGAGAAGGGAAGGATGACAGCTCTTATCGACAGGATCGCCTAGACTTCTCGGTAACACTTACACAGCATTGGGGCGGAAACCTGCATCGATCAGCTGGCACACAGGAGATCAGGAGGTCAGGAAACCCTTGACCTCTTGGTTCTGCAGTAAATGTCGCATCTGGGAACCTTAACATCTAAGCTTCATTTGGAAACGGCGAATACGCAGTACGGTAGGGGCTCTATGAGCTTTTTAAACCCTTGTCAAGCCTATTCCACATGGGCAAGCGCCTTGCCCAAATCGTTAAGTCGCCCATCGCCCAAAAGGCAAATCATATATTCCCTAATTATAAATCAATACCTACACCATTTGACGTCTCCAAAATCTCGCAATAAATCTTTGATTACGTTTTAACACCCACTTCCCCAATACGGGCTATCCGGGTTCAAATGATTTTGATCTTCTCGCTTCTGCCATGTGAACTCAATTAATGTCATTGGGAACTCTCCAAAGACATTGTTTACTTAAGAAAGAAAAATCCCCCGATGCCAGCCTCATTTCAAGAGTACGTCCTGTATTCTGCACCTGGGCCATCGCAGAATTGCTACTACTTGAGTACTACTCTCAAAACCCTGAATTTCCCAGTTTGTGAATTTATCCTTGGCGAACTGTCAATTGTAGCCAAATGGAGTTCATTGCTCAATAGGAAGCAGTTGACTTAGTCTCTGAACCGCTTCATATCTTTGATGGAAGGGTGGATGGCAGAGTCCCAAGGCGGATGTAAAATATCGGGCGACGTGAGTAAGGAGACGTTCGAGTGGCAACAGAGGTTTACCCAGTTCGCATATACTGACCATTACTGGGTACCGAAGATGGAAAAATGAAACAGGGTTGCAGTGTAGAAAAGCGATGTGACGGATGATCACTTGCTGAGCACTTCGAATAGAGTACGCAGATGGGACAAAGTTGAGGCGGAACAGTTTACGAGTCCCAGCACGTTTCACGGTTACTTCTATATGGTTGTTTACATCGGAAAAGACATTCATACTACAATTCTAGTCTCTAATTAGAGGCTAAACTATATAGAAGTCGATTACCTCGTGAGAACTAAAAAAGCTGTGGCGGTAAATTGATGTTGCTGGCGGGGTTATGGCCACCACAGCGCTGCTAATGAAGTGGTAGGACAGTTGCGAAGGACGTAGAAAGCTATGACACTTCGAGCCCTTCATAACACAGAAAAAACATCCTGATCTGATATCCTCATCCCATCGAACTATCCACAATATTGTGCCATCGTGGTTGACAACGAATTGTTTCAGTGGTGTGGACGAAATGCTAACTAGGAGAGCTCGGCGAGCGGTTGTTGAAGTACTAGGTCCATCTCTTATTCCATCCCTAGCCTTAGCCGTCGATATTGGAGCGCTGGTCAGACGTCGAAACAATCTTTCCATGTTCACAGCAAGGGTCCGGTACGTGCAATCATAAGATACCGAACCCACGAGCTGAGTAATGGAAGCTGCTACATCCCTCCACATTGGTCCTAAACCAGCGCCTTCTAGTTGAAATATTTCGGACAGTACTTCCGATTGACCTTGCATCTGATTCTCTAAATGATCCGGGACCTTAATGGCCGTTATTCTAGGGACCGTAAAGTGCGACCCAAGGCCCACCACTTGGCCTTCATGACAAAGTCTTCCTCAAGGAATACGACGTCATCTTTGGGGATTTTTAAAACTCTTCTTTCGATGCGTTCCAGGTAATGAAGTTGCAGTAACGCAACTCAGGAGACCATGACGGGACTCTAACGAAGTTGTATCCCAATTTACTAAGATCGCCAGTATGTTATATTAGAAATGTGATATGGCGGCGTGAGATAGTTTGAAAAGGTACGGAGATTGCGGCATAAAGTGACGGGATTACCAGGCATTTGTACCGCAAGTTCACTTTCAGGCAACTTTCTACCACACTCACCCACTAAAGTTCCCTATATTTCCAGGCTACCCACCCGTAAGCACACTATAAACTATAAACAACGGGTACCACACCTTTACGAGCCCGGCCTCAAAAGTCCGTGTTTTTAGCGATATTTTCAGGCATCGCAAAACCAAAGTCTCCCACTTCACTTGACAAATATACAACAACTATTAATTGTGACCTATTATAATTTACATACATATAATTAAAGAAGCTAGAGTGGGTTTTAAAACTCTTTTAAAGCGATTTAGAGAATAAGATAAAAGGCACAAAATTGGGTTTGGCATTCGCTTCTTAGCGAAATGCCCTAAAAACACGGACTTTTGAGGGTGGGCTCGTTAGAAGACATATCCCCTGTACTTATAGGGGAAGGGTCGCTAATGGACCTCTCATGGCGCCCAAGCGCTGTGGTTGCTTTGCCAGCAACAAATAACCCTTGAAGATCTTCTATGACCCTGTAAATGTCTCACAGCCCTTGTTTTAGGACTTCAGGCCTAGAATTAGAAGGCTTATAGCGGGCGTAGTACCTTAAACCACACCCTGGAGCCCGCCAAGACCCCTACGCGAGCATAAATGCCCTGTAATCCCGTCACTTTATGCCGCAATCTTCGTAGAGTACCAGGGTCAAAATACCTTATATTCCCGATATTTAATGTTGCCTCCTTTGTATATGAATAAAGTCTATTCGCGAATAAATAAAATTCATGGTTGGGCTGGGACACACCTTTAAATAAATATAAAAAGGGGAATTCTATTAATTATTACAACCTTTTCTAAACATTAAACGCCAACTTCAACCTAACTATTTTTTTATGTTTCTAATGTTTAAAACAGGACCTCCTAAAGCAATCTTGATACGAAATCTGACTAGTAAACAACCACCGAGAATGACAACCGAGCCTTACAATGAGCGCCGTCAAAAATATTAATTGTTCCTTCCTAAGTCGTACACTTAGGACCTGAGCGTGCCTCTCGTCGATCATTGAGCCCTAGCCAATTACAGGGTAGCTTGATTGATTGTTAGATCGAGCGATCTGACGGCTTTGTCTTGGATTTAGGAATTTGGTTTAGAAGGTGGTGACGGCGGGGGTCGCGTTCTCAGTGACTCCCGTTTTGGTTAAGCTATTGGTTGTGAGCAGCGGTGTTTCAATAGAAATACAGAGAAGAAGGAGATATACATTTTTTGGCCCTGAGGTGTGGATCCAGGTTCAGTGCCGGGCATGGCTGCGCTGTTGGTTTCGTAAGTACAAGAAGATGAAAAACGGAGCAGGGAAGAGGCCTCACACTTGAGATAGAGCTACGACTCCAGGATTTGCAGTCACCGCTGCTGGTGCGCTGCAAATTTCGTGAGCATGATTTACATTTTGAAGGGGAGGGTGCCCGTACATCACGGGTCCTCCAATCGGACCAAAATTCCTTGTTGGGGATGGGCAGCTGATCCCGTTAGCAGAGGTGAAGTAAAAATAAGGGAAATTAGAGAGTACCCGCTAGAACTAGGTCCGCGATATTGCCTAGTGCTATTCATGTTGTTAGTATTCTCATGTTTGGGGAGAGAGCGGAACCAACTGTTGGGATTGGGCGGTGGCTCCCCGTCGAGAACCCCAGATCTGGGATCCAGATGCCCATGGTATCTCGTGGCGAGCTGACATTGATGCTTGCGCCACGAAGGAGTTGGGTAACCGCTCTGCTGCTTGTTTGGGTGCCCGGAGTGCTGAAGACCGATGAGGATGAGAAGAACGCCAGTTGGAGCCTGTTTGATCGATAATTGTCAGCGTACAAAACGTCTGAGATCCGGTCAAATATTCAATGGAATAAAAGGAAGAATAACTTACTTGCTGAAGGACAGCTGACGGGGGTAGTTTGAGGTTGCCTGAAAGGGCGCTCATTGTTGGGCAGTTGTAGGTTTTGTGTGTGGCTATTTCCTAGGCCTCCCAATGGCCGCGGAGCACATTTAAAATCAGGGACTGGGACTTTCATTCCTTCAGGATAAGGCATATGTTGTGACCGAAGCTGCCCTCGCTGTTCTTTCTTTTTCCTTTCGAGTTCCTCCCTTTTGGCAGGGTCCAGCAGCTTCTTGGCTTCAGCTACAATCTTTCGACCACGGACCTCCATGCCATGCAACGTGACTATGGCTGCCCACGCCTCGCCAACATCCGCGAAGTTTGCAAAAGCCACGCCTTTGAATTCGTCACGGACAAAATGATAATTGAGAGCGTGGGGGAAGGTCATCCTCGTCTCCGCCATGATAGATTCCAGCTCCTCTTGTCGAAGATCGAAGGGGATGCTTTTGATAACAATAGCAGTGGGGATTATCTCATCACCATCTTGATCCAACCACCTGCCGTTCTCGTCTTGAAACATCATTGGGTCTTTCTTCGGTTGTCCACGATTGACTCGAGGATTTCTGGAGGTGCTTTGATGGCCGCTGGGAATGACGACATTCGGATTTTGTTCGAACCCTTCTCTTGTTGTATGAGCGCTGCTCGCGCTATGGCTCGAAAACTTGGGACCTATTCCACTCATTCCACTGTTCGCTTGGGAGCTGCCCATGTTTCCTTTTGGACTTTGGTGTATAACGTGATCATTGAAAAAACGGCTCGTGCCGTTCCCGGTCATTTCGTTAACCGGAGTCGTTGGAATCCGTTCATTCGATCTATCATCCATTTGAGTACTGTTCATCGTTTGGAAGCTTTTGAGCGCAGGTTGTTGGTTCCTGTAGTGGTCCGTATTTGGGGTTTCATCCATCGAGAGGTTGCATATTTCATTGTCCATATTTTCGAACCACTCATTCGCATTAGCCGTTAGGGAATTGCTCAATCCGTTGCCCTGAGCCTCGGACTGGTGTGTTATTCCGCCCGTTCCGTTCATGCAATGAAGATTAGTGTATAAATCCCCAAGTCCCGGGTCAGTTGCAAAGTTGCCGAAGAGATTGATTCCACCATTAACGTTGAGGTTATTCCGAACGCGCTGCTGTGCAATTTTTCCGACATTGCGCATCCCATTGCCTCTGGAAGAAATGCCAATCATTTCTCTGGAGTCGTTGCAGTTCATGTCGTTGCCACTTCGAGGCTTGGTTACTTTGCTAGTTCTGCCCTCGCCCGTGTTGTTATTTGATCCAAGGCTGGATGGGTTGTTGCTTGTATTGTTATTCATGTTCGTGTTCTTGTTCAAAGACCGTTGCGGAACCTGAAAATGAATTTGTAGAGTACAGTATTGAATTGTTTTGAGAGGTTTTTGATGTGGAACGAAGGAATGAGCCGGCGGAAATGTGGTCATATGTATGGCAGGTTATAGTTAAGCGAACTGAATATCAAGCGTTGGGGGAGCCATAGACTGATGTACTCATTAGTGCCAGTAGTGTGTCACTCAAGGATGGCTTGAATAGTTGAGACCAATCAGATACCCTCGGATCTCGGCCAGCATCGAAGATACTTGGGACCTAACTAAATCGGATCTACGATTTTGAAATGGACTTGAGGAAAGCAGCTTCTGGGACGGTCTGGCATTGATATGGTTTAACCACAAAATTACGCACGATAACTGTAAGACCGAAGCTGTGTAAGCTAGAAGCTACCAAGAATGGCATAAATTATAGAACTCCTAAGTCTGCCAATGGTGAGTGATGAGCGGCGTTCGCTTGCTCTATAAGGAGTATAGGGGCGGGAGCTAGGGCTGAGTATCCTAAACCGCACTCGTTATTATTAGTCGAGCATATACTCACCGGGCCGCAAATTCGCCCACATGCCGGATCTGGGACTCCTAGGCACTTCAGTAATGAATAAGAAATACCATACAAGTAATTTTGAGTTCTCACGTCGTCTCGGGTCCAATATAGATGGAAAGAATAGAAACGACGCATTGAGAGCAGTTTACGACTGCTGTAAACCTACTGCTCTACATCTCTATTCGCACTCGTTCTTGAGCCCGTATCGTATCCTCGGAATCTCTTTACTCAATCACCTTGATCAAACAATTCGACGCGGCGTCTCAAACAGTGTGTCAAAGGAATACTCAAACTACTTAAGTTACTTAAGTATATACTCAATGAGTATTGAGTAGAGTATAAGTAGGGCATATTTTGGCTGAGTATAGTATGAGTAGGACCCACTACTCTACTCTACTCTACTCATTTGACACACTGGTCTCAAATTTCTTTTTGGTCTGTGGCTTCGCAACAGCATTCTCGGGTATAGGCGACCACATTCTACCAGCTCGCCCCAATCGTCAGCTCTGTAATCATTCCCTTTCCACCGACTTCGATGCAGGAGAACATAACTATTCTATCGGATTTGTCATTGATCATTGGCCTATGGAACCATGCATGCCACGCCAGTGAAGCCATTCGACGGTGACAAAAACCGATATGGTTCCCTCGGCAATTTAACCTCCTATTCGACTAAGGTATAAGTGAAGCAAAAATAAGCGTCTCTAGATCCTATTTAGAGTTTTATGGGAAGTTGTAATAAGAATAGAGTAACTGATTGCGTGGCAGATGCTTGTAGCCGTGAAATAGGACGAATGGGGAGTATATTTTGCTACACAGATACCATCGACGATGATGACGCTATGCATGCTTACATCCAGAATATTTCAAATCCTGACATGCAATGACACTTCGAAAAAGCTACGGTGAGGAAAGCGGATTCCAATCCTCGGAATGAGACTTCGCAAACCGTGAAGAGTTTGTCAGTTAATAAAAATGAAGGAAGCACGAAGAAAGCCGGTTCGGGCGCGCGGGCCTAAACTTGTTGTAAAAGCTGGTATGGTGTGGCGGTTGGGTTTTTATAGAAATCTTTCAAGTGGTTGATGGGGGAAGTGGCATCCATTTCATGAAATCCTAACAGCAAGACGTGTCTACTTCCCCAGAAATCCGAATAGTGTGAATGAAGCAAGCATCCTAAAATGCAGCCGGATAACAATTCGACCTCGTATAGTTTCCACGTCTTATGTCATGACGGTTCCAAGAAATCCATCGTGTAACGACTAAGGGCCTGTTTCGCACCCTTCGAGTATTCGGATATCGCCGATATCGTAATACTAGTATCCTAATATTATGAATATTCGCGTTTCGCATTTTTTTGGAAACTGGAGTTAAATGCTAGTATTTAAATACCAGTATCTGCCCCTATACTAATCTCAGTATTTTCAGAACGACCTCTAGTAGGTCGTTCTGAAAATACTGAGAGTTGAACGCTCGGCCTTAGGCCACCATATGTACCTTAAACCCTACTTTTTAGGGGGTTTTCCATCCCATACCTGTATTTAATATTTAATTATACCTTCCTATACTATAACCATATTATTCTGGGACGAGTTTGATTATGAATTTGACTTAATTATTATATAAATCATACTTAATAATATCGAATACTAGAAGACAACCTACTATAATAAGATTCTAATATGAACCTCTCCCTGGAAAGGTTACTATAAGACCCTAAACCTTCTTAATTATAACCATTCACGCTGGTATCAAGAGTAATTACGCATACTAATTATAACCTTCAGGGAATTAATTATATTCTGCCAAGAGAATACCGAATTGCACTCATCTAAGTACGTCTCTATTAAGGAGAAGGTATATATTTTTATATATATTATTAGATAGCCTATATTAAATCGTAATATATAAGAGGAGTTCTCAAAATCAGGGGCAATAGTATTAAGGTATTTATTATAGGAATAATTTTATTATTATATTTCTAATAGTATAATAAATAGGATCTTCTATAAAGTACTTATAGCTCTAAATCTACTATTCGAGTATATAGTAAAATAACCTAATTCGGCCACAGAGATATATCCTCAAATTATATAAGACCCTTAATTCTCGCCTTATTTTAATAATTATATTAGTACCCTTAATAGAACCCATATTAATATATATCCAGGCGTTAAAGCACAAGCTCCTTTTAGGAATTACTATAGTTATCTTTCTTATAATATACTTACTACTTATTTATTTGATTTATAATTTACTTTTATATATCCTGGATAAGAGGGCTCTGCAAATAATTAGAGGATACTATAAGACGCTATTACGAGAGATAGCTTCCGTATTTCTAATAGTAGATTTTATCTTAGTAATACAGGATATATTAATACTAGGACTATTCTTACTCTATTTAGAAGAATAAGGTACTATCTATAGGAAGTTATTATTACTAGAGAGGTTCCTGAGATATATTAAGAACTCTTTAATTTATAGTACTTAATATTAAGAAATGAGATTAAGTATATCTTTAGTATCCTAAAGTAATACTTTCCTTTTCTAAAAACAGATATAGAGTATAATTTATTAATATAAATACATATTATCTTTACTATTTATATCTTATATAATTATATTCGTTAGTATAGTATTATAGTAGATAATATATTCGAGAATAGAGATAGCAAGATTAATAAACCAGAAGTGGCTAATAAGGAGGAAGCTCTACTAATTACGAGTTAAGGAATAGATACTTTTTGTAACCAGATTACTTAAGATATATTTGAGTAATAGCAAATATATTCTAGAAAGTAAACTAGTTGAAATCGCTATTAGCTATAGAATAATACGGGGTTATTTCATTAGGAAGAATACTTTATAACTCTACTACTATCTCTATATAGGTTTAAAGTATATTATAGCTATTTATTATTCTTATATAGGGCTTTTATTTAAACTACTTTATAAGTATTTTGGACTTTATTCTGATTTTTAATTTAGTATTATATAAGAGCCCCTAATATTTACCCTTGGCCCAAAATCTACTAGTAGCCTTAAAAAAAATCAAACTAGTTTTTTTTTAATAGTATTATAGCCCGGCTTCGGGGCTATCTTTTAGTATAATTTAAGCTATAGTTATAGTAGTAGTTATTAAGAAAACTTAGTTTCAAAAGAGGGTCTTAAAATTAAGCTATTATATAAGATAATTTGGTATAATATTATTAATTTACGAAAGCAGTATAGTACTTATAGGAGCTCCCGTACTAATTAGAAAATATTATTCAAACCTTAATTGACTTTGCTTTAGGCTTCTATATACTAGAGCCCCAATTTTCAGGGCATTATAAATAGCCTATATTAAGTTGAGATTTTTAATTTAACTACTAATAATTAGTCTTACTAATAATTTTAGTATTAGAAAGAATAAGTAAAGTATATTTAAATATACTAAAATTTATATTATTTCAATTAGTAATTATAAAAAAATCCTTATCTAAGTAAATTTGTACTTTATATAGCTAATATTAGGCTCAAAGCAGAGAATATACTACTAATCTCTTAAATTACTATATAACCATATCTTCCCAAAAATATCTAATTAAGGGAAAACATTCTTATTACTATCTATAAAGACTAGAAGAAAGGATATAACTAAAAGAAAAGGTATAGCCAAAGCCCCTAATTCTCCCCGTTATCCGATTCTTTAGGGGCGCTACTAGTACCTGAACTCCTATTATATTTGCTATTACTATCTCTAGCTATAAAAGCTTCTATAAGACTAGTAAATAAAATATACTTTTTACTCTAATTACCTTATTTCCATACTCTCCTGCTCTCTCTTTCCTTCTAAATAATATAAATAACCTATCTCTAATATTCTTTTAATATACCCTTAATTAAATTATATCTTATAGGGCTAACCTAAGTATTAAGAATATACCTAGTATAAGTAGATATAGAGCTTCTATATAACCGAGGAATATCTTCCTTAATAAAGTTCGAAAGACCTATCTATAACCTGAAATCAAGTTTATTAACCAAGTCTTAATATATCTTATAGATAATATCTATTATATATTAATATTCAGGGTATCTCAAGTCAAATTCCTCTTTCCTCTAGGCTAGTATTTCTCCTATTATATCCGTAATTTATATAGTTACTCCAGAAAGACTAATACCTATAGAGATCTTTACTCTCTTACCAGAAGCCCTCTTTTCTAGTCCCTGAGGGCAGGAATACTTGAATATACTAGCTTATACGAGTTAACTTAGTATAGGCATTAATAATAAAGATAATAATGGTTTCGGTATACCATAAGTATTACTAAATAGATCGTCTGCTTTATTATAATCTTTATTACCTGGAAGAAGTATACCTTCTGGATAGCGGTTCCTTTGGAGAATACCGTCTTCGTTAAGGAAGTCTTCTATAGTCGGTTTATTCTCAGGTGAAATAGGTGGTCTTTGGTTCGATTTCGCAGTAAGGGAAGCCGTAGTTCTCGCAGATTGAGTAGTATAAGCGTATTTACCGGTAGCTAATCGGGGTCCCAAAAGCTCTTTGATATCGGGTGCCCAGTAGTATATATGATTCCGAAACCAGGCGTAATCTGTCTTGTTTTTTTGGATCTAATAGAAAATCATCCCAGTATTCCTCTTTAGTCTATATTAATTATAGCTCTTCTTTCCATCTGAAACCAGTCAAAGCCTTAAGTGCGAACCATAGCTTGTATTTCTTCTTGAACTAGATATATAATTTATTAGTAAAATATTATAGAACCAGGAAAGTACGTACCCATTCGATCTTTCCTTTAATCTGCAAACCGGTAATAATATTAGTAGCAGGACTAATATTAAGGGAGACGTAAACGGGCTGTAATTCCACTGCCATAGATACAAAATCGATCTTTTTGAAGACGTTATCTGCCAGCTTCCCTCCCTCGATATAACGTTACATAATATTAATTAGTACAGTCTCTAGTTTATCTGGCCAGATTATGGAGAAGCTAGTTGGTTCGACGGTATTTGGGGCTTTCGCATTTGTAGTTTTCCGTGTACGTACTATAGTTGAATTAAGTTTAATGATTACAAAAGAAGGAAGCGATTAATAAATCAAGAGGTTTCAATTAGAAGGGGGAGATTAGGGGGCTGAAGAAGAGGCTCAATAGGCTAGCGGAGATTAGTTTGTACGCCCCGTAATTACAAGTGGATACTGAGTATCTACGACTTGAGAAACGGGTCTAAATTATACCGATACCAGCGTTCAATATCGAGCGTTGAACGCTAGAGTTCGATATTACTAATATCCGGTATCCAACTTGCGTGAGCCCGTGCGAAACAGGCCCTAATTTGACGTTAAGCTGGCAGCTGGGTCGAAAAGTGCAATAGCTTTGATGACAGCCTGAGTGTTCCCCAGGGGCGGCAAACCGGTTCAACAGTCCTCCTAGCAGAGCTTCCTCGGGAATAACAGAAGATGGGATTATATCGCCCTCTGAGATCGAATCAACTTTGGTATCACGTGAGGTGACATATTCCCTCATTCTTGTATAGCTCCTCTTTTATTTTCGGGCAGGCTTATATTAATATAACAAGATATAATTTGGAATATTGCGTACAAAGAGATTTGGGAGCCGTGTCTATTTTGAAAGCTCTAAAGAGGGTGTCTACTTGGAAAATGACAGTAGTTTGCCAGAAGCGGGGCGTTGAACTCTCAAGCTAACGACCATGATTCTCGAATCAACAACGGGACAACATTCCCTTTTTTAATCTGAAACATTTAACAAAATTCTCGGCGGGTAGCACTTGCCCATTCTGCTGGGGAAAAATTGTTTAAGAACAAATGATACTCCGAGCTCCTGGGAACATGCAAGTTCCGGATACACTCGGATATCCAAATGGACTCTGGCAGCCGTGCGGATATTCCGTACTCAACCACACACCTCTGATCAACAAAGAACTTGACAAGTCTATACTCTATTATACAATCACCACAGATTTTTATACACCTTCAAACACCTCCTCTCCAGCACCCTGGCAAACCTCACACTCGGCGCGTCAACCCGCTTCTCCACCTGGGCAGCGAGTGCCCAAACAATGGCCGTAAAGGCCCAAAACCAAACTGCACAAACTATCCAATAGACCAGTGTTCCGCTCTTCGGTACCACTCCAGTGACTGCCATCAATAATTCCGAAAACCTCAAACCAAAGAGAATCAAACAAAACTCGTGGACCAGGTACAATGAGAACGAGATCTTGCCTAGATATTGGCAGAAGTTCGTTTCGAACATGCCTTTGATAGGGAGCTGAGATATGGAGGCGAGAAGAGCGACGCCGGAGAGTGACCAGATGAAGCGGGAGTGGTCTTCCATAGCCAAGCTCATCGGGATGATTGCTCTTAGGACCTCGAAACCTGGCATAGGATTCTGCTTCGCTTCATCGTATACCAAGGTTGGAAACCCTGCGGCGTAGAACGCGACTGCGAAGATGGTTGTCCAGATGAGTCTGAATCTCGAAGGACGGTCAAGCGACGGAATAGTGTTGCTCTCCTCTTGGTCAAGGTTGAAATCCGCGATCAACATGCCGGAGGAGAAGCAGAAGATGTTCCAGCTCCCCATTTGCAGGGAGAAGATGGCATATATAGCGACCGACAGCATTCGAAGGCGGTTGCTTGGGATCCGTACCAGGAGAAGTAAGAGGGTGTACAGCACAAAGGAACCCCAGAACTCAATGGGGATGGTCCACAGCACGGCGTCATACTTCGGATGAACGATGATTCCTTGCATCGCCTTTTGAAAGGTATACAAGGGATTTATGAAGCCGTGCATATCTTTTAGCCAGTCCACAAACTGCGCTGAAAGAGTCGGCTCCGCCACGAACGAGAAGTTTAACGGGGGCGTGAAGCCAAAGCGGGTGGCTATCATTTCGCAGAATGTGAGGACCACAGGTGGGAGATACAATCTGAAGCCACGACGGAACATCGAAGAGGCGACGGCGGGGTAGATTTTGTCCTTCTTGCCTGTTCGCATCCATTTCAAAGACTTGTAGGTGAGGACATAGCCAGAGACAGCGAAGAAGACTGCCACCGCTGCCCCGCCAGAGACGAAGATCGTTCTAATGAGAGGAAGCTGAAAGATATTGTTTTGGTGTGTATCCGCGTGCCAGGCGGGGACGAGGGATGCCCAGAGGCCCATTGCGTGGAAGATATAAACTCCCAGAGCGGCCACTCCTCGGACGCCATCTAGCCATGATGTCGACTTTAATTCTAGAGAGCCTGGGGCTGGGTAGCCGAGGAATTTCTGGATCACGGGTGACTCTTCCAGTCTGTCGAGAAAGGAGCGTGACGAGGTATCGATGACTGATGTGGAACTGAGGCCCTCATAGCTTCGGGTTTGAGCTTCAAGATCGTAGGATTCGTCTCCTCCGGCGATCTTCTCATCAATACTGGGACGAGGGCTGGTGGGGGACATTCTGCAGCGATCCTGGCTTGAACCTCATGACCCTGACACCAAGTGAATGCGGTTGCCCCTTTTCCCGTGGCGCGTTGCAACCGTGGCCTCTTGGCCTTTGATGGGGATCCTGAAGCTGGAAAGGGCTCAAGTTCGTAGGTGCAGTCCGTATATATTGTATATATACACTCGAGAGTTGGAACGTACTAAATTATTGACAAACGGTCGAGGAGTTGTGTTTCTGAAACAGTGAAGAGAGTCGCGTCTGGGGAAAGCCACGTGAAGTTCCGAGGTGTGGAGTCGGATTACGTCATGCCGTCGTCCGGTTTTCTAACCAATCACTGATGGTACTTCCCCTTTTTATCTTCCTTGTATATTTCATTTTCTATGGCGGGGGAAGAAAGCACTCTGAATAGGTTTTACGACGAATAGCTCTTCGGCGCTTTTATTAAACTCGGATCAGTCTCTAATCTACATTGTAGGGGTGTTGGCATACTAAGGATGTTTACGCCAGAGCGCAATATGACACGCGGAATTTCCTGAATATAATAGTCGGACTTAACGTCGCGACTACTATATTACTTCCAGCGGAGGAAATAGGGGAAAAACTAAAACGAATCCTCCCCCCCCCCCGGGGGGGGGGGGGGGGGATGGGGGCGTCGATTGGGGCAGGGGTATTGACGACTTGTAATTGGCTACCTAAGCTCTTTAAAAATCTTAAGTTAGATTTTTCAATAGTAGTATAAGCTAGTATATTATAACCCTTGATTTGAGCGTTAAGATTTGAGGGCATACGACGTCTCTCTCAGCACACCATTGCGTCAATATGCCATCTAGACGTCCGTATCCTGATCTTGATACGGCCATATCTTCGCCGCTTTCTCCGCATCTTCCTCAGCCCCGGAAATAAAGGAGTCCCTAGGCTCATCCACAGCGGTGCGGATTTCATCGAACCTACTGGGCTCCACCATCCCATCTGCAGGTAGTCCCCAATTATCTCGAAACAATCTCATTATTTCCGCAGCATCGCTCAGACTGTCTTCCTCGATCTCATGCAGTTTCAACTCCTGCTCGGTGAAGCTCACTGGACAAGGTCCAGCGTCTGGACAGAGGTCCTCCCATTGTCCAATTATTTCCAGCAGCGCCCTTCGAAGGAAGAACACATCGTGGTCCTCCCATACTCTAACAACTAGGCGTGATGGTTGCGTTCGCACTTCGAGACCTTGCTTTTGTAATTGGAGGGCAGCCCAATGCCTTGGATTCTCCCGCTGTGTCAAGCCTTTGTAACAGACGAAGGAGACTTCGGTCTTGTGGTCTGCTTCGATTTTTTCTTGCTCGTCTGCTTCGAGGGTGTCATAGTTGTCAGGAAGTTTCGGTATGGTATTCTCATTTGCAATTGGCCATGGACACAGAAACATTCGAGCGACGCCGCATTGGTAGAAAAAAGGCATAACGGAAGCTGATTGCCAATCAATTATGCGGGTAATTTTCTTCGAGTCCGGGTCAACAAAAACATTGTCAAGATGAAGGTCTGGGTGCCAAAGTGTGGGTGAGTGTGTGTCAACCGTTCCCAGGGGAGGAACCATAGATGAAGAGAGACGGAGATAACGGTTTAGCAGATCGAGAACTTCTTCAGGTAACTCGGGTTCGGTGAGGGATCGGTGGTAGTTCATGCGAGGACGGGCGTGCGTTGTGATATAACGCTTTGCGTTTGCAGCCATGGCTCCCACAAACTCAAGCGGCTCATTATCTGTGCTGTCAGAATAAGAGAAACAAGATAGTTCAATAGAGCGCACTCACATGGCCCTCTATGCATGTTCATACCAGCTCTTTTGCCACGCCAGAGCTCGCTCGAGACTAGCGGGCCTATTTCGAACGGCTCAAGTACCGAGGAGTGGATTTGCACACCAGTCATGACCTCCAGCTCGCTGGACAAATTCGCCGGGACGTCATCCTTGAAGTAGATGCAGCCTGATTTTGTAAAAGTCGTCGCAGCAAGCTTCTGCTCTATATCCACAATCTGCCGTATGATGTCAAGTCGGGAGTGCATCGGCCACTGATACCATAGGCTTCCAAGTGGCCTTCCCGGAGCCTTCTCCTCCAGAATATATTCTGCCCCGACTGGATTGTTTCAATCGGCACACCAGGCAATAATTCGCGGCGTAGGGATATTCAATGCATCGCGTAGCTAGTTGTACCAAAGTCGGGATTTGGCACAGATTCTTGGGTGGTGAGTGAACTGACGAATTGGCGAGTAGCTACTTCTGATGCTGTTGTATAGAAAGCAGGCCCGGCGATTGGATTCGGAAGCTTTGCAAAGAGTTCGGAGCCGTTGTCCATGGTGAGTATGTAAGCCTTATTGTTGAGTCCTTCACGACACTTGAGAACTCTCGTGCCTGGAATCAAAATCAGCAAAGAGTACGATACTCAGCTCTTACAGGGACGTACAATACCGAGCACCCTCATTTGAGACCGCCGAGACTGCCGCCTTCAGGAGTTGCTGAGAGTCGAATTTGAGATATCGTTCTCCAAGCTGTACAGATTCGTTGTATCTATGCGGAGTTAACAGTGAGGCTAGTATAATATGTAGGAGCGGACGTGCAACCAGCGATTCCTTGTGTATCTGTATAGCTGTTGTATCGCGCCATTCGTCACCTCACATTGCGGGTGCGCCAAGCCACTTCGCACGTGACATCTCGCCGCTCTACTCACCCTCGCTTCACCTCAACCTCATCCATCCTCACCCGCCCTCACCCACCCTCGCCAGGCCTCACCAGCCTTCTTGTGCCAAGTCCCTCGTCTCACCTCTACTCACCCGTCTTGCCTAAGTGTGCTAATCTCCGGTCGCGCGGCTATCGGGAGCATTTAACTCCTAGCGAGAAGGCAGTGCGAATTCTATATGCACCCACCTGGCATGTTGATGGTCGTAATGGCGTTGTCTGGAAACCATTCCCACCAGGCAATTTGCCCCAGGCCATTCTCAGTCAATGCTTGGCCGGTTCCTGCCTGGATAATTGTTCCGCAGTCACTACCAATGCCAACCCACTCAACCAAGTAGTAGGTCTCGCCTCCGGTTAGTGCACTTGTACCTGGAGGAGGGTAAATTCCAGGCACTCTCCAGTCAGCAATGATGGTAAGGAAATCCTGCGACGGGCGAATTCTGGATTGCGCCTGCCCAGTTCGTGGTTGTACTAATCGGACCTGACCGTTTCGATTGCGGAGCGGAATTATTGAGATGCTTTTTTCTGTCCATCCAATGCAATTCCTTCATGACGACGGGGACATCAACGCCGCTGTGGGTCATGTTGTAGGTTACTTGACTGGCTAAAGCGCAGGTGGAAAGGAGAAAAGGGTAGAAATCTTCACTATTGAGAGGCTATCGAAAAGTGATAGAAATGATCTCGGTGTTTGATGGATATTAGAGAATGAAAGATGTTCTACCGAAGACAGAACTCTTTATACCTTTCAACAGGTATGAGAAATTAGAGTAACTCCATGGGATAACATGCAACTTGACAGCTCAGTGATTCTAACTGCAGCTAGCTATTCTCGTCTGAGTTCTCAACCATCATCCCTCATCTTACTCTACTAAGTTTTGAAGTTGTGGAGAGCAAGAGATACCTTTAAGTCCAATGACAATCCAGAACTGACTCGGTGCAAACACTTCTCTAAGATAGACCTGCCTTCCCGATATGGATCCTGTTCTAGGTTCATCTGCTGTCCGGTGGAGAGTCAGCAGGCTGTTTCTCCTGGCCCCCAAAATAAGCTGTAACAGAAAATCTCTGGAATCAAGAGGGGATGTAAGGGTGTGGATTGAGAATAGAGAGAGAAACTAGCTAAGTAGACTCTGAAGCCTGACAAGGCAACCATGCGTCGCTAAGACTACTTCCGATTTCGCTCCTTCCACGGTAACCGCGTGCTTTCGGCCGCTGCTGTCAGGTCGCGGTTCGGGCCGCGACTAACGTTAGCGCAGAGTGAAGTTGGGGGTAAGCTCGTCACTTCTTTATATTATCGTACGTTTGGACCACCCTTAAGCGGTTGGCTCTCGGGGCTCCTGGAAAAAAACTGGTCACGTGAGGAATACCAGAATCGCCCCCTTCTAGGGAATCGCGCATCGGAACGCGATTACGTCTAAATCCTTAGAGCTTAGCTTAGGATTATAGAGAGAATACTCGAGTACCTTTCTCTATATTTTAGTAGTTCTGAGATGCGAGGGGCTTTTATTATAATTTTTTAAAGCTCGGGGGAAAATCTAAAGCTAGTGGTTCCGTAGAAGGCACTAAGAAAAGAAACCCTGACCTTATATTACTCTTCTCTCTTTCTTCTCTTTATTACTATGGATCCTCCCCGCTTTTATACTTCCTATAGGCAAAACCGGCCTGCTTCTGACTTTATTATAGAGCGGGCTAAGCTATATAAAACTTGCTTTTACTATTGAGTTTATATCCTTTCCTTTTTCTGGCTTAATTAACTAGTTAATAGGCCCGAAATATTACTAATTATACCTAGCGGTACCCTGCCTTATAATAACTCGATCCAAATACCCTTCCTATCTCCCGGTAATAATAATAGTTAATTACGAATATCTCTATAGACGAGCTAGCCCTATAGTACTAGTAACGAATCTATTAATTATCTATTATGGCTCTAGTTTATATTATAGAGAACCCTCCTACTAACCTACCTACTATATGGCCTCCTGCTTTCCTTTCCCGCTTCTGGCTAGCTCTTATATATATAACTAGTTTGCTTATAGGTTATTATATAGCTTATAAAGCCCTTTATTTTGGCTATATAAATAATTATTTTAAGGCCTATTATAAAAAGAGTAATATAATACTTTCTTTAATTTATAAGCTTCCTTTATATTTTTCTTACCTCTTTATAAATAATAACTTACTTTACTAGGCCTTCTAGATAAATATCCGGGTATATAATTATATTTTTACTTTTATATTAATTAGTTATAAGAAAAATACCCGGATTAACTTCTTTTATAGAATCTAGTACTTTTAGATTTATAATAAGCTTTTTTATTTCTAAGGCCTATTATAGCCTATTTTATATACTAAATTCTTCTTTATATAGCTCTTTTTTTATAATTCGCTCTTTATAACTAATATACGGGCTACTAACTTTCCTTACTTAGATTATATAGTTCTTTTATAGCTTATAAATATACTTACGAATTATAATCCATTTATTATAGTTTATAAGATAGCCTATAAATATCTTATAAGCTAGTAAACTAATTTCCGGATCTTACTTAACTTGTAAATATACTTAATTCTTAAGCCAGATACTAATTATTATTATAAGAATCTCCTAATAAGTAATAAGATTATAGCTCTTATCCTAAATAAGTATATAAATATAAGCTACTATAATCTAGTACTTATAGTTTATAAGATAGGCTATAAGTATTTATAAATATATATAATATATATATTATTTTATTATATCTTATTTTTCCTATATAATAACCCGGGCTAGTATTATAGTTTATAATTATAGGACTATAATAAGACTTATTAGTAAATATAGCTAGAGTAATAAGTCTTTTATTAATATTATTTTTATATTTATTTAGCTTTTTTCCTATTTTTTTATACTAGCTATTTTTTTTAGTAATATATTATTAATATATATATTACTTATAAGATTATTTTACTTAATTAGCTTTATTTATACTAGTAAAATATTTATATAAATATATATATAGAATTTATAAATACTCTAATTTATAAAAATATTTATATAAGTAATATTAGCTATTACTTTATTTTCTTATTAAGCTTTATAAGTAATAATTACTTTATATAATAGCTCTTTTAAGACTTAATAGCTATTATATAATATTTTAGTAAGCTAAGCTTTTTTATTATTTTTATAACTAATTTATATTAGTCTAAGATTATAGATTACCTCTTAAATAAATAATAAGCTATTAACTATTCGGATTTCCTTTATTAGATCTTTATATTAAAAGTAAGAAAGCTATTTATAGACCTAAAAAATTACTTTTTTGGATTATATATAGGCTATATATATATAATTAAGTATTAGAAATATAGCTTTCTATATATATATCTATTCTTATTTCTTAGGAAAAAAGCCGTTTTTTTAATTCCCGATTTAGTTAATAAAGTTATTTATACTAAGCTCTTAGATCTATTATAGAATCCTATAAGTAAACTTATAACTATAATAACTAGTTAGATATCTTATAGACTATATGGCCTTAAAAATAATCCAAAAGCCTTATATATAGTTTATAAGATACTTATAGCCTTACTTATATATTAGAAGAAGTTTCCTAAGATATTTATAATTATAATAATTATTTATAAGAATAAATATCCTGAATACTAGTACTAGAATAATAGTTATATATTTATAGTTTATAAACCAGGCTTTCTAGACTAGGAAATTATTTATAATAATTATTAGGTTATTTTATATAACTCGTATTTTCTTTAGAAGTTCTATTTTTATATTAATATTAAGATTTATATTTCTATATAAGTAATTAAGTATATTTATAAGTATATTTATAAAGAAATAAACTATATAATTATTATAGTCTCAGGAATAAATAATAAGATTATCTAATATTTTTAAGCTTAGTATATAGGCCTTATAGAGGCTTTTTAGTACTTATTTAAATATCTAATATATTAGAAATTTCCCCTAATTTAGTACTTAGTAATTTACTTCCCTAAATAATATATAATTTGCTTTATAAATAATCTCTTATTTAAGTAAATCGCAAACTAGGCTATAAATACTTATTTAACTTTAATAGCTTTTTTTAAATATAATATAATATATAAGAATAATTACTAGTATTTTTATTACGAGTTTTTATAATACTTTATATAAGTTACTAAAACCCGAATATAGAAGCCCTATAAGTAAGAATATAATATTAGCTATATTTATTATTATAGTCCGGTTTTAGATAAATAGTTCTATTTATAGCTTTTACTAATAATTATATATAGTCTATAGTTCTTTAATAAGCTCTATTTAATTAAGAGTATTTATTATTTCATATATTATATTATTTATATTACTTATAGCTTAGTAGAAAATAATTAGAAATAGTTCTAGTATTTTAATAAGGCTATTTTATTAATAATTAGCTATAGTTTATAAATATTTTTTCTTATAAATATTTACTAATAACTAATTATAAATATATAAGTAATCTGGGACTAGTATAAGAAGTATTTCTGTAATAATTTGGCCTATAAGCTAGCTTATAACCCGTTAATTAATTTCCTACTATTCTTAGTTAATTTTTATTATAATTATAGCCTCTTTTTATTTAGTCTTAGTTTTATAAATCTCTAGTAAATACTTATAAATATTACTTTACCTAAAAATATCTTTAACTAGATTATAAGCTATTATATAGCTAATTTATAAGTTAATTATACTTATAAGACATTACTAGTAATTATAATATAAGCCTAGCTAAATATAGATTAGTACTCTTGCTTTTAGATAATTATAGTAATAATTATAAATAATTTATAGACTACTTATTTCTATTTATAAGGCCCTAGTAGAACTAGTAAAACATTTCTTTATAAGACTTTCTATTACTATTACTATAGCTAAAATAAGATAATTCTATATATAATATTAATAGGTATTATAGCTTTTCTTTTTCTAGATAAATATATGTCTTATTTCTAATTCCGGATTTTATTTAAGCTTAATAAATTATTTATAAATATAATTACTAAGACTAGCTAGCTCGGGGCTTTCTTATATTCTATAGACCTAATTATCTGAAATAAGATACTTATATAATATAAATATTACTTTAAGATAATATACTAGCTAATAGTTAATTTATAATTAATTATAAATAATATTTTCTTTAGAGAAATACTTGTAATTCTTAGAGAGAACTTTATCTAGATTTTACTAGTAGTTTTATATAATTTGCAGGCTAATATAGTACGGGCCTACTTATAGTAGATATAGATCTAGCTATAGCTTTATTAGTTATTATTATAGATTAATATACGGGTTTATAATAATTTATTTAAGTAGGATTTTATAAACTAGATTAGTAATTTATTATATAACTTGTTTTTAAATAAATAGATTATACTCTTGTCTTTTATTCTATATATCTAGTTAGTTATAGACCTAATTAATTATATTTACTTATAAGAGCAACTTTTATAGGCCCTATATAATTACTAGGCCTTTAGTAAATAAGTAATCTTATTAATCCTAAATAATATAGTTTATAAGCTTAACTAAATAATCCTGGATATATTTCCTAGCCAGAAATAGATATATTTTATAATAGATTTGGCTAATATAAATAAGGCAAATCCTGAAATTATAGAATTATTTCTAGAGATCTTATAAAATATTTATTTACTAGGTCTATTTTTCTTTAGGCTATAATTTAAGATTAGTATACTCGTAATATTTTTATGAAATCTCTATTTATAAAAAGGGCTT